CGCCATATAGAAAACATTTCTAGACTCAAAAAAACCCAACCCCCAGATTCAAAACCCCATTAAAAGTTCATTGGGGATGCCAGTGAGTCAATCTCCGAGATGAAGATAATAATTATCGCTCGAAATTCTCTCGGCTTCCTGCTGCACAGTGTGACTTTAAATACTGTTTTTTGTGTTGTATTTATTTTTATTTTTGTTTTTTTGGGTATTCTATTTTTTCCTTGGGTTTATTTCTGATTACCAGCTTTTCTATATTTAAGTTTAGGTTTTTTTGTGTATCGTGAAGCGGCTGCAACCGGTTCGAATTGCTTTGAATGAGCGTCGAAAAGTCAATCTACAGAAATTCTACGATTGATATGCGTGATTGTCTCGATTGTGATTGTGACGGCATAAGAAATACTTAATAATCAGCATAAAAACGGAGAAAACAATTCACAAAATGACAATGATAAGTCCGGGCACTTTGTTTCTGAAAAGAAGAAGGCGGATATTTTATAGATTTTTCATTCAAAGAGGTTTTTGCTATGGATTTTGTGCACAGAAAGAAATATTGAGATGAAATAAGGAGAAATTTGGTTTTGTTTTTATAATTATTTTTAAATAATTTAATTTATTTAAAAAATATTATATATAAAATATAGAAAAATATCAAAATATCAAAAAATCGTGGTTAATGTATTTAAGAAATCAAACAAAAAATTTATAAAAAAATGTGCATTGTTTTTTTCTAAAGTTTTCTATAATATAAATTTCTGGTGTAAAATTTATGTAAAAATTCTACTTAAAATAGATACAGAAATTAATAAAATCTCATTTCTTGGAGTGCCATACATTAGCCTTGACTTTTACCCATTGGTTTCTTATCAGGCTTTTGGAACGTGCTGATCGAACGATTTTGTGGCCCAAAAAAAAGACGTCAAATTCCCTCGAAAAGCTCTGTAAAATGCCCTTGTATGTGTATTGTTTGACTCACTATATAATATAATATATACCATATACTATATGGGATTGATCATAAATTGATCATTAACAAAGGCGGCAAGGCAAAAGGCAATCTTATCATACGAAATCGTTTGTCATCAAAAAAACAAAAGAGATTAAAGAAAGAGAGAAATAAAACAAAAGATATATGAACAGAAACAAGAACATTGAGAACGGGGAGCCATAGTGTATAATTAATAGGTGAATAAATCATATTGATAGTCATCTGATGGCTTCTCAGTTGTTTTTTAATGACAGAGAGAGCGTTTGTGATGTATTATGAAGCCAAGCCGAACAATCAATCACACGCTCAAGTGCAGCGTCATTAAGAAATAAAACAGCATTTTATAGAGATTGATAATACTTGTACTTTGCTGCAAAGCTGAAGGGTTCCGTTTGTTTCCACTTGTCCTCAAAAAAAAAAACCTTGTCAAAGTATTTTTTTGACTTTGTAATATTATTGTGAGATATTTTTTCTGAGTTTTGCACTCAGTCCCAAAGAAGTCAAATGAAGTGGCAACCACAAAACCGCAGAAATAAACTTGTGAAAAATAGCCCGGGTAGATGATCTTAGGAATATTGCCACAGTCTCGTGACACATAATATTTAATCGTTACATAAACTGTGTTAAAATGTGTGAAAAAGTCTACTAATACCCAAAAATTACCAAAAACTAATCAAGTTTTTTTCAAGGCCCCAGACAAGTCAAAAGATAAACTATTTCCTTCTTTTAGTTTTATCTGTTTAGTTTACTAATTTTGTAAAATTTTTCTAGACCTCTAAAAATGTCTTAAAATATGAACTAACTTATTTTATATTATTTTCCTCTGAAGAACAGAATTTTTTACAAAATTTCCTGTAAAAACACGAATTTCAAAGACAGTTTTACCTTATTTCCTCATTCTAAATCTATGTTATAAAATTTTCACAACTTTGTGGGTTTATTATAACTACAAAACTTAAGTTAATCTTCTGTAAAAATTAAAGTAGTTATTTTTTAACTATAAATATATAACTTTTGAGTTCTTCCCTTCCGTTTTAGGCCCTTAGTTAATATTCCCCCATCTAAGTTAATTACAGGGTAAGCTCTAACGCCTTTTGCACAAATAACTTGTACTTTTATTATTTTTTTGTAATTTACTTTGTCCCTTAAATACCTTGAATATCATAAAATGTCACGTTGATAAATTTATGAAAGTACAGCCACGTGCAGTTTGCACGTAGACCTCAGAAACCAGAAGCATTTAAGAGTTCCAGAATATATATAATATATATTAGAATCAGACAAAGACAATATTTTAAGGCATTTACCAGTCATCCATTTTGTTTATCGCGAAATATAAATAAACTTAAATCAAAACAAGACCACTTAAGACTCTGGACACTTGACTTATGGGCCTCGGGGGTTATACAAGCGGCGACAATTGATATTGATATTTTTGTCGTAGACAACTTAAGTCCCCTTAAGTCAATTTCCAAGGGGACTTTCCTGAGTAAGTCCCCCTGATAAGTTAAATTTAGCTTAAATGCAAATTTTCAGTGACTTAAACATGTGATTGATCTTATAAGGGAGGAGAAAATATCTTAACTTGTGGCTTTAGCTCTTCTAGAGTTTATATAATCTGAGTCACTATCTATAAGTTTTATGCCAAGGATTGTTTACCCATCAAGCACTATTTGTTTATGATTAAAACAGGTAAAGAATCGATGTTAGTTGGTGTTATATATGAGGTAAATAATGACTGTCTTTAGACCAAGGATTGTTTGTTTATAAGAAGAAGTATAAGCTCTATTTTACACGGAGCCATATAAATATTTATGGAGCCATCAAGTGATCAAGAAAAACCCACAAGAACTCACGTGTTCCTCTTTGTTTTGGCTTTATATCACAATATTTCCCCCCCTATATCATCAAACATGCTCCAGATAATGAAAATATCTGAATAGATATATGGAGCTTCTTCTAGCTTCTGTGCCGCTGTGCTGCTTCTCCGTCACGTATTCGTACATACAAATTGTTTTTGGTGCTGTTTATCAATTTGCAATTCCCCATTTTTGGGTGGCTTTAATTAATACTAAAGATAGTGGCTCGGCGGCGGTGTATTCAACCTTCGGTTGTAATTTTTCCGAGCGCACAATTGCACAATTCCATAAATTTTTGAGAGCTGCTGCTCCGAAAGGCAACAACAAATTGGAATAGATTACGATGAACGATATCATTAAATTTATGAGTATGTGCGAGACGGCATTAGCTGGATAATTTATGGCTCTGATTATGGGCCATTCGATTGGACGAAAAAAGTGGACTAAAGTCTTTGAAACATCTTGACCTTCAAGCACTCGCATGGAGTTCTTTGAACGCAGGTGATAATTAAGCGACGAACCCCGAACTTGATGATCTTCTCACAACTCAGGTGACTCACAGCAGAGCCAAGAAGCCACTGAAGCATGTCTGATGTCTCAATTTCTGTTAGAGCCAAAGTGCCAAAAAAAAAGCATTTAACATTCATTTCTGCGCCAATAAACGCGCTTCACACAGGCGATCATGTCTGGGTTTATATAGCTCGTGGGCTGATCATTAATCAGGTGTTTCGCTGCGAATGGATAATTGTGTGAGGCTTTCACCCGGTACATCACGGCGTATGAGAATTTTCCCCGACCATTAGAACGAGTGAAGTGGCAATTGCTCGCTGGCGCTTGCGCATGTCAATGACACCTGCCCTGCCCTTTGGACTGTTTTCTTTTTCAATCCGTGCTATGATCATTCGATAAAATCCTAGAAAAATATGCGAAGAACTGCGTGAAGTGTGTTTGTGCCGCTTCCTTATCTGCCTAAGCTTATCTGGGGAATATTGGCCAAACATAAATAAACTGGCGACCAATACAAAGAATGACGGTTAAAAAGCGGCAATAGTGTCACCAGTTCTTGGTAAAATATAAAAATAAAATAATAAATAATAAATAAAAATAAAATAAAACCCCCTTTTCTGTAGGAAATGCCAAGTAAAGGCAAGAAAAAAATAGTTATTTACGTGTTGTATGAGGTGTTTAAGGCTTAACAAGTTCAACAAGTTTGCTTTTAAATGATTTAAGTTAGTTCAATCAATAACTTATTTCTATTTTTTATACAAAAATTAAACCTGCATTAAAAACCCCCCTAAAAACAAATATAAATGACCACAAAAGAAGTACATTTGTACCACAGAGCAAAACATGGCAAGAGTGTATTAACAACTTTGTTGTTGACCTTAAACGCGCCCGGTTTTAGCCGCTGCTGCTGCCTCTTAAAACCATACATACAATGCAAATATGCGGTAGTAATAATAGTACAATTGTCCGGTGGCCATAATGCAATAATGCAGCAATATTGCTCAGTGCTCAATGCTTAGTGCTCAGTGCTCCGGTGCCTGGTGCGGTGGCTATCATTAATAAATAAAGTCACATGTTAATTATCAGGCAACGGCAGGCGCGCTGCTAATTTCAATATTTGCAGCCGCAGCACCAGCAGCAGCTGTTACTTTGTTGGGACACAAAAAACAATAACAAATCGAGCGACCTGCTTTGTTCAAACAGGTTCGAAACCGACTAAATATATACAATACATTAAAAGACGTTTACGTAGCCGCCGGCGGATCACGTGAAAAAATTATCCACCGCCAGGCGGAGAGACACAAGTAACACGACTGGGAAATGAGCAATGTTTGACACAAAAAGGGGCTATACAAAATATAAAGCGGTTCGGAGGTTGCCTTATAAAAAAGCTCCCAATTCTAGGAAAAGTGTGCCAACATCGCTGATTACTGTTAAGGAGTATAATTGCTGTAATATGAGTATTTCTGTTTAAAATATATATAGAAATATACATTAAAATAACAACAAAAACATTCAGATTCAAAAACTTGCATTTTCAAACTGCGCGCTCTTAGCTGTTCAACAGAGATGGCAGTTCCGCAGCCTCCTTTGAAGCGATATGTATCGCCTTTCCCAAAAACATCGATAGCACCGATTATTACATCGAGGCTTTAGCATCTCTAGTAAATATGTAAACAGAAAAAAAATCAAAGTCACTAAAAAAAAGGGTGCAACGGCGAAATTGCATTTAAATCCGGGCCTAAACAAGTGTATATTAGTTCGAAGTAACCGCAGCAGGCGGGGGGAGGTGGCAGAAACTCGGTGGGAGGTTATTCCCTCCCACTCTATATCTCAAGCTCGCCTGCTCGCTCTCTCCCACACTCTGTTTTGAATGGCCATGTGTGCGTGCGAGTGAAAGGTGGGGAGCTTTGGCTGGCGGAGTAACTGTAACAGTTGCAGTTACCTGTCCAAAGCGCCAAGGAGCGGCGCCCAGGTGAGTGGACGCTAAATGAGTTAACTAATGCGGAAATTAGCCACGCCACACTCGCTGGTCCGTTGCAGCGCACATATGTACATGTGTATTTACATATGTTTCACTCTGAGTGTGTGTGTGTGTGCGTTACGTGTTGGCCATGACATCACTAAAAATAACGGCAACCATCTCCAAAAATCTGTTGCAGTTTAAAAAAAAACACATACTTTTCATAAGGAGTATGTTTTCCCCATTGACCACTTTCTCTTTTCTGCAATGAACGAGTTTATTCTTCAATTCACATTCAAATTATTAATAGACGAGCTTGGTTATTTAAGGAACACACTTAGTACTTTATTCATTCCCTTAAAATTCATGTTTTTTGTTCAAAATAAACAAATATTCAAAAATTATTTTTAAAAATACCTTTGCAGTTTCAAGAGATCGTACCTGACATGGATGACACGGAATTTATGTTTAACGAGAAGCAATCAATTCGGGACTCTTCGAGGACCCTCAAGCGCTACGGCAGCACCTGCTGCAACAGCATGCGAAACAATGAGACACTCATCCGGCACATTGTGGAGAAGACGGACACATTGCAGGGCATTGCCCTCAAATACGGATGCACGGTGAGTCTTCTTTGTGACAACCAGAAGAATCATCATCGGAATAGATAGAGCTACATCTATGCTCAAAGATCAGTGGATTGCTTAGTTCTTGGAGAAACTTGAAGTTTAGATACTTTAAAACAAGAAAATCTATTATTTTTCTAAATTTCTTTGAAAGAAAGCCTTTCAATTGCAATTGTAATTGTGAATGTCAACTGAGCTGCTATTGATTTTGGAATTTATGGCTCATTATTATCCACCTTGACAGAAATTGATTCTAGTTTTTTTTTCTGCGCCAATTACTGTCACGCTAGCCCTTCACCTTTTTTAGGCAACTCTCAAGCTCTGCACTGGTTTTTTCATATTTTTCAAGATTAACTTACATTTTGCCATATTCATTGATTTCTCGACGCTTTCTCTGGGGGGGAGAAGCTCCACTAGTGCAGTAAGTCCAGTCACGCAAGCCCCTTTAAATTTTAAATGTCAACTTCACGGGGATTTGAATATATCGATTCAATAATGGCAATTGTTGCCCCCAGCAACTCCTCTAAAGCTCTACCACCCACACCCCCAAAGTTCTTGGAATTTACGACCGAACCCACACCTTCACACGGCTGGCTCTACAGTCCGGAGTGACTTGGGCAAACAGAAGATAGCGAGTCATGATGTGGGAAGGGCCAACCAGACTCGCTATCTAGCATCTAGACTCTAGAATCTTGGATGTTTATCAGCGTTTCTTATCTGTTCTGGGGGACCCGTGGAAAATGCTGCAGGCGAGTCTACGACTGACAGGTTACTGCATATGATTTATGTCCACATGATGAGCTTCGTTGCTTAGTTAGCACTTGGCCAATATTTAACTAGAGTCCAGATTTTGGGTTTTGAGTTTATTGACTTGACAAATCTTGAAGCAAACGTCTACAAAAAAAGCACTGCATTGCCACTTGACCCGATTGGCCATATATGCGTCGTTGGGGGGCACTCGGTTATCCAATCCAATCGATCAATCATCCGTCATTCGTCAATCAGGTGTCAGCGCGAACAATTGCCCGTAATTGATGATGAGCTCCTCCGTGTATTGCCTTTCCAGACGGAGCAAATAAGACGCGCCAATCGGCTCTTCGCCTCGGACAGCCTGTTCTTGCGTCAGTTCCTGCTGGTGCCCGTGGAGAAGAACTCACCGTATTATCCCCAGGTGCCTGGCGGTGGCGATGCCATAGCCGCCTTCGATGCTGTGCTGGCCACGCCACCGGGCACTCCTGATGCCAATGGACAACGGGAGGCGCATAACAATGCCAACAACCTGAGCCAAAGCCACAGTTTCATCAACAGCAGTGGGAACAGTACCAGCAGCAGCAGCACCAGCAGCAGTAGCAGCAGCAGCAGTGGTAGCAGCAACAGCTGTAACACCAGTGGCGTCCCTCCCACAACCGGTGGATCGCGCTCCGGCAACGGAAATGGCAGCCAACAGCCGCCACAGCGTCCCTACTCCATCGCCGGTGAGCTGCTTATGGGACAGACCGGTGACGAGGATCCCGCCATGATGCATGGACATGGCGGATGCAGTGGCAAGCAGAGCAAGAGCCTGGACTCGGTGGCTGCCATGACGCCGGAGGAGGAGAACAGGAAATGCATGAACGACTTCCTTAACAAGATTGACAACACCATCTCCGAGTCGCGCAAATATGTGGAACGCTCCAAGGAGTAAGTGTTTGTAAGTTTATCTTAAAAATCTCTCTAAATCTTCAACCTTTTACCGCTCCACAGCCTGGTCAGCAGTCAGAGTGATGCGGACATCTGTGTCAGTGCCAGTGCCGACATATTCCCGCAGCGCCGTCATCCCCTGAACAACTCCTACAAGACCAACAATAACGACCGTCCGCCGCAGTATCAGCGTCACAGTTCGACGGGCAGCGGGAATTCCTCAGATACGGCGCATCTGCTGAACACGACGCAGACGCGCAGAGTGCAGAACTCGCTGAAGCGACTGGAGAAGCAGCAGGACGACTTCTTTGAGTTGTAGCAGCTGCCGCAAAAATCTAGCCTAATTACGCTGAGGAGTTAATCTAATAAATCGTTTTAATATTGCCGCGCATTCGGGGGTAGAAGCGCGCATTCTAAATGTAATTATATATATATATATATAATCTGTCGACACATATGCGATATACCTTACCGATACGAGAGATACCTATTAAACATTAAACATAAGCTGTAACACTGAGCTAAAACCTCAAACTAAAACTTCAAAAGGAAGCCTAAAACTAAGCGCTGCGCTCTGTAAACCTGTAGTACGATGACAAGGCAGTTCCGTTCCCCATTTTTTGCCGCCAATTTGCTTGCAAGAAAGCCTTCTATATTGCCCATTGTCCTCCTGCCCCACATTATGTTTACTTTTTTTGTATGACTTTTAGCTTTAATCGCACTGTGTATAAATTTAGTTATGAGAATTATTAATGTTAATTGTATATATATCTATATATAGTCGCTAGCAACATTAACAACACGAAATTGGCCAACTGTTGACGTGTATTTTTAATTTATTTCATAGCCTTCCCCAAGTATTAATTCCCAAATTCCATTCTGTGCAATCTAAACCTACAAAAAAAGAAAAGCAAAAACTGTAACCTCCACGAAAAGAACCTATATCCCAGGAAACACTCAAATATCGAACTGTGTGTGCACTCATATTCGAGCCAAGTCATGTTGTATGTGAGAATGTTTTATAAAAATACAAATAAAGTGAGAATTGTGTTGGAAAAATGTGGTGTTTGGGAGATTTCTATTTATATTTATCTATTTACTTATCGTCCTTGGCTTCAAATATCGATAATTCCTTACATCCTTGTGGTGAACCACAGGAATTTCCAGGTGGCAGAGCATGCGCAGTTCCAGGCTTAAAGGCAGTCGAACTTCTTTAGTTAAAACTCTAGGATATAGAGTATTAATGATGACTTCCAAATTGAAATCATGAAAAGCCACTTCCTAGAAATGAAAACCAGCAAGAAATCTACATATCCGAAAGGTCGAAGGTTGTTTCACTTTACAGAAGTTCTCCTGTATGGTTGCCAGGACAACGCGATTCTTGGCAAAACAAACAAAAGCCTGAATTCAAATTTTGGAAAATCTGTCACAAAATAAAAAGATACAAAGATGTCAGACAAAGATCTGGATGCCATTATCCAGGTGACCCAACAGGTGGTGGGCAAGTTCATCAAGAAGCCTCCACTCACCGAGAAGCTGCTAAAGAAGCCCCCATTCCGCTTCCTCATGGATGTCTTTAACAATGTAAGTGGTTCTATCAAAACCCCGAAATCCTGCTTAATGGCTCACCAGTTTATCAAGCAAACCGGCAAGTTTGATGGCTTGTACACCTCGGAGGAGCAGGAGTTTGAAAACATAGCGTCGCGGGAGGATAAGATACGATTCCTGCAAAAGATGATTGATGCAGTCAGTGAGTATTGCGTCATTTCCTTTCACCGAATCCCTTTACACCTGCTTACGTTCCCATAGAACTCACCACCAAGCAAGACCTCAAGGTGCGCACCTCCAAGATAGTGGCTGGCCAGGAGCCAGAGCTCACCAATGAGCTGCTCCAGGCAATGGCCAGTGTGGCCGAGAAGAACCTAGACTGGGACAGCGCCGTCGACCAGGTGGTGATTGCCCACAGCAAAACCCCCATCGCCCTGCCGAAACCCTCGAAAGAGACCAAGACCTCCAGCAAGAATCCCTCCCCTGCCAATGGCAAGGAGGAGGAATCAAAGCGGCGCAAAGAAAAGCGGACATCGCCACAGGAGCAGAAGCTGCGTAAGACCACCACCGAGCCAGGATCTCGGTCCACACCCACTGACAAGGAAAAGGACAAGACCAAGGCAGCCTCAAAGAAGGCGAAGATACCGGGAGCTGAACCCAAACTCAGTCGGCAGGGTTCCAAACAGAAGAGTCCCTCGCCTGTCAAGCTTAAGTCCAAGGGCAACAAAGCCCAGCTCTCCACGGAAAGCGACAATCCCAGCATGTCCCTGTCGCCACCAATGCCAGCCAAGCATCCTGCAGCTCCTGAAACAGTTCCTACCGTAGTACCCAAAGAGTCAAAGGCAGAGCCTAGCCAGGAAGCAGCTGCACCTCCACCTCCCACTTTATCTCCACCCACAGAGGCACCAGAGAGTAGGAAATCCTCCGCCCAGCGTCGCAGTTCCGCCTCCTCAAACCGGAGTCGCCGCTCTAGTGGCACCCAAAGGCAGCCGGAGCCCAGTCCCACTGAAATCCCATCCCAGCCAGCTCTGCCGAAGGCTGAGGCCAATCCTCCAGCAGATTCCAACAACAACACTAGCGGTGAGCTGAAGCGGGAACTTACCATGTCCAGGGAAAATTCAAAGGAATCAAATCAGCGACCTAGGACCTCGCTGAGACCACCCTCTGCACGTCCTGCCTCCGCCCGTCCTGGTGCTCCGCGACGTCGCAATGTGGAGATCGTATTGCAGCCCAATGACCAGATCAAGATGTCAGGCATCAATGTGAAGCTGGAAACCTTCGGGGACCTGGACGATGATGGCGAGAACTTGGTGATTATTGAAGATGCCAACTCTCACGATATTGTAGAGGGCAATAAGGCAGAAGATCCTTCGCTGGAGGGTCCGCTAGATGCCCAGCAGGGTCGATTGGTCCAGCAGATCCTGGAGACCCAGAAGGAGTTGGTTCACCAAAACGCCGAGGTAGTGGAACCGTCTCCCTCGTCGGCGACCGTTCGCCAGAGTTCTGCCCGCCAGGTGAACGATCTGCGTGATGTGATCCAGAGCCTGACGAAGGCAGTGAATCCGCTGGGCAAGCTGCTGGACTTTATACCCGAGGACATTGATGCAATGCAACTGGAGCTGACCATGTGGCGTGACACCTACACCCAGGCTGCCATAGAGCTGAAAAGAGAGCGGAGCCTCACAGCCTCGGCCACGGAGCCCATGAAGCACCAGTTGCAACAGATCGAGGCAAGCATTGTGGAGTACCAGGAGCTGGTCGATGAGAGTCGCCACAAGATACTGCAGAACAATGCACGCATCCTCAAGATGCTGATGGAGCAGTAGCTGATTAGAAAGCCTAAATATTAAAGTTTTCTGGCACATTTTCTGTGCCACCATTTAATATTGTAATTTGCAATACAAGGTCTTTATAAAATTAGCAATATTATAATTATCGTATTACTCCTGGTAAAATTAATCGAAACCGTAAAAATGTGTTTAAATGTGTACAATAATATCAAAAATCCTATAAATGATTGGGTTAATTTGTAAATTTGCAGGTTTTCAAAGGCAAAACGCAATAACAGGCGGTAATACTTACTTATCTAAGGCCACTTGGTGTTTGAACCCAAAAACATGCTTAAAAGGTAAACTATCTTAGCCAAAAATCAAGGCAAACCCTTTTTCAGTTTCCTTAATTCCGATATCCTTTTTGTGCTAAACAGGGGGCTATTTCAAGCCTTTTTTCCAGCCTTTTTTCCTTCTTTTTCAGCTGTGTCCTTGTCTTTTTCGACCGTTTCCTCCATCTCCTCGTCAGAATCCAAATCATCTATGATTGTTTCCGACTTTTTCTGCTTCTTCGCTTTACTTTTTTCATCCCCCTCCGAATCTCCTTCTTCGTCGTCCTTACCCATGCCACCCAAGCCACCGCCATCCTCCTGATCCTCATCGCCCAGCACATACTCGATGACATCGTCAATGGGAAAGTTGTTGAGCAGCGACTTGATGGAGTCGTTGTGTATGACCACGGTGAAGAGCAGTTTGCAGTACTCGCGCATTCGGCTGCCGTAGTCCAACTCCGCGTAGTTCTCAGTACCTTTGGTCAGATCATGGCCGCAGTTCTCGATCACCTTGCAGAGCACTGTCTCCTCGGGGGCATTGGGCCAGCCATACTTCTTCAAGATGGGCGGATCCACCAGCATGTCGATCAGCTTGCCAATGTTTTCCTTAAGCCTGAGGTCCTCCTCGGTTAGGACTTCGCCGCTGGCATCGTCCTCGCTGGATGGCTCCTCCTCTAGATTATCAGCGATGGCAGCCGCCAAGCTGGCAGCCAACGACTTACGCTTCTCCTTTTTGACCACCGGCGAGACCTTCAGGCCACCTTCTTCCTTTTTGCCCTCAGGCTTCACTCCCACCGAGGTCTCATCCGTCAGCTGCTCGCCCTCAATGTCCAGCGGGAGAATCGTATATGTCTCGTTCTCCAGGGTAATGGTCTGGGCGGCCGACTCATCGGTCTCGTCCACAAGATACTCACGCACCACCACGCCATTGCCATCAGTTTGGCTGGAAATCAACGAACCCGCTGAAGTATTCAGCGCCACTGGTACAATCTCCTCGGCATCCTGTTCCTGCTCTTCCACTGGCGCCAATTTGGCTCTCTTGCCGCGCTTGGCAGTTAGCGGATCCACACCAAAGATGTCATCCGGATCGCATTCGTGGACAGTGCGGATGTGCCGGCGAAGAGTTTCGCAGCTATCGAAGTTCTTGTCACAAATGGCGCAATCCGTGCGCTCCATTACCTTGGCGGGCGAGCGCTTGGTGGCACGCGTGGGCTTGGCTAGAAGGGAGATTTAAGATTTGACATTTAAGGTCAAAGGTAAAGGTTAGAATCAGTATTCTCTTACGTGTGTGAACGCCCACATCCATGTGCTCCTTGAGCTGAGCTGTGCTGCGGAAATTGCGCTTGCATTCGGTGCAAGAGAAGACGGGGCGCTTCTGGGAGGAGTGCTCCTTCACATGGCGCTCTAGTCTAAGGGAGTAAATTTTATGTTTATAAATGTAAATTCTGTTCTTTTGGTTATTTAGCTACTTACTGCTTCTGCGTCTTGAACTTCTCCTCACACTGATCACAGCTAAAGGGACGAACGTGGGTCTTGGAATGCGTGCGCAGCTGTGTGGCCTGGATGAAGCTCTTGCCACACTCCTCACACTTGTGCGGACGCTCGCCCGTGTGCCGTTTCATGTGGCGATTGAGCACCTCCTTCACAGCAAAGGCTTGGTTGCACTGCAAGGTGGCAGGATCAGCCATTAACCAACAGTTTCCAAAGGATTAAAAGCCACATCTACTTACCACAGTGCAGCTGTAGGGCTTCTCGCCCGTGTGATAGCGACGATGCTTCTTGAGGGCCACCAAGGCGGAGAACTTCTTCTCACAAAGATCGCAATCAAAGGGCTTCTCCCCCGTATGTGTGCGTATGTGAATGCTGCGGGCGAGAAACCATTAGTTTCTGTCAAGGATCTAAGGAGCAGACACTTACTTGAGTGTGGAAAGGCTGTAAAAGCAATTCTTGCAAACGTGACACATGTACTCCGGCTTCTTCATCACCTGCGTGCCCAAATGCTGCTTCAAGTGCGATCGCAGGTTGTCCAAACGATAAAAGACGCGATCGCAGACCTTGCAGCTCATGGTATCGGTTTCATTGGCCGAGCAGGCCGAGTACTTCTGATGGCGCTTCAGGTGATAGGAGCGCGTGAAATCCTTGCCGCAGATCTTGCAGGCGTAGGGCTTGCCACGCGACTTGTGCTGCTCTTCATGGAGCTTCAGCAACGCCTCGCTGCGCAGGTTGGCATTGCAGATGGAGCAGGGAAAGTCACAGAACTCCGAGTGGGTGATGAAAATGTGCCGCTCGTAGCTGGTTTGCGTCTTGAACGACTTTGGGCAGTCCGGACAGTTGATGTGGCCCAACTGTAGAGGAAATAGGATAAAGTAAGTCTTGGAAAACTTAATTTTTTAATTTTAACTCACATGGAAGGTGTCGTAGCTCTCGCTGCAGCAGAAACAGATATCCTTCTTTTCCATCACCACTGCATCCTTCTCGATCTTTTCCAGATTCTTGAGCATGTCCGCCTTGCGCAAATGGTAACCACTGTCATAGCGACAGAACTCCAAATGCTTCGTTAAGCTCTTGATGCGCCGGAAAGTCTTGTAGCACTTGCCGCACACATGCTCCACAATCTCCTTCATTCCGCCCTTGCCAGCCTCGTCTTTATCAGCATCGCCGCCTTCCTCCTCCTCCTCTTCCTCATCGTTCTCGGTTACTACGATCTCCTCCTGACCATTCGTGCGTTCTAACGTGCCGGGAACCACCTCGTCGTCGTCCGCCAGTATGAAGGCAATGGTCTCTGTCTCCTCGTTTTCCGACGTCGCCGCACGGTGTGCCGTGGTGACTGCTTGCTGCTTGCTGTTCTCCAACTTGACTGCTTGGAGCACGTAGTGATCACTCTTCTGCTTCTTGCTGGGTGAGGCGCGAATCTTGGTTTCTAGGGGTGTGATGACGTTGGTGGAGGCAGGGCGCTTTACATTTAGGATCTTCACAGAGGTGGAGCTGGCGGTGGTGTTGCGTGGACTGGTCTTGGATGTGGAGCCTCGTTTCTCGGTCTTTGGCAGGCCTAGTGCTTCGTCATTGAGTATTTTGATGCGGGATCCCCCGCCCCCGCCGCTATTGCGCTTTTCCGTCTTGGTTGGGGAGACTGACGATGACGGAGCAGCGGCTCCTGCTGCTGCAGCCTCGTTTAGCAGCTTCATGCGTGTGGCGGGGCGCGACGATTCCTTCGGCGGCGAGACGTTCTCCACGCCCAGAATCTTGATTCCGCCCTTCTTGTCCTTGGACGCGCTCATCGTGTCCAGCTCAGAACCTGCGGGAGAGGAGAGGAACACGTAAGAGGATTTCGATGCCGGGTCTGGAGAATTTTGCAAGGATCAGGGGCCTGGATTTAGCCTACTTTTAGGCACGTGATTTATGAAAATCTGATTTTGCCAGCGTCAGCAACGCCTAGAAGCAGTTCACAGAGACCAAAATGGCGGCCGACACGATCAATCGCACGAGTGCGAGCGGGACGACTCTACTCCATGCCCCCCGACGCACAGCAACAAGTTTTTGCTCGCTCTCGCCGCCGCGACGTCTTCTCAACAAAATATAATACAAAAAAGGTTGAAAATTCTAATACACACCCGGGAATTCGTTGCATACTTTTTAATATTAATTATTTTGCATAGCTCAGAAGGATGTGACGGTTTCGGCCCGGCTCCTGTGGCTATACCTTTCTCAATTCTGTCCCGAAGCCACGAAAGAAAGTTGCGCCCGCAAAGCAAAGAGCAAGCCAACGCCAATTGCGGAGTCACCAACGTCGTTTTCTCGGTTCCAGGGGCGGGGTACTTATCACAGAGTGTGTCACTTGGGGGCTTAATCTTGAAAACAATCACAATTTACCTAGTTTTATGGTTTAAATTCCAACACACAACGCGGAGACTGCAGGCTGTCAAATGCGATCGGACTGTGGGAGTTATCGATGAATCGATGGCCGGTATGATCGAATTGCCCAAGTATCGCGATAGTAAACAATAATAATATTTTAAAGATAACCTTAATTAGTCGGATGGCTTGCACTTGATCAAAATATTTTATGTCTGAAAGGGTGTAAAAAACATCAGATATTTAAATATATAAAAACCGCCTTCTTTTTTTTAGTCACCCTGCTATCGGTGCAGTGACATCTCCTTCGACTGCTTATCGATCTATCGATACACTCGGAGCTGCTTGACTCACCTCTATTCTGCCGTGCCGCTTGTTTTCGCCAAATCAGGTAAATAAATCAGTAAAATGCAAGGAATCGTTGTTAAATAAACTCTATTTTAGTAACTACTAAGCCACAATGACCACCGCCTTCGACGCCGCACACACGGAGGGCCCCGGCTTCGTGGGCATCCGCTTCTGCCAGGAGTGCAACAACATGCTGTACCCCAAGGAGGACAAGGAGAACAAGATCCTGCTGTACGCGTGCCGGAACTGTGACTACAAACAGGAGGCGGACTCCAACTGCATCTACGTGAACAAGATTATGCACGAGATCGACGAGCTGACGCACATTGTGCCCGATGTGATTTCGGATCCGACGCTGCCGCGCACCGAGGACCATGCCTGTCCCAAGTGCTCCCATCGGGAGGCGGTCTTCTTCCAGGCGCAGACCCGGCGCGCCGAAGAGGAGATGAGACTGTATTATGTGTGCACCAACCAGAATTGCACCCACCGCTGGACAGAGTAATTGTAATTGTAGCCCTATGTAAGTGTAAGCAAGCAAGCAAATAAACAACAAATCAATATAAAACGATTTACATCTAGTATTCCCAAATGGGACGCCGCCGCGTCGATAGTGAGCCGCAAAGAGGTCTCATTTGACGCTCAGTATGTGATTGGCGCTTCAGTAACAAAATCAACTTATTACAGTGGATATTGACTTGAAGGAACAAGATGGGGATTCATTTTGTTATAATCTTAAATTTCAGCGAACAAAATTAGGTTATTGAATTCACCCTCTATGCATTTGAAAGGTTTATTTTTTTTTTAAATAAATAGTTGCTTATTTATCTGCTACTATTATATATTTTTATCTACAAATTTATTAGTACGTTCAAAAATATATTTTCAAATTTTTAAACTTACAAGTGTGTAGTTTAAAACCTTAATTTTCCGGAATAGGAAAATATCTTACAAAATACCTTATACTTTTATTTACTAACTAAATTAAAACATATTCTTTTTGACAAATACCTTCTCTTGTCTGCTGGAAATAAATGCAATTTATTGTTCTTTTAACTATAAAAATCAACACAAGAATAAGCCTTTGTAGACTACAAACTTGATTAAAAATAAACCCCAATACAAAGCTAATATTTCGTATTCCTATAGTGATCATTTATAGACCACTTTCTTCTTCACTTCTTGCAAGACTTCTTAGGAAATATCCACTGTAAATGTTGCCGAGCGGGAAACACGAATCATGCCTGCGGAGCGCATGCAAAATTCCAGATTTCTCACACGGTGACAATAAATTCTCCATATATCTATATCATTGTTCTGCCGCCTCTAATCGAAGCTGACAAAAAAAAAAAAAAAAATAGGGGGCCGAACGAGACGAAGAAATGATGGGACAAGTTTGTTGTGCGTATCAAGCCGATTCGGCGGATTATGTGGACTTGGCCCGCCTTACCAAGTTTAGTTTGAGCTTAGAACTTGGCGCGACGTGTTGATCGAATCGCTTAGAAATGTGCTAGAGCTTATAACCACATATCCGTGAATCGAATATATAAAAGCAAACAGAAATCCCCAGCCAGCGGTTATTAAATAATAACATAAAATGGCCAAGCCAAGGTCGTCGCCGGATGCAGCCGCAGCCGGAGCCGATGCAGAGCCCAAACTTAACTATTTCCAAAAGCTATGGCGCTACCGGCACTACCTGGTCATCGAGCCCTTCTTCTTCTTCTACTTCATGGCCTCCATTTTCAATGCGGTGGCCATGCAGAATTTTCCCCTGGAGAAGGCCTGCCGGGTGAACTTTGGCTACAACAAGTTGGTATGCGACACAATGCTGGACAAATCCGAGCTGGGCATCGAGTGCGATGACTTTGACTTTGCCAATACCACGCTGGGAGCCACTCCCGACCTGGCTGGCCTGGTGGTGGCATCGCCCGGCTTCAACTATACCGTCTGCAAGGCGGAACTCGAGGCACAGATCCTCGCCTCCGATGTCTCCGGAAAACGAGCTCCGATGGGTAAAGAGAAAGAGATTCGCCAATATATCATCTGCTCATAACACGAGTCGTTCATTAAATATACGCGTTTGGTGTTTGGCATTAGCATTGCTTAAAAAAATTCAGGTTTGTGCTTAAATTAAACTCGAATTCCCATCTTAACTCCTCTGCATATTAACAGACTCTCGCCTACCCCTTTTTGGGATGCACAGAGAAAAATGAAAGATTGTAGAAGCTTTTAGAAAGTAGATATTTAGTTTAAATAGTACACACATTTTTTAATAGATTTTTAGAGCATTAAATGAGTTATTTTATTCAACATAACTTTACTTTAAAAATACTATTTCATATGATTTTTTAAATATTTTTAAGATAATTGTCTCTCTCTTAAAATATCTAGATTTTTTACAACTTGCTTTGTTTTCTTCCGAGTGTGCATTTCTTGACCAGAAGGAATCCATGTCTTTTGATGGATGTCGTCGGAAATTAGCGGTTATCCGAACATCTAATTACCTTCTTTAATTGATTCGCTCGTGTGTTTGAGTTCTCTTTCGCCATCAGCGTCTGATGGTGCTAAAAAAAAGAAGAAAACAAATTCCCCCATTATATCGTTTGGTGATTAATTTAGAGCCGCGTCGTTGAGAGAGGCCTTAGCCTAGTAGTAGCTGCTGGATCGTAATCGTAATCGCAATAGCTCAAAGTTCGAAACCTGTTCTTACATTGATTTGTCTCGAGTGACTTTCGTGGGTTCACTGCCATTGTCATAGTCATTGCCATTGCCATGGATAATATTATTATTTTAGATTCCCAATCCAGCGAAATCTCCAACCGAATATGTCATTTGCATAACGCTAAACGGAATTCCGGTTCTCAAAGCCACACTCTAAGCATCTTCTATTCTTGTTCGATAGCTTAGTTAATTATAGCTTAGATAATTATAATTACTTTTCAATTGCATCTGAAAATAATTGAAACATCGTGTCATCTATAAAGATTGCAACTGGTATTATTCTATTACTGCACTTTTTCACTAAAATATTACCTACCGTAAAATCTTTGACGATAACAAGTTCCAATTGAAGAACAAGTTCTATGCATATTTAATGAATTTACCTTAAAGAAATTTTTCGAAACTTGCTAAGCTTGTTTAATTATAAACAAAAACAATAGGATTTTTGAATAAGACACGGACAGCTTCATAAACATTTCATAAAAATATATAATTCCTTTTATTAAAGTCTCAGGGAAGTTTAACTTTATGTGCGTGACGCTTCTGGGTATTTATTAACTTTATAATATGTGTTAAATGGGTTCTAGTATTTAAACCTTGACCTATTACTATATATATCCCATTTTTCATGCTTTAATATTCTTTAGTTAATTACAAGTGAGAATTAATATACAAATTCTCAGCTGAGCTTGCTTTTACTTCTAACCAGCTTAATTCTTAGAAACGAGTTTGTATTTTTGTCAAACATTTTTGGCACCTCTAAACACGTCTATATTCCGCTATAAAATGTGCTAAACTTTGTATAAATATGGGAGATATAGTACTAAATTTATGTATAACTTGGAAATCTTATCAAAAAAACCTAAAGATTCGAAAATATTTCACTAAAGAGTTTTAAGTTTGCACTTGTTCACCTCAAAATGCATACCTAAATTCGCTTTAAAAGTCGCTCGTCGTGTTTATATTACACATCCAAAGATAAGTAAATTTATAATTTTTTATTCATACTATTATTTTTTCTCCACAGCTGCCATCTTTCCCCTGATTGTCCTGCTTTTCGCTGGAGGTTGGGCTGATAGGTACAACAAACGAAAGCCTTGCATGATTATGCCCATTGTGGGAGAGGCCTTGGGTTTCACTTGTAAGTTTTCCTAATACCTTTAATTTAATTAATTAAAAATTAAAGGAAATTCCCTCTTTAGGTCAGATTATTTCCTCTATATTCTTTGATTCTCTGCCCATGGAGTTTGGCGCCTATTGCGAGGCCATAGTGCCGGCCCTCTTTGGTGGATTGACTTTCTGTTTGATGGCCATTTACAGTTATATCACCATTGCCACCCCCGAAGAGGATCGCGTTTTTCGATTTGGAATCTTTGCCATGTTCGTCACAGGAGTTCCCTTTATAGGTCAACCAATAAGTGGATTATTATTCACCACCCTGGGCTATACATGTGAGTTGAATTGAGCTTAAAAGTAGTTTTAAAACTTCTTTTATAACATTTTTTTTATATTTTCCAGGGTCCTTTGCCACAGCCATTCTTTTCCAAATCATTGCCATACTCTACATTATCTTCTTTATAAAAGAGGTAAAGACCACACCCCAGACCACCGCCACGACCACAAATGGAACCCAAGCGAATGAGCCTCCGCCGCTACCCACCACCTTGCCGCCAAAGCAGGGCGCCGAGAATATGGCCTACGAGACCACCAACATTGACGAGCTGCAGGGCAACAAGAACGTCAACTTCCAGCTAACACCGCACATGGTGGAGCCCAAGGTAGAGGCTGTGCCTCCGAGAAAGTCCCTGCTCAAGGAACTCTTTGATCCCACTCTCGTGATTGACTGCATCAAGTTCCCGCTGGTCAAGCGACCCAACAACGGGCGGATGTTGCTCATACTGCTGCTGTGTGCCTACTTCCTGACCGTGGGTCCCGTTTCTGGCGAGAACGACTACTGGTATCGGTTCACCCTCAAGAAGCTTTCGTGGAACGGCAACGATTTCAGCATCTACCTGACCCTGTCCAGTGGAGCAGCCTTAGTGGGCACCTTTATCGGTACCGCCATTCTGAGCAAGCTGCTCAAGGTCTCTGACTCCATGATAGGCATGCTCTCCGCTTTGTCCATCGTCTGCTCCCGCGTCCTGTTTGTAAGTGACTTTAAAATCTTGCGAAATTTTAGGTCATTGATTGAATTTCTTTATTTCCCCAGGCCTTTGCCAGCAGCACTGCCTCTTTTTACGTGGCCGGAGTGGTGGACATGTTTGTCAGTTTGCGTGTGATTGCCATTAAGACTGTCGGTTCCAGCATCGTGGCTGGTGATGAGCTGAGTAAGTTTGATAATCTTTTATTAAAATGAAGAGGAAATAAACTAATTTAAATTTAAAATTAATAAATAAACTAAAAGCACAAATAAATGTTGCTGAAAGATGAACGGATAAGCATTAATGAACAAAGCTTAAATGAACCCTTTAGAAGAAAGCAAAAATGAACTCGGAAGAATACAATTACAATTACAATACACATCCTTTTTTCATTTTAAAATGAACTTTCTTTTATTTCAGGCAAAATGTACTCAATTTTTGGAATTAGTGAACCAATTGCCCAATTCATTTTCCCACCCATCTTCAGTGAGATTTATAAAAGTACAGTAGACACATTTCCAGGTGCTATTTGGCTCTTTGGCGAAGTCTTTTATATTCCGAATGTCCTGGTCTTTGTGTAAGTTTCCTAAATCAAATATTAAACCAGAAAAGTTTTCTAAATTACAAATTTTTCTTAAAATTATAGAGTTTGCTACTTCCTCCTGAAACGACGAAAGGCAACGGATGCAAAGAATGTTGTGGAGCTAGAGCAGAATGCAGCTAATGGAGCTAATGGAGCTAATGGTGCTAATGGTTCCAATGGTGCTAATCGCACAAATGTGCCCGATAGTGAAATAACTAGTCTATAAAGTAATTTATGCCAATGTCGTGTTGCTTTTGTATATTTAATAATATTAAAAAAAAACTTGTATATTTTTTGTATTTATTGATATTTTTATTTCTTATCCTGCGACATTGAAAGCCAAAACAAGCACGAGCATGCCTTGAAGGTGGTCCTGCGATTGGAGGACTTCCATTTTCGCGGCATCTAAATAAAATAAATGTTTATTTTTGGAAACACAATAAATCCGCTCGTAAATCAAATTACCCTTAGGTGAGCTTTGAACGGACACTTTCCTGCCCATGGCACTGGTCGCAAATTACTTTTTTCGGCCACTTTTAGTTTAAGCCTTTCACTTTTCCATCCCAACCCCCACTGCAGCCCTCCACACCAACTTTTCCTGTGAAAAGCAGGGCAAAAACGGGTAGTTTTCCAATCAGCAAATGCATTCAGTATGAGCAGCCAGCTGGCGCAGAGTGGGCGTGGCCATATGTGTGGAGGCGTCTGAAACAATTGGGTGCTAATAATCCCGGTTAATCTGCGTAAGTGTGTGTTTCTGGGAGCATCGAAGCAAGAATTACCCGGCAAGGAAGACACCATCACAGCCATGGCCCAGCATCGATATAAAAGCCCAGCCGCCGAGGCTCCTAGGCTCAGACGTAGCTGTGCCTCGAACGCGTACCCATCTCTAGCCATCGCGTCGAAAGTGTCGAGTCCTCCAGAGTTCCTGTGTGCCGGGACTTTCCTTCTCCTCCGCGTCATGATGCGTCTCCTGTTACTGCCACTGTTCCTCTTCACCCTGTCCATGGCCTGCATGGGCCAGACCTTTCAGTATTCACGGGGCTGGACCAATGGCAAGAGGGCTTTGAATCCGGCCGCATCACCGCTGCTGGGCAACGGTGGCCACTTTCACCGGAGCAACGAGCTGGGCTACACGGATCTGTACGATCTGCAGGATTGGAGCAGTGAACGGCGATTGGAGCGGTGAGTTTGGGGATATTTATTAATATTGATTAGGAATTTAATAGAGGATAATAATATTATTTTTCAAGCTGCCTGTCACAACTCCAACGCTCTTTGATCGGTCGCAACTGTGCCCCCGCTACAGACTTAAATCGAGTTGGGGATGCCGACTCTGGGGACAACTCCCATCTCCTACCCAGGCTCAATGGCAACCTGAACAGTGAAAATGTTCTGTACTCCAACATCAATTCAAACTCCAATCGACATCGCCAGTCCAACGAGCTGCTCGAGGAGCTGAGTGCCGCCGCCAGTGGCGGAGGAGGAGGCTCCTCCTCCGAGCCCAATGTTTTTGGAAAGCATTAGCTCGGATCTCTTAGTGTCTATTAGAAAAAGTATTGTTAAACTAGCAAAAAGTGCTACAAAAATGTAAAAAAAAGAAACCAAGCCATGTTGTTTTATATCTTTAAATTAAATGAGAATTTTTATTGAAAACATGAAGAGTATTTTAGCTTTATTAGATCACTTCCTATATATTGCACTACCATTCACTCTCTGAGCATAATCGGAACAGGTAATCAGTACTCTGATCTGGTTAAGAGTAAGCCCAGCCATAGCTACTACGCTCAGTTCTCGTTGAGCCTCCGCCATCATCGGATCTAGATTCTAGAATGGGAATGACGATCGATTGGCTGACCTTGCTGGCTCTCTATCTCAGTGCATCAACAAACTGGGCGCTGGAAATACCCCAACACAATTGCTCGCACTTCACCTATCGACAGCTGCCAAGTGGCCAGTGGATCGGAGTCTTCCAGGCGCCCAAAAGCGGAATCCTTGAATTTGACTGGAAGGTCACATTCATTATACCCGGGGCCCCAGAGGTAAGCAAGGATTAAAAGCAATTAAATAATGAAATTAAATGAAATGCGATCATTTAGGGTAGGATGAGATTTCTCCAGCACTTTCCCAATGAAGAAGAAAACCTGGCTAATATACGGAACGGAGGCAGGGCCCAAGTATTCGCAACTTTGCAGGAATCCGACAACAAATTACCCGCGCTTCAAATAGTCACGCTGAATGACGAGTTGCTTTGTAGGAACATAGGAACATTTCCAAATTACTCTTCCAAAAACGTAGGCATAGATTTTGCATTGTTGTCTTGGGTCGTCCAGCAACCCCAGGTCCGGTCGGACTTCGAAGAGTGCGGACAGGAGGGCTTTGCGGCGACTCAGCATGGAGGTAACCTCGTCACAAGGGGCCAATACCCTTGGTTGGCGGCCCTTCTCGAGGGCACCTCCTCAATTAACTACATATGTGTGGTTTCCGTCATCTCCAAACGGACCGTGATCACGGCAGCCCACTGCATCTATGACAAGCCCGCCAGCCAGCTGTGGGTCTATCTGGGCCGGCACGACCGCAACCAGAAAACAGAGGATGGGGCCAAGTTGGTCAGCGTGTCCAATGTTCTAACTCCACCACAGTACAGCGGCAATCCCCTTCCAGACTCAGATGTGGGTTTACTGGTGCTGAAACATCCGATTTGGTACACAAGGTACATTCGGCCCCTGTGCCTGTGGAGCTCTGAGTTACCTGTGCCCCCGAGAGAAGGTGACACCGGATCGGTGGCTGGATGGGGATACGATGAGTCTGGCTTAAAGACACGCTATCCCAAGGCAGTGAGTGTGCGTCTGGTGCCCAGGGATCAGTGCGTCACGAAGATGAAAAAGGCCCAGGACTTTATAACGGAACGGACGGTCTGTGCTGGTAACTCGGAGTCGCAGGGTCCCTGCTTTGGTGACTCTGGAGGAGCGCTGATCGTCCTGCGAAATAACCGCTGGGTCATGCGAGGAATCGTTTCCCTATCGCAAAGTCGGGGAGAAAACTGCGACCTAAGCAATTATGTCATCTACTGCGACGTTTCACAGCATCTCGATTGGATCGAGCAGAATATTGTGAGATAATGATATCAAAATCAATATCGACTCACGATAAGTATAATTAGTTTATAGATTCAGTTTAATTTCATTTTAAAAATTCTAAATATCAAGCAATAAAAATACACATTAAATACTGGCTTACTGCTCGCTCCCTCCAGATGCCTTGGGCTACATTTCGATGTCTCGGAGCACACTATCGCTGATATTTTGCAGGTCATCCTCTTCGTCGCCTTGATCAAAATCGAATTTGTGGGAAATATTTAGGAAATTCATGTTATTCTCCGAATTCAAATCGGCTTCAAGGGACTGTGAATCCTGCAGGGAAATTGAATTATAAATTGAGTTTGTTTTGAGGGAATCCAGCTCTACTCACATTCATGGTTATGTCGTTGAGAAGTATGCGAGGAGACGTTCGTGGAATTCCCTCAGCTGGCGGACCCGTCACCAAGGCATCCAGCCTTCCCGATGGCGAAGTGCTATGATTATGGGTGTTCCTTGAGGCATTCAAAACCTTCATCACCGCTGCGTTCATTGCCACCAAGGAACTGTTCGTTTCGGATTTTCGGGGAAGGCGTTCAATGCGTGTGCACTCACTGGCGTCTGTCCCCGGAGAAACTGTCTCTGGTGAGAAGACCTCTCTGGCTGAGGCCTCCTCATTGAAGCCAAACGAGGCCTGCAACTCCTTCCACTTGCTCCCCAAGGCGGAAAGGTTAGGCTGCGGCCCTGCTCTGGGCTTGGCAGCATTCTTTTGGATGGTGCGCAGCATCTGCAGGGGATCATTGATCTTGGATCGGTTCATGGTGCCATTGAGATCGTTTCCAGCCAGGGACTGATCGGGATCCTTTGGTTTCCGGGCTGAGCGTGGAGGAGCAGGAGCTGGACAAGGAAATTACTTGGTCTTAGTATCCTACAGCCAAGAAGGCAAACATGTGCTTCTCACCCAACAAGCTGCCGTTGAATGTGGCCTCGTACTGCTTGGCATTGAAGTCGCCCTGAAGAGCCAGGCGCACAGGAGCAGTGCGTCCACTGCCGCCGGCCAAATCGATCCGGATGGGTGGCGTTGATATAAACTTTAAGCCAATGCCTTGGTGGCGTGCATCTAAGCGGGGAGTATCTGGCGGATGGTTCCCTTGAGCTGATTCGGTCTTTTGCTTCAATACTCCGAGCCGCGTAATCAGATCCTTCTGCACATGGCTGAGCTGGCCCTCGATCTGGGAGACCTCCTCGCGCAGCTCCTGAAGATCTTTAGAGACGAATGCATTCGACTCGTTGCAGTGATCGTGGGCATCCAGTTGTTCGGCCATTGATGCGCTGACCCTGTTGAGTGCGTCTATAAGGGCCTCCACCTTAGAGCCGCCCGCTTGATGGAAGAAGTCTGGCGGGGAATAGGCATTTGTAATTATTTTACTTGAAATTGTCATGGTCATATCACCTCCTCCTCCATAGGCTTCCCCGTCGAGTAATCCTCGCGTGCCGCGTAGAGTCTGGTCCACCTGCTCCTGGCTCTGGTTGTGCTCTGCCTGCTTGGATTGAAAATGCTCAATGTCTTCCTTCACGCCACAGAGAGCCTCTAGCTCTGCCGCTGCCAACTTGGCGGGTTGGCTCACTATCTGCTCAAGGCGACGCCAATTGGTGGCCTCGCAGTCTTCCAGGAAGCCTTCATCTAGGAGTTGCGCCTCGGGCACACCTACCTCCGCCGATATGTCGGCAGTGAAGCGACGGATCTTCTGGATATTGTGCCGCAACAGGGCCATGTTCTCTTCCAAATCCGTGAGGTAAGCCGAGGCATACTCCTTCATCAGCGAGTTCTGGCGAGCCATCACCTTGGCACTCTTGGGCGGCATAGAGGTCGCGTCCTGAGCGAGCGCCTTTTCGCGCAGCTTGATCTGTTCCTGGATCACAAAGCTGACCAGCTCGAGTAGGAAGTTGATGAAACGCATGCCGCCAGGCATTACCACCAGGTAAGACTGGATGTTGGGCCAGCACTGCAGCTGGTGCTTCTCTTTCAGATGCTTCAGGTACTCGACCGTGCTGGAGCGAAAGTTCGCCTCGGACTTCTTGTCCGTAATGGGCCAGAAGAAGCGGCGCTTGAACTCGGCGGGGTCCAGCAGCCGGAAGAGGTAGTGCATCACGTGGAAGAATGCCAACTGGTTGGGCTTAAGGAACATGTCCCACGCCAGCAGTTTGCGCAGATCGTCGGAAGCCGGGTGGATCAGGGCCAAGCCCTGGAGCTTTCTGAACAGCTTCTCGCTGTGCTCCTTCTCCTCCGCCTTCCAGGTGGCTGCGCGATCCATGGTATACCTTGATAGACCTAAATGGAAAGCAATTAGTTGATATTTCGCCTTTTTTTTATATTTTACCTTCGCAAAATGGCGGTTTATTTTGAAGTTATCCTCTTCTTTATTCATGATAGTGTGGCCAGATCAGGAAATACCTTCAAATTGAACATGTTCTCACTATAATTTTATTTTTAAAACAAATTAAATGAAATAATTGTTTTTATATATTAAAATTTTTATAAAATTTGTATTATTAAAACTATGTTTATTAATAAAATAACTCTAAAAAATAAAAAAATCGTAAAAAATTAATTTTAAAAATAGCTAAATCTAGCTAAAAAGCAAAGAGCTAGGATTGCCCTCTCTGCTGAACATCTCAATGATTTGTTTACTTGTTTGCTCTGGCCACACTAATTATTTTTCTTGGACGATTCGGTTGCTGCTGGAATCTGTGGACGAATTTATTTATACTCTTAAGGAATTGGTAATTAATTACTCATGCCTCAACGGAAGTGGACACTTTGACAATCCCAAAACGAACAAGATAGTGAAAAAGCCAGGTGTCTTAACCACGTTTCCATCGCCGCAAACCTTTGGCATCCGGGTCCAACGTAGCACTTTCTTTATTGAGAAAAATCAATATGTTCGTTGGGTATAGAAATCGAGTCTGCGACCGCATATACTATATAGATTACAGATATCGCGACATCGGGAAGGGGTGGACAAGTGGACGTCCGCCCCAGAAGCGATAATCAAATCGGAGTGAATATATACATATGTTTTCATGACAAAGCCGCGATTCTTTCCAGGAACGGGAGAACGAATGTGCAGATTGCGGCCGTGGTTTTTACGTGACCGTGAATCATAAATACATACAGAGAAAGTGCGCGGATGTATACATATATATATTATATGGCTATGGCTTCTTTGCATTCGCAGATACCAGGCTGCCAAGATGGGTTCCCTGTTCCGGAGCGAGGAGATGGCACTGTGCCAGCTCTTCCTGCAAAGTGAGGCGGCCTATGCCTGCGTCTCGGAGTTGGGCGAGCTGGGATTGGTCCAGTTCCGTGATGTGAGTATTAGTCATTGCATAAAATAAAGATTTTTATGGATGCTCCACAAAAAATAACTAATTCATGTCTCCTAACACAGCCTGGTTTATTAAATGCCAAAATTTATTGTTTGTGGGTGGAACTTCAATAATTAATAACGAATTGTGCTCTAATTTTCCAGCTTAATCCGGATGTGAACGCCTTCCAGCGAAAGTTCGTCAATGAGGTTCGCCGCTGCGATGAAATGGAGCGCAAGCTGCGCTACCTGGAGAAGGAGATCAAGAAGGATGGCATACCCATGCTTGACACTGGCGAGAGTCCCGAGGCTCCTCAGCCCCGAGAGATGATTGATTTGGAGGTGAGTGGGCTTTCTGACACTGAAACTGATATATTGTGTCTCTCTAAACCGCTGACTTAACTTGTTTGGCTTCTGTGCCCTTTTCTTTCCCTCCAGGCCACCTTTGAGAAGCTGGAGAACGAGCTGAGGGAGGTGAACCAGAATGCTGAGGCTTTGAAGCGCAATTTCCTGGAGCTGACCGAGCTTAAGCATATTCTCCGCAAGACCCAGGTCTTTTTCGATGAGGTAAGTGGTCGCAACTAAGTGGGCATTGGCAGCTAATTTATGCTGATCGGCGAAACCGATTTCGAATTAACATATGTGGCAGCCGGAGAGGCTTCGGCCACGCCAACCAATTAACCAACTGTTCTTAGCATATAACATAAGACACAACTGTGTGGCAGTCACGGCTTCCCTCCCTCCCAGAACCACACACACACTCTCCAAATAGTTTAATCTCCGTCCAAGTCCACTCTCTGCACGAAACTCCTCCTGCTCCTTTTCCGCTTCCCCACAAACACAATGTGCTTTTTTAACCCCTCTCCGTTTGAGTTTGTACAAATATTCCCTAGTTGTGCGTTTGATATCAGTTGTTGATGGTTATTGTTTCTGTTTTATTATTCTAGTATGGGTGTATTTTAAGAAATAATTAGAAAATTGGGGATTTTACATGTAAAATTATTGTCTAGAAAAATTTTAAAATTAATTAGGACTCTGGCAAGCGTTTTAGGCCAAACTAACGGGGGGTTTTCAACTAAAATCAGATCGAAAAAAATGTTTTACATCTAAAAAAGTTTAAATATTTTGTTAATTTACTTAAAAACTGCACCTTAATGTATTTTAATATTTTATATTGCTTGAAATTTGAACACAACACAATTAAAAAAAACAATAAATAATTAAAAAATAAAAATAATAATTTATAAACCCTTGTAAAATTTGAAAATATAACATTTTTAAATGATACATTTTCAAGTCAAATAAATTGCAATTTTAAAATGTTTGGCCTTAAAATATAAATTTTTTGAGAGGCAGGAACCAGAACTTAACTTATAAAACTAAAAAAAGCGGTGTTCTCTTTATCGTATGTTTTTTTTTTTTTTAATATTTTTGAGGTCCCATATTTTCCTTATATTTCCTTTCTATTTTCCCTCCTACACAAAACTTTTATAAATATACCTGGATGTTTGTATGTATATATATGTGCCAGAATTATTATTTAGTTATTATTGATTTATTTCCTGATATATTTGGTTATTTTATTATGCGTTTTCTTTACATTTTTGTTTTTCCATCAATAAATCAATCGATTCAATCAACCCAACCCCGACCCCTGACGTTACAACACCAAAAAAAAAAAACACACACTGCAAAATGCACAACACGAAAACACACAACAATCTACTGCCTCTGCCTCTGCCACCTGCCACCTGCTCCTTTTTTTGGTTTGGTGTGTGTATGTGTGTGGACCAAGTCGGTGCCCACGGTTTACAAGTCGAGTGGCGCAACGTACTCATCCAGCAAATATCGGCGATATCCGCAGATGGCCGACAACCAGAACGAGGACGAGCAGGCGCAGCTGCTGGGCGAGGAGGGTGTCCGAGCCAGCCAGCCGGGACAGAATTTGAAGCTTGGGTAAATATTCAAAAAGGACGCTGAGATATGACCACCGGACTTGGGGGGAAAACTAAATCTAAACTCAGGCCAAGACCAAGACGCGCTCTCGCTCTCCGCCCTCCTGCTCCTCCACTTTCACTCTTTTGCTGTTGTCGTCGCTGTTGTTGTGTTCCATGTCCTCCCCTTCCCATTCTCTCTGTGTCGATGATAGGCTATCGAAATTGATGTCAAACATAAAGCACACATAACTCCTGGTGTCGGTGTTTCCATATGCTATATTCTCTATCCTCTACCCCCCAAAATCCCCACTCCCTTAACCCCAAACAATCTTAATACGGAGGCGGTTTTACTAATTGCCAGTACTAACCCCTTGCCCGAGTCGAGCCGTATGAATGAACTTTTGCCCAAAATACCATTACCAATTTCTAGCAAGAAGGCGGCGTAAACCAAACTACCGAGTCGATGACCCGCGCCTTGATTACCGACGAGGCGCGCACTGCCGGTGCTTCCATGGGTCCCGTTCAGCTCGGGTATGTATCCAGCATCGAGCAGTTAGAAACCAAGATTGGGCCAGGCATAGCCTTAGACCTTTGTTCTAATATGCACTAAGAACTCGGTTTTTTGGGTGGACAAATATTTGTATTTCTTGTAAATTTTTTTCATTTTTAAGGTGATTTTTTTGTAAATAATGGTTTTTCTTTAGGAAATATGCTGAAGTTTATAAAATATTTAATGAAAACTCAAAGTAATATATTTGGCCATTGTGGAAAATTAGAAAAATTGTCTATTAACAAATTCTAAATTTGCTAAAAATATTATTTATTAGGAAAATTAAAAATTAATTTTGAATTATAACCTTTATCCTAAACTTTATCTCTCAATATTCTTTAAAAAATGAAGCTCAGTTAGAATTGAGAGAAAAAAAACGATATATCGATACTGTATTTATATCTAATGACAAACCCGATTTATAAATAGATAATTAAACATTGTGAAATCGATATAATCTACAATATATTCTACTTATTTTCACTTTTAAAGAAGTTATCAAAAATAAAGTTACAACGATCTTTTAGTATAATCAGTAAACAAGATCAATAAATAAATGATTCGATAATATCGATATTTTAACTTTAAATGCGATATCTTGCATTTCGATAAATCATACTATGGTAAAATGGGTTAAGATCATAATTTATGTTATAGATTCTTGTAATAATACTAAGTTATAGAGCTTTTCTTTTATAGTTAGTAAGAAGTAGTGTCCACCCAAGGGGAGCTCTTCTTGTATATATTTTTTACCTGTTTTTTAACTCTTAACCAAACGAAATGCCACACAAAATTATTGCTTTACTTGCCGCCAAACTAATCAAATGCTGCGCGCCGCGCCAAGACTAACTAAAAACCATGCCAACAACCACATGTTCCATTTAGACCAGCTTGAAGTCTCTTTTGGAGTTTCTCAAGCAATAATTTTCTGTGCCAAGCTGTTCCAAAAAAAAAACCCATAGCAAAAACTAAATTAAACGTCGTTCTCTTCTTATGCTCCTCTCTCTTCCCCCAAAAACAAAACAAAAACCAAAAAAAACGTGAAAAATTATGTTAAATGTGTGTTTAGTTACATGGAGAAATCGAACGAGCGTGAGGATTATCTGCCATGGTTGGTACCCTCTGACCCTACCAGACTATAGGCCAATCAATCAGTCGCATAGCAGCGCTCATCAATCGTATCCGTATCCGTAACCTCCGTAACTGTTTCCGTATCCGTTTATCGATCGATCTATCAGCTGTATATATATAGAGACATCTGCCATTAGCTTCGCTCGCCTTGCCTTGCCTCACGTCACCCAGCACCGCCCCGCATCTCGTCCAGAACTCAGTTGTCCACCTAACCACTCCCATTTATCCCAGGGATCCTCTCTCATACAACCCGTTTCCCTGTTTCCCCCGCTCTTGCCTCGCGCGTCCATTGGTAACTTGTGCTTGAGAGTTTAGTTTTCCTTGTTTGTTTCGTAAATAACAACCGGAATGACTCTGTTTTTTTTGTACTTTTTCACCTTTAAAGTTGCAGTTTTGACTAATCCTTCTTCCCCTTTAGCTTTGTGGCTGGCGTCATTCTGCGGGAGCGCCTGCCGGCCTTTGAGCGTATGCTTTGGCGCGCCTGTCGTGGCAATGTGTTTCTGCGCCAGGCCATGATCGAGACACCGCTGGAGGATCCTACCAATGTAAGCAATAATGTTTCTCAGTAAATTCTATGACATTTTTTTAAATCAAATTTTTATAGGGCGACCAGGTGCACAAGTCGGTGTTCATCATATTCTTCCAGGGCGACCAGCTGAAGACGCGCGTCAAGAAGATTTGCGAGGGCTTCCGCGCCACGCTTTATCCCTGTCCCGAGGCCCCGGCCGATCGTCGCGAAATGGCCATGGGTGTGATGACACGCATTGAGGATTTGAATACGGTGCTGGGCCAGACCCAGGATCATCGCCATCGCGTGCTTGTGGCCGCCGCCAAGAACCTTAAGAACTGGTTCGTCAAGGTGCGCAAGATCAAGGCCATCTATCATACGTTGAATCTCTTCAACTTGGATGTGACACAAAAGTGTCTGATTGCCGAATGCTGGGTGCCATTGCTGGACATTGAGACCATTCAGCTGGCCCTGCGGCGGGGTACCGAGAGATCGGGTTCGTCGGTGCCGCCGATTCTCAATCGAATGCAAACGTTTGAGAATCCACCGACCTACAATCGAACCAATAAGTTCACCAAGGCCTTTCAGGCCCTAATCGATGCGTATGGCGTGGCCAGTTATCGGGAGATGAACCCGGCTCCCTACACCATCATCACCTTCCCCTTCCTGTTCGCCGTGATGTTTGGTGACCTGGGTCACGGCGCCATAATGGCGCTCTTTGGCCTGTGGATGATACGGAAGGAGAAGGGTCTGGCTGCCCAGAAAACGGACAATGAGATTTGGAACATCTTCTTTGGCGGACGTTACATCATCTTCCTCATGGGTGTCTTCTCGATGTACACGGGTCTCATCTACAACGACATCTTCTCCAAGTCGCTGAATGTTTTCGGTTCCCACTGGCACATGTCGTACAATAAGTCAACGGTGATGGAGAACAAGTTCCTCCAGTTGAATCCCAAAGTTGACTACGAAGGCTCTCCCTATCCCTTCGGCATGGATCCCATTTGGCAGGTGGCCAACGCCAATAAGATTATCTTCCACAATGCCTACAAGATGAAGATCTCCATCATATTGGGTGTCATCCACATGATCTTTGGTGTGATTATGAGCTGGCACAATCACACCTACTTCCGGAACAGGATTTCCATGCTCTATGAGTTCATACCGCAGTTGGTCTTCCTGCTGCTCCTCTTCTTCTACATGGTACTGCTGATGTTCATCAAGTGGATCAAGTTTGCGGCCACCAATGCGAGTGAGTAATCCTTGAAAGTTGAAGAATATATCGGAGGATATATCTTGTTATCTTTTACAGAACCCTACTCCGAGGCCTGTGCCCCCTCCATTCTGATTACATTCATCGACATGGTGCTGTTCAATAAGCCCAAGCCGCCGCCTCAGGACTGTGAGGTGTACATGTTCTGGGGCCAGCACTTTATTCAGGTCTTGTTTGTTTTGGTGGCCGTTGGCTGTATTCCCGTGATGCTGCTGGCCAAGCCGTTGCTCATTATGCAAGCACGCAAGCAGGCGAATGTAAGTAGTAATTCCAGAGTTTACTGTAGTTCATCACAATCCTCGCAAAAACCTCACAACAAATCAACATCAACGTACATCCCTCTGCTCTCCGCATTATTCTTATTATTACTAACCGCTTCTCGTTTCATTTATGCTCCCCGATTAACAACAAAATTAACAAAATCCCAAAACCAAAATCCACACCAACAAACTAAAAAAACAAACACCAATTCACAAATCCAAAGGAAGAGGTTAGTCGTGTCGTTTGTTGTCCATGTCACAGTGAAGCTTCCCTTTACTTCAAACCCTTGGAATTTTCAATTTTGAAGATTATTTATAAAGAAGTTATGTCAAATATAAATACAGAATTAATAGATCGTTATTTTCTGCCTATGAAAATATTTGAAATTTTAATTTAAATATCAATCAAGTATCGTTTTTTCTGCCCTCCGTAAATTGTAGAGATTAGTTTTCAATGAAATTTTCCATCTGCTGTTTGAAGTTCAAGGAAGTTTGACTGTAGTTCGATAAAAAGAGTTTCCCCAAGAAAAAAAAACACTACTTAAAAACGCTAAATAATGATTTATTTTTCAGGTTCAGCCCATTGCCGGCGCCACGTCTGATGCGGAGACTGGCGGTGTGTCCAATGGCGGCTCTCATGGCGGTGGCGGTGGCCACGAGGAGGAGGAAGAGCTTTCGGAGATCTTCATTCACCAGAGCATCCACACCATCGAGTATGTGCTGGGATCGGTCTCCCACACCGCATCGTATCTACGATTGTGGGCGCTCTCGCTGGCGCATGCCCGTAAGTTTCAAGGATTACTTTAATTCTCGAAAGTTTACAAGTTTAAAAGAAAATTCGTATCAATACAGAGCTGGCCGAGGTGTTGTGGACAATGGTCTTGTCCATTGGCCTGAAGCAAGAGGGCTGGGTGGGCGGCATCGTCTTGACCTGCGTGTTTGCCTTTTGGGCCATTCTAACCGTTGGCATTTTGGTGCTAATGGAGGGTTTGTCGGCCTTCTTGCACACGCTGCGTCTGCACTGGTAAGTTCTGTAGATTCTTTAGCTTGAGAGATTCGCTGATTCCCTCTTCTATTTCCTTCAGGGTGGAGTTCCAGAGCAAGTTCTACAAGGGCCAGGGCTATGCCTTTCAGCCCTTCTCGTTCGATGCCATCATTGAGAACGGAGCTGCCGGCGCCGATGCGGAGTAAGCGCCACAGGGAATGCAAAGCCCAAAGTTGGGTGAAAAACAACCAAAGCATCTTCAGAGTCTCATTATGCACATGAAATTAACAACTTATCCAAATAAGCAGAATATATATCGAGTGTGGAATTTAATAACCAAGTAACCAGTAACGCTTTCGCCGTGAATTTATCTATCTCATTTTAGCCCCCAGCAAGCATTGAGCCTTGCCAATAATAATTAATTAATGTTCTTCGTAGACGTGTTTGCCGTGTTTATTAAATGTACTCTATATAAACCTATAAATAAATAGCTAAAGCTAACCCCACTGGGGGTTGGCACCAAAAACAAAGATTTTGGTTACTTTTTGGGAATGTTTTCAAGTTTGTTTAGATGAAAATAAGCGATTTTTTAACCAGTCATGAGATCATTTAAAGCTTGAACGAATTTTTGCATATTCTCGGGCTGCGTTTCGTAGGGTCTCAGGGCTTGAAAGTCCGACGTGGCCAGCTTGGCGTCCACATCCGTGACCCCGCAGTAGTAGATATAGTTCTCGGCGGCCAGTTGCCGGGCCAGCTCCAGTTGATGATTGTCCATTAGCTTGTCGTTGATCACAATCAGTCCATATTTCCGGTTGTTCAGTATGTCCATGCAAGTGCCAGCCCCGGCATGGCCAATAATGAGGTCAGCAGCCCTTATATCCTCCAGATTCGGCCGGAATTTATATTGTTCGACCTGGATACCATACTTTTTGCTTATCAGTTGAGTTTCTTCGGCCGACAAGGGCTCCGAATTGCCATGCTGCACGATGAGCTTACGGCATTTTCTGGCCTGCAGAGCTCTCAGGGCAGGTTCCGATTTAACGACGCCTATAAGGTCATCGAATTTGGTGGTGCCCACGGTAATATAAACCGTATTTAACTGCATTATTTGTAACAAATTTAAATGAAACACAAAATTGCAGTCAGCTGTTTGAAAGCCCTTCTTCTTTCTAGAGGTGGAGAACTGTCGATGGCACTATCGACACTATCGATTCTCCACCTCTACTTCTTTCAGTTAATTTAGTATGACCATGTCGGCTTTGGATTTGAAATCCGCCTGGAATATATAGTTGCTTGGAAATATTTATAAGTTATGTGTTTAAATCTTTATAAAATAATTAATAAATATAATATAAATGTAATCATAAATAAATAAAAAAAAATTTAAATGCAATGAAAGGCAGACAAACCAAAAGGAATTGCTCTCCCTCTCACTCACTCGCTTATGATCTCTGCTCGCCATTATGCTGCCGACGAAAGCTTCCACCTCGCATTCTGTTTATTCCGTTTTGAACCGTTACGCGTAACGGTCGCGCCGCTCCCGTGGTAAAATATTTAAATAGTTCGGGATAAGAACTGTCCTCCGTTTAGTGATTAGTTAGTGCCAGTGATTTGTTTACGTTTTATTCAATTAGTGCAACGAACTTAGCCGTGTTGGGCTTAACTGTGAAGGTGCAAAAGAGTAATAGTTGTCGACTAACGGTAAATTAAATTATTCCCACGTTTCTGCGGTGTGTGTGCAAGTGTATGTTAGTGAGCGCCTGCGAGTGTGTTGGTGCCGGCTGCTGTTTGCACGTCGGAAGGTAATTGACTAATCAACACTTCATTTAATTCAGTTTTTATTTCTGCACCCTCGCCGTTTATTCTTTGTTTATTTTGCAAACGCTTCTCAAGTTTGCCCGTGGCAGGCGGCATCTGGCAACGATTAATGGGGAAAGGAAAAGACAACAACAAACAAATAGACTGAGAGTTTTCCAGCGCTCAAGGCATTGGAATAGACTCGAATTATTGGCCATTCACGCAGGACCATAAACACCTTTGCCGGCCCCGAAAACTTTCCTCCCCTAAAGATCACCAATTTATGGCCGATCGCTTGCCAAATTGACTGTCCAAATTTGTAGAAATCATATTGGATGCTGCTGCGGTTGCCTCTGCCTCAAAATCCAATTAGAGCACCCGTGCAAATTATCCGCCGGACTAGCGATCGCGATCGGTTCTTTATATTCCAACCCCACACACACCCACACATGGACACACAGCCATCCCATCACTCAGCGGTCAATAAATTGTCTCTCTCTTGGATTTTTTGGACGGGAGAGAGACAGCGATTAAAAATTAATGTCTTAATCGTGGGTGTGTGAAAAGAGGCAATATTTACATGTCTTCTGCTCTTCTTCGTTTTCCGTTCTGCGTGTCTCCAGCGTTCCCCCCTACTTTACCCCCTTGGGAATCTTTCCAATGATTTGTCAATGTTTGCTTTTCCGTTCCCCGCAGTTATCCATGTCCTTGTGTTAATTAATCGCACTGCACTGCGAGAAATTGCATAAGCGACATCGAAAAAATTAAAATAAATAAGCAAAAACTATTTAAAAAAAAGATTTCCTAGTTATTCAGTTGTTTTTGGTTTTTTTATTATTATTATTTTAATTATTTGAATAGTTGAAGTCTTTGCTAGATTGCAAATATATTTGCTATACTTTTATTCAGTTTTTATATCATAGAACGTAAAAAATATTACAACTTTCAAATCGTATTGTATTAATGTTCTTGGTTATCAGTTTCTTTACTATAAAATAATAGTAATTACTTAAAAAGAACACCTAAATAACCATTAAACTTGTTGATTTTGCCAGTGCTTAAACTTTATCCATCGCCATATGCTTGACACATAGCCGGAGGCTTTACGCGCAGTTTATCAATGAAATATTGCTATAAATTGGATCCCCAACGGGGGACCCAGGGACTCCCACCCGCAAGGGGGATGGAGTAAAGCATCAGTGGGTGACATCGTATCATTTGCAGCAGCGAAGGTCACAGTGTCGACGGGGTCTGACTTCTGTACGTAGTTCGGCGGCGGCGTTTAATTGCAGTAATTTGCAAAAAAAAAAAAAAAAAAAAAATATATATATAACCCGAAGGAGAAGAGTAACGCAGCTCAGCAGCAGAGGCTGATCAAATTAATGTCATAACTCAATTAGCCCGGCGGACGAATTTGCATGAATATGAGTTGATTTACGACCATGTTGTTGCCCCGCTCAATTTGTGCTTAAACTTTTGCCAATTGATAATAGCAGCGTGCTGGGAGTTCTGTCTGTCTCTTTAGAGGCCCGACCCGGTCTTCTAGTTAAGCTCACAATCTCTGCGGGAGAAGAGGAATCACACTTGTTCATATATAGATTATAATAGCAGTCTAAAGAAAAGAAGGTTCACCGGGGGCGTTGACATTTTGATAAGCTCAAAATTCAAAAATTGCAATGGTTTCAATAGTATAATTTGGTTTATATATATTCCAAGGCAAATTCTACATAATTAATTATTTTTATGGTTCTTCTTTGCAAGTTGTAGATTCAAAATGATCCTAGTTCATTATAAGATTTATAGGCAATTCTTAGAAACAACAGGTAAACCCCCATGCTTGCTCCGTAATTTGGAATAACCTACGCACTACGTATCTGATCTCTTGGCTAACTTCAAGCTCAACTTCTCTGTTGAATGGGAAATAAACAAGAATTTAAATATATATTAAACTTGCGCGACTGACGTTGCGGGAAACACCCCTTGGCATACGCCATCTAACCAGATGCATGTCTAGAGAGATCTCCATACAAAAACCAGCCGGGTGACATAAGTGTGTGCTCCTCTAGCCGAAGCCAGTTATCAACTGGGACAGTAACTTTAGCTGTTTTTTTATGGCCATTGTTCTATGGGATATATTCTATACTGCATTGTTAGGGAGCAAAGTAGTTTGAAAGGTTTTTTAAATATTGTTTTGGTTTTAATTTGTACAAAAAGCAGTACACAAAAGAAGTTTACTTTAGTTATCTTATTTTATTTCCGCTCTTAAAATGGCTATAAATAATATTATAAGACTCTTATTACATGAACATTATATTTTTTGCTATTAAAAACCATATAGTAAGTCGTTCCCTCTGAGAATGAGCTAATGAATCAGTTACATTCTCGATAAACTAAGCGATTTGCCCCTCGAAAAACAAAACTCTCTTGGCAAGGAGTCCTTCCTGTTTGGCTTCCCCTTAGTTGGTCGACCGCAAAAGGACACGGCGGCTCAGGGACAATTTACGCAATTAAATCGAAACCCCCGCAGATGATGATGACACAAGACAGCCAAAGGGGTTGGCCTCGGGGCCAGAGAAACCACTTAAGTGGATCTGAGATTGCAAAACGAGCAACCTGCAGTTGGATATCACATTACGGAGCTTCCAGGGCGGAAGTGGATGTGGATAGAGAACAGCAAGTGGAAGTGGATGTGGTGGTGTGCTTGAGGACTTAACTAACCGACAAGTTCTTCCTGCTTACAGGATCGGGGATAGGTTACAATTCAAAAGGATAACTGGCTTCGGTTCAGGACATAATTTAAGATTACTGAAACCCTTTCAAGGTATTATAATTTCAGTCAGAAGATTGTTATGCAGTGAAGGAGACATTTCCGTTCATATAAATATTTATTTAAAAATTAAAATATTTCCAGACTTCTTGAAGGACAAGAAAGGAATTGTAACTGATTTCTTGTTTTTATATAATTTATTTAAATAAATATCAAAAATTAAGTTTAATAATTGATCTTATCGTTCAGCCTCCGCCATGGTCGTCAAGGAGATACCACTCCACGAAAATCTGAGCATGGAGAATCGCTCTACCAATGCGGCCACGCCCACTACCACCACCACCTTCTCTAGGCCGGGGCGTCGCTTTCATCTCTCCCTGACCACTGCCATCCTGCTGGCTTCCTTCTTTATCTGCACCCTGCTGGCCGTAGGCTTTATCGTCTACAACTTCGCCACTTGTGCCCAGCTAGAGCCAGCGCCGGGCGAGGACATTGTCTGCACCAGTGTCCATCTGAGGAACAAACTAAAGTCAGGTCAGGAAGATGGAAGGCCCAAGTACGACCGGGATGTCCGACTGCCGCGCTCCATCCGCCCGCTGAAATACAACATTACCCTGGAGCCGCTGCTTAGCGGCAACTTCAGTTTCAGCGGCAGCGTCCAGATCCGGATCAAAGTGCTGGAGGATTGCTACAACATCACCATGCATGCCGAGGAGTTGAACATTTCGCGCCACGACGCCGCCGTTCGTCGGGTATTGGCCAATGGGGAGTTGGATGGAAACACTCTTAGGATCCACAAGCAGTACCTGGTGGGGGCGAAGCAGTTCTTCGTCATTGAGCTGTACGACAAGCTGCTGAAGGGCGTCGAGTATGTTGTGTACCTGCGCTTCGGCGGCATCATTGAGGACTATCTGCAGGGATTCTATCGCAGCTCCTACGAGGTGCAGAACGAAACAAGGTGGGTACTTCTTTGGAGATTTAGTGTGGGCAGCATTTAAACTTTCTTGTGCTTTTTGTAGATGGGTGGCCTCAACACAGTTCCAGGCCACGGATGCCCGAAGGGCCTTTCCGTGCTTTGATGAGCCCGCGTTGAAGGCCAACTTTACCCTACACATTGCCCGGCCGCGGAACATGACCACTGTCTCCAATATGCCCATTGTGGCCACCAACGATCAGTGAGTATTTATTACATTTTGTGTGGAAAAGTAGGAAATATAAAATCTACATATGGAAGGGCTTAAATAACAAATCGTCCAAATTGTACCCGTTTTTTATGCGGCTTCTCTAAGGGGGTAATTTATTTATTTAAAGAAAGCATTAATAATATCGCGGGAATATCGCTTGCTTTGGACAAAACAAAATATATAAAAATATAAAAAACAAAACCTATACCCAACCGGGCACTAAAAAAGCACAAGAAGATTTATAGGGTAAGTTTTTTGTCAATGAACGAGAGCCTTTAAGTGTAAAAAACAAACCTATACATCATTGGGCATATATTTCACGCGGTTAAGTTTATGGATTTCGTTTTTTAAGTGTTTTTTTTTTTTAATGCAATTTTAAACAAATTTGCTCAGCTTATCAAATAGCTTTTAATGGTTTTTCTGGAGAAATAAAAATAAACCCAATTATCCTTGCCCGCAGTGCCACCCTGCCCAGCTATGTGTGGGATCACTTTGCCGAATCGCTGCCCATGTCCACTTACCTGGTGGCCTATGCCATATCCGACTTTACGCACATTTCCTCGGGCAATTTCTCAGTGTGGGCCAGAGCTGATGCCATCAAGTCGGCGGAGTATGCCCTGAGTGTGGGCCCCAGGATTCTCACATTCCTGCAGGACTTTTTCAATGTGACATTCCCGCTGCCCAAGATCGATATGATTGCCTTGCCAGAGTTCCAGGCGGGGGCCATGGAGAACTGGGGTCTCATTACCTTCAGGGAGACGGCCATGCTGTACGATCCTGGTGTGGCCACGGCCAATAACAAGCAGCGTGTGGCCTCGGTGGTGGGTCACGAATTGGCCCATCAGTGGTTCGGTAACCTGGTGACTCCCAGCTGGTGGTCAGATATCTGGTTGAACGAGGGATTCGCCAGCTACATGGAGTATCTGACGGCCGATGCAGTGGCTCCCGAATGGAAGCAACTGGATCAGTTTGTAGTCAACGAACTGCAGACGGTGTTCCAGTTGGACGCTTTGTCCACATCCCACAAGATCTCGCACGAGGTTTTCAATCCGCAGGAGATCTCGGAGATATTCGATCGTATCTCCTACGCCAAGGGATCGACCATTATCCGCATGATGGCGCACTTCCTCACGAATCCAGTGTTCCGCCGCGGACTCAGCAAGTATCTGCAGGAGATGTAAGTGGAGATGAATGCCAAATCCCTCAGAGATTATAAGTTCCTTCTTTGCAGGGCCTACAACTCCGCCACCCAAGACGATCTGTGGCGCTTCCTCACCAACGAGGCCAAGTCATCGGGTCTGCTGGATCGCAGCCGGAGTGTCAAGGAGATCATGGACACGTGGACACTGCAAACGGGTTACCCGGTGGTCAAGGTATCCCGGCATCCCAACTCTAATGTGATTCGATTGGAGCAAGTGCGTTTCGTGTACACCAATACGACCAGGGAGGACGAGAGTCTGCTCTGGTGGATACCCATCACCTTTACCACTGCTGCGGAGTTAAATTTCGCCAACACCCGTCCCACCACATGGATGCCACGCACAAAGCTGTACGAGCTGGAGAATCGAAACCTCTCCACGGCCAAGTGGTTCATCTTTAACATCCAGCAGACTGGCTACTACCGAGTGAACTATGACCTGGACAATTGGCGGGCCATTACCGGGCATCTGATGGATGAGCAGCACTTTGAGGAGATAGCTCCAGCCAATCGGGCCCAACTGATCGACGATGTGCTTAATCTGGCCCGGGGATCCTACCTTTCCTACGACACTGCCATGAATCTTACCCGCTACTTGGCCCACGAGACGGGTCATGTGCCCTGGAAGGCGGCCATCAGCAACTTTATCTTTATTGATTCCATGTTCGTCAACTCTGGGGATTACGATCTGATTAAGGTTGTATAAATTTGTGATATATTGTTGAGGGAGTTAATAATTGGTTTGATTTTTCACAGAACTATTTGCTAAAACAACTGTCGCGAGTCTACGAACAGGTGGGCTTCCAGGACTCGGGGGAATCGGAGGATATATTGGTGCAGCTTAAGCGTGCTGATGTCTTGGGCATGGCCTGTCATTTGGGCCATCAGGAGTGCATAGCGGAGGCCAGCAGGCATTTCCAGAACTGGGTGCAGACCCCCAATCCGGATGCCAATAATCCGTGAGTAAAATCAATAAATCTTCTAAAAAGGAAAGAATTTAAGCTTATTCTTCTTAAAAAATATATATATTCCCCTAATTATCCCAAAATCTTTTTAAAATTCCCTAAAAATCCTAAAGATTTGTATATTTCTTTCTTTCCTCTTCCAGCATCGTGCCCAATCTCCGTGGCGTGGTCTACTGCTCCGCCATCCAGTATGGCACGGAGCATGAGTGGGACTTTGCCTTTGAGCGTTACCTCAAGACCAATGTGCCCGGGGAGAAGGATCTGCTGCTGAGCGCCCTTGGCTGCTCCCGGGAGCCCTGGCTGCTCTATCGTTACCTGCGCCGTAGCACAGCCGGCCAGCATATACGCAAACAGGATCTATTCCGGGTATTTGCTGCCGTTTCCAGCACGATGGTGGGTCAGCAGATAGCCTTTGATTTTCTGCGCAACAACTGGCAGGAGATTAAAACTTAGTAAGTAACTAACTAAAGTAGTATATCCTTTAGTTACGATTTGAATCCCTTTCCAGCATGGGCAACCAGATGTCCAACATCCACACACTCTTCAAGTTCGCCACGAAGCGCTGCAACACAAAGTTCCAGCTGAGCGAGTTCGAGAACTTTGTGAAGGATGCCCACTGGGACTACGACAGGCCCATCCAGCAGATTGTCGAGCAGATCGAGACGAGCGTGGATTGGATGAACAGGAACTACAAGTCTATTGTCAAGTGGTTGGAGAACGAAGCGGGAAGGGCGTAAAGAGGGAGTGGTAGGGGGAGCGGATAGCGATGATCCGGCGGCTTGGCTGGATCAAGCAAAAGGCAGCCAGTATTAGGATGTTCCGCAGCTGCAATTACGCATTTATGTCTAGTTTTTTTATCGAGTTTTCGCCAAAGATCGATCGTCCAGAGAGAAGAGAGAGAGAGAGCATCATCACGTTTTTTATTAATCCCTTGAGTCTTTTAATTTTAATTTTAATTTTAATCTGTAATTACTTGTACTTGTACTTAAATGTAAAATGTAAATGGAATTATATAACATTGTTCGTCACAAAAGCGTAAAGTCTAATCCTGTTTCACAGCCTCCCTCCTCGGAGCTCTTATCACATTGGCAAACATCAAGGTGCCCACAAAGACCAGCACTGTGCCCAGCCAGTGGTACAGGGTGAAGGGATTGCGGAAGTACACGATGGAGAACACCAGGGAGATGAACTTGCGTAGGGTCAGGATGAGGGTGACCGTCAGCGAGGTGCATTCCGTGGTCAGTGAGTACACAGAGCTAATGCACAGATGCTGGGCCAGCACATTGCCCACCAAATAGAGGAGGATAAGGGGCACAGCCACGCCCAGCACGGGCAGACGGTAGGTTTCCCCCTCGAATGCCAGGCTCCAGTGCGTCCTTATGTTGTCCTGCATCAGGAAGAAGGCGGGCAGCGGCAACAAATGAGTATAGTAGAGAGCTTCTCGCGCACACTGGCTGCCATGTCGCCGGTACAGAAGCTCCTGGGTAATGCCCATGTAGGAGGAGATGAACAGGGCCAGCACCAGGAGAACCACGCCCACCAGCCACCAGAATATGTCCGCCTCGCTGCTATCCCTGTGCTCCGCCACATCCCGGCTGGAGAAGTAGGTGCAGATGAAGATACCTACGCTGATCATGACCACCGATATGTACTGGCTGAGGCGGTAGCTTCTCTTCAGGACCAGCGTGCCCAGGCACATGTTGGAGATAAGGGAGCCGCCGCGTATTATCATGTGCAGCGTCATGGGTACATTGAACTGGAACACGTAGTTATTGCAAACGCTGGTGAGGAAGAACATGGCCACCAGGAGGACATAGCTCTTCAGGTCGATAACCCGTTTGACCCGACCGAACTTTGAGGTGAAAATTAAGCCTTCGAGGGCTATGAAGGCGAACTGGGCGGCTGTAACCAGGTTGCCCGCACCCGGATCCAGTTTCACCAGAAGTTCCAGGAACACCACTCCGCTGCAGCAACCCAGGAAGACGCCGCCGATGGCCAAGACAGAGCGTGGGGATAAGCCCATGGGAACAACAAACTACCAATACTACTGTGACCCTCTAAATGGGCCATTACGAGCTTTCAAGCCAACTTTCTTTTTGGCCAGGTAAACGAAAACGTAAACAAAGCCAACAGGTGGTTATCGAGAAGTTATCGATAGGTTGTCTTTGAAGTAACAGCTGATTTCTGGTGGCAAAATTCAAATTTCAGTTTAGCTTCTTAATTTTAATCACATTCGAAATTTATGCACCAACAAAACAGTCTTTTTTTGTTTACAAAATTACAAAATACAATGATTTATGATTTTCACGAACAAATACACGTATGAATGAATGGTAAAATTATTATTACGATTGCTTCTTTTCCAGCAGGGCAATGATTTTGTCCAGCTTCTCTGCCTGCTTGGCCTCAAAGTCATCCATGCGCTTGGTCACCAACTGGTTTAGCTGGAGGAACCTCTTGTCTATGAGCTCCTTGAGGGTTGACATATCAGCAGAGAGAGCAGCGGGCGTTGGAGGAGGAGTAGCAGTAGCCTCCGCCTGCGGAGAACCACCTTTAATAAGTGACATGAAATGCTGCAACTTGTCGGCGTGCTCCTCGTCCTTGGACTGGCTGCCTCCCTTTTGCAGTAGCTCCTGGATCCGCAGCAGATCCACTGGCCTCGGCAGCTGGGTGGTGATGCCATTCGGATTTGGAGCCACATGCAGCATAGAGCCGTAAACGCAGATCTCGTTGGCGGAGGTCAGCAATTTGAGATTTATGTCATTGATTCCCGAACGGTCGATCTCCATATCGTAGCGATAGGGACGCACAGGCACCTCCGCATCGTCCTCCTCCACGCAGATTCCGTAAATGGTTTCAAAGTACTCCTGCGAGGGCCCAAGGAACAGCTCCACCTTGGGGGCACTGCAGACCAGCGTCAGAGCGGCAATTTTGTAGCGGGTTGCTATCTGGAACCTCAGCTCGCAGGGCGGCGGGGGACACTCCGAGCTCGCAAATAGCACGGCACGCTCCTCGTTGATCACATCGTCCAGTTCCGGCCTGTGAGTGTGCAGACAAAGGAAGTTGCTTAATCAGTGTCGGCGGAAAAACCAGTTTTCAGGGCGTGAATCCTTTGTTTCTCACTTCATAAAGACATCGTCGTCGGATATTCGTGTGGCCACCAGTTGGGACAGCTCGTTACCCGCCGTCTGGGGCCAATTGCATCTAGCCGTCACCTTATCGCACATGATTTTATTCGGAGATTTTCAAAAGTTTGGGGGTGGAATTTGAAAAAAAGCGTTTTCTCGGGAAAGAAGCGCAAATCAAAACACAGCTGGGGATGGACAGTCAACGATAACAGCCGAGGGGGCGCTGCCAACCTGTTGGAGCTTGGGGAGCCTGCCAACTGGGGCGTCTGGCAACACGGCTCGCCGTTGACCGTGGGCAAGGTCAATCACTTACAAGGGTTTTTCAAAGGATCTTGGCATTTTTAAAGAAGTAAATATGGATTAGGAGATGCTGTAAAAGTAATTGCACATTTCAAAGGGCATGGCATAACCAAAAAAAGGTCCAAGGCCCTGAAAAATGCGAATAAAGGAAGCAGCGACTCTACCATAGTCTGGCAGCCCTGCCAGGCCACCCCCAACGACTAAGTTTCCGCCGAATTTTCGCACTTCGATTAGTTAAGCCAAGGCGGCTAGGTGAAAGTGTACACAATTTTCCGCAGATTTTTACGCACAGCTAACAACACCATGGGTGGCAAGTACAAGATCGTGATGGTGCGCCACGGCGAGTCCGAGTGGAATCAGAAGAATCAATTCTGCGGCTGGTTCGATGCCAATCTCAGCGAGAAAGGTGATTATTACATCAAGGACAGTTTGTTCCGCTGCAATAGGGAACCTTTGCACCGTAGAACCAGTCCCAAAATACTGCTTATCCAACGCGTCGTATACTTGATATTGTAATTTTGAAATCAGGCAAGGAGGAGGCTCTAGCCGCCGGCAAGGCCGTCAAGGAGGCCGGTCTGGAATTCGATGTGGCCCACACCTCGGTTCTGACCCGCGCTCAGGTTACACTGGCCAGCATCCTGCAGGCCAGCGGCCACAAGGAGATCCCCATCCAGAAGACCTGGCGCCTAAACGAGCGCCACTATGGTGGACTCACTGGCCTGAACAAGGCAGAGACTGCCGCCAAGTACGGTGAGGCTCAGGTGCAGATCTGGCGTCGCAGCTTCGATACCCCGCCACCACCAATGGAGCCAGGCCATCCGTACTACGAGAACATCGTGAAGGATCCCCGCTATGCCGATGGACCCAAGCCGGAGGAGTTCCCCCAGTTCGAGTCCCTTAAGCTGACCATTGAGCGTACGCTGCCCTATTGGAACGATGTCATCATTCCCCAGATGAAGGAGGGCAAGCGCATCCTGATTGCCGCCCACGGCAACAGCCTGCGCGGTATCGTCAAGCATTTAGACAGTGAGTAACGAGAGTATATGGAAATATTTATGGTATTTTGGATACATTTTAAGATTGATTTAATTAAATCCTTTTATTTTTTTCCCCTCCAGATCTGTCTGAGGACGCCATCATGGCTTTGAACCTGCCCACGGGCATTCCCTTTGTCTACGAGCTGGACGAGAACTTCAAGCCGGTGGTGTCCATGCAGTTCCTCGGCGACGAGGAGACCGTCAAGAAGGCCATCGAGGCTGTGGCTGCCCAGGGCAAGGCCAAGTAGAAGGTGTCATTATCGAATCCCACACAAAAGCCGGCACAAATCAGAAGCATGTGAGATGGCGCCCTCCGTGTTCACTATATCCTACTCGTTGTTGTTGTTCGCGTAGCAGAATAATTGGTTTAAATCCCAACTAAAGTTAATAAATAATTTATTATTACACACACCCAACACACAGTTTCGGAGTAAGAGTCTCTCTTGGTTTATTGAGGGGATCAGGATCACTTCTTCTTGTTCTTCTTGCCGTCCTTGGCCAGTTCCAGGCCCAGGATGCACTTGGGCGGCACCTTGTACGTTTCGGTGAGAAGCGTGTGCACGAACCGCACCTGGTTGCCCTGGATCTGGAGCTGTTCGTGCTTCTGGTGCGGCAGCTTCACCACACTGGTGCTGGCGGCGGCTCCCTGCTTGCACAGCTTGATGAACTCGGCCAGGATGATGCCGTATGCCTCGATGTTGCTCACCAGCGTAACCTTCTTGTTGCCGGAACGCGTGGCCAGGGACATTTGGATGAGGGGCTTGCCGCTGGTATCCTTGCCACTGCACATCTGGTAGGAGTGCTCCATTTTGCTGGTGATCAAGGAGCACATCTCGCTAAGCGAGGCCTCCCGGTCGCCGTAAAGCTCGATCAGCGTTTCGTCTGGCTTCACCAGCTTCGTCAGGGGATGGAGCAGGCCGTGCTTGCTCACATACTCCCGGACAATCTTCTTGATCTGCCCCGCGGGGATGCCCTCTCCGCGCTTGAAGTTCAGCTTGGTGAAAAACGCCGCCGTCGCATCCGTCACCACGTACATCTCCTTCAGCTCCGAGTGGAAGAGAGGCGTCTCGGACGCCGCCCCATTCGCCTCGCTGGCCTTGACATCGGTGATGAAGTTCACCACTTCGGGATGCTCCAGGTCCACAGAAGTGATTTTATCCACACCTTTGCTCTCCTCGCGAACCACAATGAATCCCTGGTCTACCATCTCGGCCAGGAAGTTGGAGAGCTTCTTGTAGCGTGTCTTCTTAAGGTCAATCTGCTCGGCGGCCTCGGTGACCACGTAGAGTCGGTAAAAGTTACTGGTCAACAGGGGCAGAGGCAGTTTCTTTCCATGATTTTTCAATGCAGCGAGGAAGGCGTTCTTCAGTATTGTATCGGGTGAGGACTCCTCCTCTTTCTCATTCTCCTTCTCCTCCTCGGCTTCTTCCCAGGAATCGGGGACCAGCGACAAGGAAGCAGTGCCTGCTTCCACATCCTCTGTTTGCGCCACAGCGGCGAAGGATGCAGGAGCGGCAGGCGCAGCCTTTTTCCGCTCCAGCTCCGAGCCGAGTGCTGGGAAATCCTCGCCGGACAAGGCCTTGGTCCTTACCAGTGGAATTTGCTGCACCAAACTGGGCTCGTGGGACCATAACTTGTCGCCAAACAAATGCAGCATCTTGATGGCCACGCCATGGCCACCGCACATGTACAACTCGTCGCTGGAGCGTGCCAGCTGGCCAAGACCCACCGCCGACTTGTTGTTGGTGAGGTTCACAGCCACTGAAACGGGTCAATGTTAAGGGCAAATCCTTTAGGACCTCCCTTCCCGGTACTCACTCAACTGCCCCTTCTTGTAGTGACCGTACATGTTCAATCCCACGCCCAGGGGCACCACGCCTGGCAGCATCAGGTCCGCTCCGTTGGTCAGCTTCGGCAGCACACCCTCGTGCGTGGTGAAGTACGGCAGGAGGTCGGGCACGGACCACAGCGCGTACAGAGTGGGCACTAGTTGTCCGCCATCTAGTTCAAAGAACATTGGTTGCTTCTCCACACAGTAGACGATGCTCTGGACGCCGCCGTGCGTGAGGATCTTTAGCTGCGTCACCGCCGCCTTTGCCGGCACGAGCAGCTCGATGGACACATGCGGGAACGCCGCCTCCAGGCGCTGGCGGAACTTCTTGCTCTCGGATCCCTTGAGCGCCGCACTGCTCTTGGGTCTGTAGGGCTTGAGAAACATTTGTTTGGTGTCCCGATGTGGTGGTGTCCGCTAGAAAGATTGGCACATGCCACAGTGGAAAGGAAAATAAACAATGTGCCAGCCAGGGATGTACGCTTGGCTTTTTTAAAGCCAAATCGGCTTAAAATTGTTTAAATATTTACTATTAATATAAAAAAAATTCTACATTTTTAAATTAGATTAAATTGCCCGTTTTTAAAAATAATATAACGGGTATTTGTTCACAAACCAATTTAAAACATTTCAAAATATGCTAAAAAATAACCAACTTAAATTATGAATTATTTTAAATGTTTGTTTAAATATTTTCTATATTTGTTTAAATTGTTGAATTTAATTTCCTGGTTCCAAAAATAATACTATGAGTGTTTCTTTAAGATTTATGTAGTTTAATTGCTGCAATAGGACAATAAAACTATTTGTTAGAAATATAACTTATATATAAATTCATTCCTATTCACAATTGATTTCTAAACATTTTCAAAACTGTACAAAAAATAACCTGGTTAACTTTCCACCCATAAAAACTCCCTTGAACTTCCAGATAATTTACTCACTTAACGCCGATTCCAAGAACCACAGTTCACAATTAATGGCCACATCCTTCCCACAAGCGCACATTCACAATGAAAAGTCCCGCTTGCCGTGGAAATTTTCCTGTTTTTCCTCATCAAAGGACATCTTTTCCCAGGTAGCCGAGAAGCCAAACGCACAAGATCTTGTAACGACGCCATTTTTTTATTCAACGAAACATCTGTGGTAACAATATTCTCTTCGCACACGACTCTTGTAACTTGAAAATGCGCGTTTGATTCATAATTTTTAGGTTTAGCTACGTTTTTGTACTTAGAAAGATACTTGGTAAGCAGGTATAGATTCCCCTTTCTTTTTTAACATTGAAGCCCGGCCCCGGAAAACAAGATCCTAGTCCGAATCCGAGTCGGAGTCGTTGTTGCCCTCGCCACGTTTGGACTGAGTGGGCGGATCGTAGAAATGGAGACTCTTGCGCCAGATCTTCACCAGACCATCAAAGGCCCGGCGACTATACTTTCCGTACTTGTTGGGCGTGCGCGGATGCTCGCGGCCGCGCTCCGCCTTCGGCACCATCTCCATATAGCGTTCGTAGGCCGCTGTGTTCTTGCCGTAGTCTATTTGCTTCTGGCGGCGGGCGAGCACAGCCGGGTCGGCTTCGGTGTAGGAGGACGAGGATGAGGTGGAGGATGTGTAGCTATTGTGGCGCACGCGCTTCTCCTCCTTGTGGCCCCTGAAGTTGCGCTGACGGGGATTGTGGCCGCCCTTACCAGTGGCAGCCATGGCATCGCCGTTGGCCGAGGAGTTGCTGCTGCTGTTCGGACTGTTTGAGCGGCTGTTCTCCTCGTTGCTGGGCGGTGTTTGCGAGTGGCGACGCTTGAACGGCGTCTTTAGCTTCTCCTCCTTGACCAGTCTCTCGAATTTCTCCTCGTTGACGCCGTCCAGGAACTCGAAGGCCATCTCACGGTCTGTGATCCCCTCGGCGTTCTCCTGTTTCACCTCGACCGCTTCTTTTTTGATCAAGGAACCGCAGCTGGCAGCGCTGCTATTCAGGGAGCTGGAAGCCTGTAGATCAAAGTGAGTGTTATTAACAATAGTTATGCCAAGAAGCTGCATCTCACCTCGTCGCTGTGGCCAAACTCAGCCCGGACCTCCTGGGCCCAACTTTGCATCTGGGGCTTCACATCGATCGAGATGGAAGACGCCGAGGAATTCAGGCTGGCGGAGCCCTTTATCGGTGTGTTGTCCACGGACATTAGTTGGTCCTCGCAGAGCATCTTTGTACTGTGTTGGTGTTGCAAGTGTTTGCTGATCTGGAGGATGCTGTATTTCGCTGCGAGGATGTTGTTATCACCGCAATGTTTTGTGCCCGACGACTGCTTCGCGCGTTTTTTGTTGTGATGCAGGCCAGTCCAGTGTGGCCAGGTGGTGGCCATGGAACAAATGCACTGTAATGCCAGAAAACTTATAACCACACTTGCATTTATTTAAATAAATAAATTAAGGAAGAAGGAAAGAAACTTGTGTAGGCCGAATTTTTTATACCCTTTCAGTTTCGAATCAAAAATCGATCATCATAATTAAGTCAAAAATGCTTCAAATTTAATTCGGAAAGCTGTTTTATGCTAGATTTTTCTGCATAATAAATTTTAAATTTAAAAAAAATCAAAATTTTTGCGAAATTTTTAAATTTTAATGATGTAACCCCTTATGAAATTTTGAAAAAAATTAAAAAAAATTGTTTCCCTCTGACTTGCTTATAAAGATTCGCCTGCTGATGCTGATCAATAATATATATGATTTATGGGGTCGGAAATGATTCCTTCACTTCTTTGCAAGCTTCTGACTGAAATTATAATACTTGCCAATAAATTGTAAATTAATTTATTTTAAAAAATCGAGTGGAAACAGCTTATTATTTTAAGCTTCAATCTAGCTATTTTTCTTTTCTCTGGTCATTTCAGATGGTATTTCCTAAATCCGGTTGTAAGGTCACACTGTCTGCTTATTCGAGTGATTTAGCATTTTTCGGCATAAAGAAAAAAATTGAAAATTGAAACGGTGCACAATTGTTGGTTAGTACGCATTAAATTCACCTGCCTACATTAAAAGAAAACTCGATCGGTGTCCCTGCTAAACATATGTCAATTACACATTTGTAGAACATAACTGTGAGTGGAAACAACGCAGCTGGGAAAATGAGTCTTACATCCGCCGCGGGGATAATCTCCCTACTCGATGAGCCGATGCCGGACTTGAAGGTATTCGCGCTGAAGAAACTGGACAATATCGTGGACGAATTCTGGCCGGAGATCTCCGAGTCCATTGAGAAGATCGAGATGCTGCACGAGGACCGCAGCTTCCCGGAGAACAAACTGGCTGGCATGGTGGCCTCCAAGGTGTTCTATCACCTTGGCTCCTTCGAGGACGCCTTGACCTATGCCCTGGGTGCTGGCGATCTGTTCGATGTGAACGCGCGGAATGAGTACACGGAGACGATCATTGCCAAGTGCATCGATTTCTATATTGCCCAGCGCGTTGAGTTCATCGAGAATCCTAAGGAGGCCACCGTTGTGGACGAGCGACTGGAGGGAATTGTGAACCGCATGATTCAGCGCTGCCTAGACGACAACCAGTTCCGTCAGGCCTTGGGCATTGCGCTGGAGACGCGACGCATGGACATATTTGAGGTGGCCATCATGAAGTCGGACGACGTGCGTGGCATGCTGGCCTATGCCTACAATGTCACCATGTCGCTCATACAGAACCGGGGCTTCCGCAACCAGGTGCTGCGCTGCCTGGTCGGCCTGTACCGCGACTTGGGCGTGCCCGACTACGTCAACATGTGCCAGTGCCTGATCTTCCTGGAAGATCCACTGGCCGTGGCCGAGATGCTAGACACTCTAACCCGCTCCTCCGTGGAGACGAACAATCTGATGGCCTACCAGATCGCCTTCGATCTGTACGAGTCCGCCACGCAGGAGTTCCTCGGGAATGTACTGCAGGCCCTCAAGGACACCGCCCCCATTCCCACCGCCCTGCCCAGCACTTTCAAGCCACAGGGCACCAGTTCCGAGAACGGCGCCAAGTCGGAAGATGACAAGGCCAAGGCGGAGGAAGATATCACAGAGGAAAAAGAAGGTAGGCTGCGGTTTATTTTCCAATCTCTGAATTTGCTTTACCATTGATTTTATGTCCACAGCTGATGTTAAGGTTGAGCGCACCATCGACTCCCTTAACGAGGTAGAAAAGCTGCACCAGAAGAATATAGAGAAACTCATCTCCATCCTTTCCGGCGAGGTGTCCATCGACTTGCAGCTGCAGTTCCTCATCCGCAGCAATCACGCTGATTTGCAAGTTCTGCGTGGCACCAAGGAGGCCGTCCGTGTGTCCATTTGCCACACGGCGACGGTGATTGCCAATGCCTTCATGCACAGCGGTACCACCTCCGACCAGTTCCTGCGTGACAATCTCGACTGGCTGGCCAGGGCGACGAATTGGGCCAAGCTGACGGCCACCGCCTCGCTGGGCGTCATCCATCGCGGCCACGAGAAGGATTCGCTCGCCCTGATGCAGAGCTACCTGCCCAAGGAGGCTGGCCCGAGCTCGGGCTACTCGGAGGGCGGTGCCCTTTATGCCCTGGGCCTGATCCATGCGAATCACGGAGCTAACATCATCGATTATCTGCTGCAGCAGCTGAAGGATGCTCAGAACGAGAATGTGCGTCATGGCGGCTGCCTGGGACTGGGTCTCGCCGGCATGGGCACTCACCGGCAGGACCTGTACGAGCAGCTCAAGTTCAATCTCTACCAGGACGATGCCGTCACAGGTGAGGCAGCTGGCATTGCCATGGGTATGGTGATGCTGGGCTCCAAGAACGCCCAGGCCATCGAAGATATGGTTTCGTATGCGCAGGAGACGCAGCACGAGAAGATTCTGCGCGGCCTGGCCGTTGGCATCTCTCTGACCATGTTTTCCCGCCTGGAGGAGGCCGACCCGCTGGTTACCAGTCTGTCCACCGACAAGGATCCCGTCTTGCGTCGCTCGGGCATGTACACCATTGCCATGGCGTACAATGGAACTGGTAGCAATAAGGCCATTCGTAAGCTGCTCCACGTGGCCGTCTCCGATGTGAATGATGACGTGCGTCGCGCTGCCGTCACCGCCATTGGGTTCATCCTGTTCCGCACCCCGGAGCAGTGTCCCTCGGTGGTGAGTCTGCTGGCCGAGTCTTACAATCCGCACGTTCGTTATGGTGCCGCCATGGCGCTGGGTATTGCCTGTGCTGGCACAGGATTGCGCGAGGCCATTGCTCTACTGGAGCCAATGGTCAAGTTCGATCCGGTGAACTTTGTGCGACAGGGCGCTCTGATCGCCTCGGCCATGATCTTGATCCAGCACACGGACCAAAGCTGTCCGAAGACCACCTTCTTCCGCCAACTGTACGCCGAGGTTATCAGCAACAAGCACGAGGACGTTATGGCCAAGTATGGCGCTATTCTGGCTCAGGGTAAGTGGTGTTTTGTTGGTTTTTTTTTGCTAGGGAAAATTACAAGAAAGGGGTTTATAAATATAGAGAGGAAAAGTCCCTTATTATACACATATTAGGTGCTATATAATTTCATAATTTGAAATATTAATGTTGAAAAATATTCGTTATCTGAGGTGATTGCCTCACAGATAACATTTTCATTCATTAATTTGTTGTAAAACAAATCTAATAATCAAACTAGAACTTTACTCTTGACGTAAAAGTATCACGTTTTGTGATAATATAAGCTAGAGCTTTTTTGTTTATCAAATTGTCTTATGTTTAACCATAAATGCAATGATAAGATAACTTAGACTTAAAAATTCTTCCCCATTGTTGTGTTTTCAAATAGTTTTCATTTGAATTTAAAGTGATTCATTATGATTTCATGAACATAAACCCAAAATAATCATGGGGCATCCCCGTTATTCCTTAACAAATAGATTCCCCTAATTAAACTATTCATAAATAACTACTTTTCTAGGCATCATCGATGCTGGCGGTCGCAATGCCACCCTTTCGCTGCAATCCAGGACGGGACACACCAATCTTCAGGCCGTGGTCGGTATGCTGGCCTTCACCCAGTACTGGTACTGGTTCCCTCTCGCCCACACCCTTTCCCTAGCCTTCACGCCCACCTGCGTCATTGGCCTGAACTCGGACCTAAAGATGCCCAAAATGGAGTACAAGTCGGCGGCCAAGCCCTCGCTGTACGCCTATCCCGCTCCGCTGGAGGAGAAGAAGAGCGAGGAGCGCGAAAAGGTGGCCACCGCCGTTCTGTCCATTGCCGCCCGCCAGAAGAGACGTGAAAATGCCGACAAAAAGGAGGACGAGAAGATGGATGTGGATGAGGATAGCAAGGAGGGTGCTTCGGCGGCCAAGAAGGAGGATGAGGCCAAGGCCGACGACAAGCCGGCGACAGAGGAGAAGCCCAAGAAGAAGGAGGAGAAGGAGAAGGATAAGAAAAAGGACGAGGACAAGGAGGCGGCGACAGCGACAAGCGACAAGGAAAAGGAGAAGGAGAAAGAGAAGGACAAGAAGGAGAAAAAGGAGCCCGAGCCCACCTCCGAGATCCTGCAGAATCCCGCCCGCGTTCTCCGTCAGCAGCTGAAGGTTCTCAGCGTCATCGATGGCCAGTCGTATGAGCCACTAAAGGAGGTGACCATTGGCGGCATCATCGTGTTCCAGCACACCGGCAAGGCCGAGGATCAGGAACTAGTAGAGCCCGTGGCCGCCTTCGGCCCGATGAATGACGAAGAGAAGGAGCCGGAGCCGCCAGAGCCCTTCGAGTACATCGAGGACTAAATGGGCATGCTTTTCGTCATTATCTAAGTAAAGGAAAAAACTGTTTGATTTTTCAACCGCTTGCATACTTTTCACGGGAAACCACAACGCTAACCCCTAACGCTAATTATAAAACAAATAAAAATGTTCATCGTTTATGATGTAAACAAGGCGTGCGTACTTTGCTTTATGGAACCCCCAAACTTGGGATTACCGGCGACGCCGCCACTGTCACCGGTGCCAGCTTCTCAGACTTATCTTTGGCGGAGGAGAGCTTTCGATCAAGCGAGATTGTTTCGCCATATGCTGAAAGTTTGCTCCAAACATAAAGATTTCACAACGCTGCGCAATTGGTGGGTTCTCCATTGGTATTATCTTGGCTCTCTGTCTCTGCTCTCTCTTTGGAGAGAAACTGGGGGGTTTATGGGGGGTTTAAGGGGGAGCTGTAGCCCCAAACATAACCGAAACCCTTTTTAAAAAATATAGATTGGTTTCACGGGTTAAATGTTTAATATATTTAAAAATAAACTAGAAGAAAACAGAATATTTTTATATGGCAATATTTTGTTACATATTAAAGTTTAAAAATACCATAATTGAGTCAAAAAAGCATTAAATTTAATTCGGAAAGCTTTGCTATGCTAGTTTTCATAAGGATAATAAATCTGCATACTAAATTTAAATTTAAAATTTTTGTCAATTTTTAACAATTTTAATGATGTAACCCCTTATAAAATTTTCAAAAATTTTCAAATTTTTGTTTTTAATTTTTAGATGCTAGATAGATTCGCCTGTTGATGCTGATCAAGAATATATATGATTTATAGGGTCGGAAATGACTCCTTCCCTATATTACTAGCTTCTGAGTGAAATTTAAATACCCTTCCAGGCTAGAAAAACGGAAAATAAAAACACAATTTTATGAATTTTTAAAACTACAGAAACAATATAAAAATAGTAAATTCTGTTATACTTTAAAAGACCAGTAAATATTTGTATCTAATAAATGTTTGCCAAACATCTGACCCCCCTTGGTCGCGCCCTTGCTTGTTGTCATAGTGTTTAGTACGCGCAAATGACGAATAAAACAAACATTCAACTAGTGAGTGACCGGTACCTTATTTTTGTGACACAATTTTAACACCTTTGGAGAGCCTTATCAGGCGGGATTTGGAAAACAAACGTTGTGCCGCCACCGAAATCACAGTTGTAAACACGAAACCGCGACGGGGTGGCAACTCTGCCGCAGCAAACGGTATAAATAGGGAGCGAAATGCTCTCTCTCGCTCAGTCAATTTTTTTTGTTTCTGCGGTGCTCTCCGCCGCGTTTTCGTAAAATATAAATAATAGTAGTGAATAGTTAGTGTGTGTTGACAACAAAATTAGTAGTCTGGCTGCGCCAGAGCACAAATGTTAATTAGCTTATATACAACTTACAACCCGAAACAGCGAAACCAGAAATATTCGCAGCCAGTTCTTTGTGTAGTTTCTCGCCAGAAACGGTAAATTGCAAGTAACGGTGCAGCACCTGACCTCGACCTACACAACAAACACATTGAAACACCGCAGTGATTTGTTGTTGCCGGCTGTGTTTGCTTCATTGATTTTCACGAAGAAGAGGAAGGAGGGGAGAGAGAGCAAAAGGAGAAACCGAGTGCAGTGCCCCTCGCCCGCGTGCGAGTAACGGTGAATCCCGGACCCAGATCTCCCAAAATCACATCATGAACCGCACCAGAAAGAAGGTCGTCCGCCCCAAGAATCCCTACACCGAGGCCAGCTTCTTCTCACAATGGAGCTTCTGGTGAGTGTCCCCAAAAACCCCCAGTGCTCCCGAACCCTCCCTATTTGCGTTAGTCATGAGCCCCATTATTTACGGTAAATTATATAGTTTTGTAGCACGTGCTCAGACCATATTGAGCGAGCAAGTAGTATCAGTTTTTGGGCCTCTTTATCAGGGTTGCTCGACTATAATTAGTTGATTCGTATTAGCTTGTCCGGCCGATAACTGCGGCCAGATAAGAGTGCGCCATTCTAATGAGAAATGGAGCGAACATCCCATTAAATTGGATGCCGCCTTTATTAGATGTCAATGCCTATGGCAACAAGGTCACGCGCATCGATGGATTTATGCCAATCTAATATATAGGGGCGGTCATAGTCTAACTCAGCTTTATGAGCGATAACACCGCAGCATTTGAATTGAGCTTTACTACAATGTCACATTTACTACAAAGATTGGAATTGGAATCCCTCTTGTACACCCCTATCGGCAGGCACTTCCACTATGAGCCCCACACAATTAGGCGGAATTGTTTTTCATTAACAAAGACTTGAGGATCCCACAGTGGTGACTGTCACATGGCAGACATATTTCACAGAATTCCAGTTTTTGTTTATGGTATTCTCACGAGTTTACAGTAGGAACTGTTGGATAAATTATAAACAATATCAAACTATGTATAAAGATAGCCCTCAGCTTTAAACTTTTGAATATTTTTACGACTTTACTGTAGTAACTCCCATAAAGAATTGTTAAGTTTAAGAATATTGATATAAAAAAATAGTGACATTAAAGAACATTAAAAACTCTATAAACCTATTAGTTTGGTCCTTTAAAAATTAAAATCTAATAAGATGATCTTAAAATATCAATTTACCATCCTTTTCTCACCTCAATCTTTGCTCTTATTATCACTTGTCTCGGTAATCTTAAAAAAACAATTTATATGATACAAAGATAATTAAAAATATTTGCCTAACAAGTGCCTTATCGACTTTTCTGTATGGAAATAATCAGAGTAAGGCTTGCCTTCTGAGATATCGCAGTCTTTATTTTATTTGACGTAAAAGTAACATACACATTAGTAATTAAGAAAAAACAAGAATGCTTATTTAATAAAAAATGCTTACATTATTATAAAGGAAGTATAAACCCCATATATATAAATAAAATAAATAATCCCATTAAACTCTCATTTTACAAATTTCTACTGTATGTGCAACTACAAGTCTAGTCAACCACAAGTGTTTGATTAATATGTAATCAAACACAGTGTGTCTGGGTTTTCATTTTCACAGATCGTGGGTCTGACGAAATTCCCAAGAATATTACTCTTTGTTCGCAATTCTGTGTCTACGTTTTATCAGAGGACTTTCCTATGGCAACACAAGCACACATTTTTAGTTGGTTATCTTATTACAAAGACTTTACCTAATTAAATCCCAATAAAGCCCCAGGAAATCGTAAAAGATTTTCGGGGTCTTGACAACCAGAAGGTCTAACCTTGTCTGCCCTGAGCTATCGGAACAATTAAAGGGTGTCCCAGGGAGCAATTATAGAGTCATTATAAACTTTAAAGATTACAAAGCTACTGCTTAATAATCTTTTTTAGAAAAGGTTCCAATTTCCCTTCAGACTTTATAATAGCAGAGTCCTGTTGGGAAATCTAAGGCTAACCCTTTTATTTAATTAATTTTGCATATTTAATTATTATTAATTTCCCAAACTTTCTGATAATCCTTTCCAGGTGGATGCGAGATCTGTTCAAACGTGGCCTCAAGGGTCCCTTGACGGACGAGGAGCTGTACCAGCACAGGAAAACCCTGGACAGCGAACGGGTGACGAACAAGTTCGCCGAGCTGTGGGACGATGAGCTGAAGCGAGATGATCCCAGCGTGGTGAGGATGATATTGCGGGCATACGGAAAGATATTTGTGCCCTTGGGATTGGCCTTTTCCCTGGCCGAGACGGTTTGCAAGTAGGTAGAAAACATTTCCAACCCAGAGATTAGTTTCTAATCCCATTCCTATTCCCTTTGCAGATCCTGCATGCCGCTGTTCCTGGGTAACCTCGTCGGCTACTTTGCCGTAAATCAAACGGAGATTAGTGAACAGACGGCGTATCTGTACGCCATAGGAATTGTGATATGCATGCTGGTGCCGGTGCTGACCTTCCATCCGTTCATCTTCTACATCTTCCAAGTGGGCACCAAGCTCCGCCTGGCCCTGTCCGGTCTCATCTACCGCAAGGTACTGCAAGTCTCCAAGAGCAGTAGCAACGACGGCCTGCGCGGCAGAGCCATCAATATCCTGTCCAATGATCTCGGTCGCTTCGATGTGGCGCTATGCTTTCTCCACGACACGTGGAAGGGTCCGATGGAGTCACTAATCATTGGGTTCCTCATGTACCGCCAGATTGGCATATCCGCTGTGATCGGAGTCTCCTTCATGCTCAGCTTTATACCGCTGCAGGCGTGGGCCGCCAAAAAGGCAGCTTACTATCGCCAGATGACGGCGGAACGGACGGATCTCCGAGTGAAGCTGATGAACGAGATCATTCAGGGCATCCAGGTGATCAAGATGTACGCGTGGGAGCGTAGCTTCGCTCGCGTCATAGCTGAAGTGCGCCTAAAGGAGGTGAAAGCCATTCGGGGCACAGCTTATATCCATGCCGCTCTTGGCTGCACCTCCATGATATCCCCATTGTCCGTGTTCCTGGCCTTGTGCTCCTACGTTTACCTGGGCGACCCACTGACCGCCCAAAAGGTGTACACCGTTTCCTCGTACTTTAACATGCTCAACGACTCGATGGTGACATTTTGGCCCATGTCCATTACCTTTATTGCCGAGGCCTTGGTGTCCGCCAAGCGCTGCAAGGAGTTCCTGCTGGACGGAGACCGAGCGGAGGTTCCCATTAACCTGGAGGCCAATCAGCAAACGGCCAAGAACAAGCGCAAGATCACCAAGGAGGACAAGCAGATGAATGTCGAGCTGAATGGCTCTCTGCTGTCCAATGGCATAATTACTCAGCACAATCGTCTGCGGGACTACGACCCGGAGGCTACCAAGAAGTGCGTGGTGCTCAAGAATGTCTCGGCTTCCTGGGACACGTGCGACGGTCATGCCAACTGTGCCATCGAGGACTTTAGTACGGACATTCCGGATAAAACGCTGACTGCTGTCGTTGGACCCGTGGGGGCGGGCAAGTCCAGCTTCCTGAACGTCCTGCTCGGCGAGGTGGGCATCGACAAGGGCGAGGCCATGGTCCACGGCAAGGTATCGTACGCCTCCCAGGAGCCCTGGGTCTTTGAGGGCACCATCCGGGATAATATTGTCTTTGTGGAGGATTACAACGAGCGGCGCTACAAGAAGGTGGTAAAGGCTTGCGGTCTGGAGCGCGACATGGAGCTGCTGCCTCGCGGAGACTTGACAGTGGTTGGCGAGCGCGGAGTGAGTCTGAGTGGCGGGCAAAAGGCCAGAGTAAGCCTGGCCAGAGCTGTCTACCGCAAGGCGGATATCTACCTGCTGGACGACCCGCTCTCCGCCGTGGACACGCACGTAGGCAAGCACATCTTTGACCGTTGCATACGTGACTTTTTGGCCAACAAGATTCGCATTCTGGTCACGCATCAAGTGCAGTACTTGTTCGATGTGGAGCACCTGCTGCTGATGGGCAACGGCAAGATTCTGGCCCAGGGCAGCTACCAGGAGCTGCAGCGTTCGCGGCAGTTCCAGTTCCTCGAGCAGACGCTGCACGACGAGAGCGGCATCGGCGATACGCACAGCCTGAAGAGTCAGATATCGCGTAGCGATTCGGAAAAGAGCATGGAGCACCATCATCAGCAGCTGCTGCAGCCGGGCGAGGAGGTGGAGGAGCTGAATCAGGAGCAGCAGTCGGTGGGGGCCATCAAGCTGCATGTCTATGCCTCGTACATCAAGGCCTTGGACAGCACCTTCTTCCTGGGTCTCATTGTGGCGCTGTTTGTCTGCGCCCGCGTCATGCTCACTGGCGTGGACTACTTCTTGTCGCGTTGGGTCATTTGGGAGGAGAAGATTGCCATTAATGGCACTGCCGCCTTGCTGAGTGAAAGTGAACCCATGCCCACCAATGATACGCTGGCCTTAAATGCCACAGATACACCTATAACGCCGCTGATTGCCGACAAGATCGAGGCGGGGATACGGCAGGAGCTGGTCCTCTTCTATGCCACCATACTGGGCGCCACGTTGATTGTTTATCTCCTCCGCACCTTTGGCTTCTTCAAGATGTGCCTGCGCATCTCGCTGCATTTGCACGATCGCCTCTTTAGGGGCATCACCCGGGCCAGCATGTACTTCTTCAATACAAACTCCTCCGGAAGGATACTGAATCGCTTCTCCAAGGATATCAGGACTGTGGATACGGATTTGCCGCACACACTGCTGGACTGCATGGCCTTCATCATCGATGTCTCTGGAGTGGTGATCATAGTGGCCATCGCCAACTACTGGCTGCTGGTGCCCGCTGCCATCATAGGCACAGTTCTGGGTCTGATACGTTACCTCTACGTCAATACCAGCCGAAGTGTCAAGCGCATCGAGTCGATATGTGAGTTCTAAAATCTCTTTTAAATATTGCTAATTATAATCCATAAACCCTTCCAGCTCGCAGTCCTGTTTTCTCGCTGACAAACCAGACCTTCCAGGGTCTCACCACCATTCGTGCTCTGCAGGCTCAGAGCGCCTTGGAGCTGGAGTTCCATGAGTATCAGAATACCAACACCTCTGCCTGGTTCCTATTCCTCTCCTGCACGCGTGCCTTTGCCCTCTGGTCGGATCTTCTGTGCATTGCTTATATGGCGGCTGTGACCTTTAGTTTCCTGCTGCTCAAGGATGAGTTTGAGACCGGCGATGTGGGTCTGGCTATCCTGCACTCCACCACCATGACAGGTATGTGCCAGTGGGGCATGCGTCAGACGGCCGAGCTGGAGAATCAAATGACCAGTGTGGAGCGTGTGCTGGAGTATATGGAGCAGCCACCGGAGGCGCCACTGGAGACGCTCGAGAAGTTCAAGCCAAAGACCGAGTGGCCGAGCAAGGGACGCATCGAGTTTATCAACTTTAAGCTGCGCTACTCACCCAAGGAGGCGCCTGTGCTGAGGGACCTCAACTTCACCATTGAGCCGCGTGAGAAGATCGGCATTGTGGGCCGCACTGGAGCCGGCAAATCGTCCATCATCCAGTCCATCTTTCGTTTGGCCTGCAACGAGGGCATGATCCGGATCGACGATGTGGACATTGAGCACTTGGGTCTGCACGATCTGCGCAGTCAGATCTCCATTATACCCCAAGATCCGGTTCTATTTTCGGGCACACTGCGCTACAACCTGGATCCGTTGGACGAGCGTACGGACGAGGAGATGTGGAAGGCGTTGGGCGATGTAGAGCTGCGCTCCTACGTGTCCACGCTGATTGGTGGCCTCAACTGTCGCATGTACGACGGCGGCTCGAACTTTAGTGTGGGCCAGAGGCAGCTCGTCTGCCTGGCGAGAGCCATCCTAAGGCACAACAAGATTCTGATTATGGACGAGGCCACGGCCAACGTGGATCCAGAGTGAGTTTAACTGCAAATTTGACTGCTAATCATTTTAAATTAATTATAAACCCTTCTCTTCTTCAGAACCGACAAGCTTATTCAGCAGACCATCCGCTCTAAGTTCGGACACTGCACCGTCTTGACCATAGCCCATCGCCTGCACACTGTGATGGACAGCGATCGGGTGCTGGTAATGGATGCCGGCGAGGCCCGTGAGCTGGGACATCCCTACGAGCTGCTGCAGCGTTCTGGCGGCTACCTGCGCCAACTGGTGGACAATACGGGAGCGTCCACTGCCCTTGCCCTGCAACAGGCCGCCGAGCAGAGTTACAGCAAGCAGCTGCTGGGAGATGACGACGACACTGCCGCCCAGGATTTGAACATAACGCTGGCGATGGAGGAGAAGAGCCAGTAAACTGTACTTGCTGAAAAGAGGAAGTAGAGCATAAGAACTGAAAGTATTATATACATAGCAGAATATGTACTTAAAGCTAACGAATTACCTGTTGCCTTGTACTTACGGTATATACATTTATGTATAAGCTAGCTTGTTTATCGCCACGAATTTATGTATATGTATCTGTATCTGTATCCGTTTCACTATTATGTATCTTGTAAGTTTTGTACATCAAAGTGTTCAATCGGCAGGCGCACAAAGTTCAATCAAAATATATAGGACATGTATAGTGTATTTAGGTACTTTTTTTAATTAAATCCATGTAGCTAATGTAGGATTACATTAGAGCATACTTAAAGATACGTACAATCTCAATAAAGTGCCTGAGAGTTATTAACTAACGAATGTCAACGAAAAAGAGTCGAGTGTTTTGTAATTACAGCTTTCGGGCGGTCTTTTCTCTTTGATAATTGGAGTGGGTATTAATTAGGGGGGATCTTTTGAAGAACAGAGCCGTGAGAGGTAAGTAATAGAGAGCAAGGAGAGCGAAGATGAGCTCAAGCGCTGATCTGAAGGAGTTTGAAATTGGGTCAAAATAGGTTTTAAATTCTTTAATGCAAACCGGACAATCGATCAAGATGGGACAAAATGGTATTTCAATTGCGTCAATTAAGCTATAATAATAAATAATTATAATAATAAATAGTTTATATTTATTAAATCCCCTAAGAAATTATTAATGTTTCACAATGCTAATCAATTTAATATTTAACGATTCCCATTTATCTATCATTAGGTGGAATTTTACACATAACATGAAAGAAAGCCAGCCAAAGTTTATATACCCTTGCAGGTAACAATTAAAATATATCATAACTAAGGCAAAAATGCATTAATTTCGATTCGGAAAGCAGTTTTGTGTTAGTTTTTATTAATTTAAAAAAACTGCATAACAAATTTAAAATTTTAAGAAATCATAATTTTTGACCATTTTTGCTAATTTTAATGATGTAACCCCTTATCAAATTTCGCAAAAATGGCCAAAAAATCGATTTCTTCCGGACATGTCTAGAAAGATTCGCATGTTAATGCTGATCAAGAATATATATGGTTTATGGGGTCGGAAATGATTCCTTGACTTAAAAAATATTATTTGGTATTATAAAATCTGATTTTTTATATTAAAAAAACTTCTTGATTTTTTTTAATATTAAAAATATCGTAACTCGGCCAAAAGAGCATTAATTTTAAATCGGAAAACTGTTCTGTGCTAGATTTTTTACAGTTAATAAATCTGCATACTTTATTTAAAAATTTTGAAAATTCAATTTTTTATCAAAATCAACAATTTTAATGATGTAACCCCTTTTAAAATTTTGCAAAAATGACCAAAAAATCGATTTCTTCCTAATATATCTAGAAAGATTCCCCTGTTGATGCTGATCAAGAATATATATACTTTATAGGGTCGGAAACGTCTCCTTCACTGCGTTGCAAACTTCTGACTGAAATTATAATACCCTGCAAGGGTATAAAAATAGCCCTAAATAACTTAAGGATTAACCCACATTCATTATTTATGACGCGTTTAGGTTAATAAATACCTGGCCATGACTGTGCACAGCCACATCCATGTGAATCATGTCGGGTGGGGGGGATCGATAAGGATGAACCTTTCGAGGCTCCCAATTAAAATTGTCAATTGCTGAAAAGTGTAATCAAAGTAAGTCAACATGGTAGCTGTGATTACGATAAGATACCGCCACATCGAAGAGGAGGAGGCGAAGTGGTCACTACTCCCGTGGCAGCCGGGTTGGATAGGAACTTCGTAAACAACAGCGAAATTCACTTAGCCAAAAAGTGGCCTGCTGTAGCGTCTGCTGCTCCTCCGATGGCTGATGGGTGGCTGTCAGCGGGGAATTAAGATAAAACGCTGGGCTGCCTGCCCCGATAGGCCGGCGGATCATTGATTTATAGCGATGATGATTCGCCAGCACCGACCACTAGTTGGTTGGTTAGTTAAAATTGAAGTGTCCAGCTGGCAGGCAGCCAGTAACGAGTGGAGCGGCGCAAGAATAGCACGCGAGCGCGGTCTTGAGTCGTGTTGAATCGAGCAAGGATCTCAGTGAACCTATGTCTACGCGCAGTGCCTTTCGATATTATAGTCGGTGACCACCATGAGTGCGGTCTATGAGGAGCGAAAACCGAATCCGGTCACAAAGGCCAACTTCCTCTCCAAGTGGTTTTTTATGTGAGTGCAGTGTGCCCTTAAGTATACGTAATATTCGTGGCGTATACGTAATGCTTCTAAATATGTTAACTCGTGTGGAGGCGACGGGCTGACACGACCCCTCTTGAAGTCCTGCGCTGATAAGATATCTCTCGTCGCCTGTCGCTTTGACGAACTGCCCATCGCCACCGCCTCCGCCTCGGGCCAGCACCTTGGCCGTCATTCGGAATTTACGGCGCGAGTGGATTTGCCTTCGGTGGCGATAATGGCGATAAAAGAATCCGCGACAGCCGGGCGACACCTGTCACAGCATGTCCATCAATAAACAAACCCAACCCAACCTGGTGCTCTCTGTCTCCTTCCAGCTGGACGCGCGAGATCGTGGTGAAGGGTCTGCGCCGCAGCCTCGATCCCGCCGACCTCTACGCCCCGGAGCCGAGTCTCGAGAGCACCCATGTCTCCGGCTACCTGTTGGGTTTCTGGGAGCAGGAGTTGAAGCGCAAGAAGCCCCATGTCCTGCGCATGATATTCAAAGCCTACGGATGGAGCTTTGTGCCCATGAGCATCGTCTACTCGATCCTGGCCATCGCTGTGCAGTGAGTATTTCTAGAGTTTAAGGAGGGGACAGTAAGGAGATCATAAGTGGATCTAATTTCGTGGCTTCCGCAGCACAACGCAGCCCCTGATGCTGGGCGGTCTGGTGTCCTTCTTCTCGGAAAGCACCGACAACATCAGCAAGCACTCGGCCTATCTGTATGCCATGGGCGTGGTGCTCTGCTCTTTGATCTCGGGCCTCTTCTTCCATCCCTTCATGAAGTACCTGTTCCGCGTGGGTTCCCGCGTCCGCTTAGCCTGCGCTGGATTGGTCTACCGAAAGTTCCTGCGCGTCTCTGTGGCGGCAGACAACAGCGGAGTGAGTGGCTATGCCATTGCCCTGATGGCCACGGATTTGCCCACCTTCAACGAGTCCTTCTACTGCTTCCATGAGCTGTGGCGCGGTCCGCTGGAGGGTGTGGTGTTTGTGTACATCATTTACCAGCTGATTGGCTGGCCGGCGGCCGTAGGACTGGGTACCATTGTGGCCTTCATCCCGCTGCAGGCGTGGGCGGCGCGTGCCATAGCTAGGTACAAGCGTCAGTCGGCGGATTACGGGGATGAGCGGGTGAAGCTGATGAACGAGATCATCGCGGCAATGCAGCTGATCAAGATGTATGCGTGGGAGAAGTCCTTCGCCAAGCTGATTGGCAAGGTGCGCAAGGAGGAGATGAAGTCCATCAAAGGATCGACGTACATCTACGCGGGACTGCAGTGCACGGGCATGATCTCCAAGCTGTCGCTGTTCCTATCCCTGGTCACGTACGTCTTCTCGGGGGATTTGGTCACCTCGCAGAAGGTCTTCATTGTGGCCAGCTACTACGATCATCTGAACGACTCCCTGCTCCACGCCTGGCCTTTGGCCATCAACATGTGGGTGGAGACGTTTGTGGTGGCTAATCGCGTCAAGGATTTCCTTCTCCAGCAAGAGAATCCCGCTGATGGTGGAGTGGATAACTTTAAGGATCCGGAAACGGATCCACAGCATGGAAACTTTCCGGGACGCACCAACAACCCTCGGGCGGAGGTCAAGAGCATAACGGTGCATAAGCTCACCGCCAGCTGGGATCAGGCGCAGCAGGAGAAGCGGCATCGCCACATCGAGGACGTGAGCTTTCAGGCCAGCGATCAGCAGTTCGTTGGGATTGTGGGCACCGTGGGTGCCGGCAAGAGCACCCTGCTCCAGGCGATTCTCGGCGAACTGGACATCATCAGCGGCAGTGTGGAGCTCAATGGTGTGCTAAGCTATGCCCCCCAGGAGCCCTGGTTGCTTCGGGGCAGTCTCCGCGAAAATATACTCTTCACGGAACCCTACGACGAGCAGCGCTATCACGAGGTCCTGCGGGTGTGTCACCTGGACAAGGACTTGGAGCACTTGCCGGCGGGTGACAACACCAGAGTGGGCGAGGGCGGAGCTAGTCTCAGTGGAGGGCAGAAGGCCAGGGTCAGTCTGGCCAGAGCTGTCTACCGCAAGGCAGATATCTACCTACTGGATGACCCGCTCTCTGCCGTGGACTCCAACATCAGCAAGATCCTGCTGGATCGCTGCCTCAACGAGTTCCTGTGCAAAAAGATTCGCATCCTAGTCACGCATCGGGTGCAGCTGCTCCGGCATGTCGACCACCTGGTACTGCTCGAGGGCGGGCGAATCTCCATTCAGGGCCAGTACGATGCTTTGAAGAAGCTCATTCGCTTTCGGATGTCGGTGGCCAACGATGCCGAGGTGGCTAAGCTACGAGCTATGCGCACGGATAGTGTCTATGAGGATCCGGAGCCAAGGAAGTCTTTGTCTCAGGAGGAGCATCTTGATCGCGATCAGCTGCAGCAGCAGTTCAAGGAGCAGCAGCATCGAGGGTCTGTGAAACTCAATACCTATCGGGCATACCTAAAGGTCCTGGGGCATCCTGTAGTGGTAGTAATGATCCTGGTGCTGTTCGTGGTGGCGAGGGCCTCGGAGGCTACTATGGATATCTTTTTGTCCAAGTGGTGAGTTTTATTAAATTTATTATCAATTATGAATTTAGATTGAAAGTTAAACTTTAATTTGTGAAGTTTTCATTTGGTAAAAAAGGGTTCTTAGGGAAATCTCAAAAAATCTAAATGTAAATCAAATATTTCAGAAGATTTTTTAATAAAATCTAATTTCATTTTGTCTGAAATTAACCTGAAACCATGAGCCACAGTGTTAGATTGTGTGATTTATAGATTTATAGCTACAAGCATAATAACACGAGAGATTGATAAAAACAACACTCGTCTACCTGTTCCAGTTGTTGATTGCCATAAATATTGGCGGTATTTCCGAGCAGACGGGGCAGACTTTATTATCTGGACGCCACATGTTATATGGTTATTCCGGAATCCAGAAATCACTTCGTCATAGGTTGCTCATTTAGCAAAAATTAGTTAAAACTTCCCCTTTTATTTTAGAAATTAAGTAAACAAAATCCAATAAGAGCATGACAAGAAAGAAGTGTGTAATTAATTTAATAATTTAATAGGTTTAAAAAAGCAGCAAAATAAAGTATACATAATACCTTTATTTATCCTTCAGGGCCACTTGGGAGGAGACGGAGCCCAACCAGCATGAACCCATCCCGGAGTACCACAAGACTCGCATGCATATGGTCATCCTGTACACCCTGCTCATCCTGAGCACCCTCATTTTCTATGTCCTGCGCACCTTTGGCTTCTTTGCCATGACCTTAAGGATATCCTTGAGGATTCACAATTATCTCTTTCGGGGCATCATTAGTGCCTGCATGCAGTTCTTTAACCTGGCCACCTCCGGCCGAATCCTTAACCGCTTCTCCAGCGATATCCTGGCTATCGATATCAACCTGCCCGCCTCACTGATGGATTCTATAGAGTTTGTGGTGAATGGACTGGCTGTACTGGCGGTGGTCAGCACGGCCAATACTTGGCTGCTCATTCCTGCCATCGTAATAGTGGCTTTGCTATATGGATGTCGGTGTTTGTACATAGGAGCTAGCAGGAGTCTGAAGAGGATTGAAACTATCTGTGAGTTATTGAAAGGATAACTATTTCTATACTTTTTAATTTACTTTAAAAATTCAATAATATTTCCTATTATTCCCAGCCCGCAGTCCCATCTACTCCCACACGAATGCCACCTTCCGGGGACTGGCCACCATCCGTGCTCTCAATGGGGCCAAACTTATGGAGCAGGATTTCCATCATTATCAGAACGAGAACACCTCGGCTCTCTACCTCCATGTGAGCATCAATCGTGCCTTTGCCTTCTGGACGGACCTGATCTGTGTGCTCTACATCCTGGCGGTGACATTCAGCTTCCTGATCTTCGACAAAAGTCGTGATTATTACAGTGGGGACGTGGGCTTGGCCATTACCCAGTCCATGAAGCTGGTGCTGATGTGCCAGGCGGGCATGCGCCAGACCGTGGAGCTGGAGAACATGATGACCAGTGTGGAGCGCGTCCTGGAGTACGCCAATATACCCTCGGAGCCGGCCTATGAGACGGAGGAGTCGGTGAATCTGCCAGCTCAATGGCCTAGTAGCGGACAGCTGGACTTCCGCAATCTAAGGCTCAAGTATGGTGATCATGGACCCTATATCCTCAAGGGCCTGAACTTTACGATTCGCGGCGAGGAGAAGATCGGTATTGTGGGTCACACGGCGGCTGGCAAGTCCTCAATTGTGGCAGCCCTTTTCCGGCTGGCTCACATCGATGGCCGCATTGCCATCGATGGTTTCGAGACATCGGAATTGGGACTGCACGATCTGCGTCGCAGGATCTCGATTATACCGCAGGATCCTATCTTGTTCTCAGGCTCGCTCCGCTTCAACCTCGACCCGTTCGAGGAGAAGTCGGACGCGGAGCTGTGGCAGGCCCTGGAGGCCGTCAAGCTCAAGGAGTTCGTCGCGAACCTCAAGGACGGCATCTACTGTCGCGTCCACGACAGTGGGGCAAACTTCAGCATGGGCCAGCGGCAGCAGGTCTGCCTGGCCAGGGCCCTGCTTCGTCAGAATAAGATACTCATTATGGACGAGGCCACGGCCAATGTGGATCCACAGTGAGTGTATAGAGTTTACCTTTCTATTTTATATAAAATTAAGTTTATGTAGGTTTTAATATTGGTGGGTTAAAGTTTTATTGATCAAGGGTATGCAAACATTGGCTTAATGAAGTTGGTTTGCTTTATTTCCCTTAATATCTCTTATATACCCTTCCAGGGCATTATAATTGTAGTCAGAAGCTTGGAAAGCAGTGAAGGAGTCATTTCCGACCCTATAAAGCATATATATTCTTGATCAGCATCAACAGGAGAATCTTTCTAGCCTTGTTCCGAAAAAAAAAATTTTGGGCCATTTTTTCAAAAATTGATAAGGGGTTACATCATTAAAAATGCGAAAAATTGGCCAAAATTTTGATTTCTTAATTTGAATGCAGATTTGTTAGCTTAGAAAAAACTAGCATAGCAAAGCTTTCCGAATTGAAATTAAAGCATTTTTGGCTTAGTTATGATGCATTTTTGATTCGATGCCTTGATCCTTTTTAAATAAAATTTTACAAATTAACCCGTTGCAGGACCGACAATCTCATCCAGGAGGCCATCCACACCAAGTTCGCCCACTGCACCGTCCTGACCATTGCCCACCGCCTGCACACGGTTATGGATAACGATCGGGTGATGGTGGTGGACATGGGCCGTGTGGTGGAGCTGGGGCATCCCCACGAGCTGCTCCACAACAGGCACGGCTACCTGCATCGCTTCGTGGAGAAGACGGGCGTGGGCACTGCTCAGCATCTGCGTTACCTGGCAGAGCAAAGCTACAGGAAGCGGGTGCTGGGCAAGAAGACGGAGGAAAGGAAATCCTTGCTGGAGGTGGGCTACAAGGGGACGACGCTGTGAAAGACTGCGGGAAAGGGTGGGATATTTTTGAATAAAACAAAAGAGAGAGCCTTGAGGGCCTTGTTTTGTTCTGTAAGGTATGGTAATTATAGACTTTATTATAGTGAACTGATCTTTAAATATAGTTTATATATATGTATATATATTTAATATGTACTTTATAATATATACTCGTACTTCTGCTGTCTTTGTCTTCTTGAATGAGAAGGTTTTTTTTTTGTTGGAAAAAGCAATTATCCTTGCAGCAGGTTTTCATTTATTTTTGTTGTATGTCCTCTAATTTCAGCTACTCGTACTGTCTGGCTTTGATTCGCTCTCTCTATTAACTACGAGATCCTTGCTAGTAGTTGTCCTTTGGTTTCAAGTCACATGAGAAATATCGAAATGTTTGTTTTTTGTTTTGTTTCGTTTGTTGAACTCTACAAGTTGCCTCCTCCGCTCGTCTGTTCTTCTAGGCTTAAAGATTTAGTTTTAACTTAGATGTGCGACAATATATATGGCATTTGGATTCTAGATGTATATAAGATTAGCATTCATATATAAAAGTTCCCTTTTTTGGTAGAGTGTAAATGAATTTATCGCATTCTGGTTTTGTTTAATACAAGTTGTCCTTCCTTTCATATAATATATGTTAGTTGTATGCATGTAGGTTGTTCTTGTTGTTTGTTGTGTATATAATGTAAATATTTTTAAAGTAAATAAAGCATATTCATGTATGTATATATAATTGGTTTTTAAAATATTCTCTTCGTTCGCCGCTTGTTCGTTTTAGCTTATTTAAAATTCGCTTAAAGTCTGCCTTCAACATTATTAATTTACTTTTTGATGTAAATAGAAAAATCAGTGATTCATCTTGTGCTTAAATGTAGAGTGTTAAAAAACAAAGTTAAACCTTGGAATTCTTCCCCAAATTCCAAAGTCTAAATTGTTTTTTGTTTGTTTTTTTTTTTATATTTTATATTATATTGAATGTAAATAAGTAACTAGATTTGGTTTGTCCTAGAAATAAGATTGTTTGTTTGCTCATTTTTTGTTTTTCGTTTTTTTGTTAAGAAAAATTCGATGCTTTAATAAAATGTTTTTTTTTTTTTTTCTCTTTTACGTTTTTTCTCTAACTGTAATTGTTTTTAGCTAGAAGTTCTCCAAGCAACTCTACGTTTTGTATTAATTTGTTGGTATTTTCTCACAGTTAAGCTTCTTTGATTGAGCACAAAAGCAAAAATGAGAATTGTTTCGGTTTGTGTAAGCGGTTTCCTGGGGGTTTTCCTCCAACTAAACCTTATCATCGTATCTATAGTCAAAGTTCTATATATTCCTATGGCTACAAAATGGGAGAGAGTCACGAGCTCGGCATTGGACAGAGCCCAGAATCTTCCCCTATTCTCGACTAGCCCAATGGCAAGTCCGCGTAAAGGTTACCTCTATTTCTCGAGTGCTTTTGTGAGACTTTTGTTTTGATTTTGGAAATGATTTTGATAAAGAAAACATAATAGTTAGTAGCTTTTCTATATAGCATTCAATTGGAAGTCAATTTAGATTTTTTTCGATTTTCTTTTTTAAGAGTGTTCCCTATAGTTGAATCTTTATTTGTGGAACCAAAATCAAGAGTAATGTGAATGTGCGTGCTTCGCAATGAAACGCATATTTTGATTATAAAATATGGTCCCGAGGTTGTTAAATATTTCGTCCTTCTCCCACCGACTTGTAATTCTCCTTCTACTTTCGGTTCTTTTTTTGTTTCATTTTTTTAAATAATTTTTTTTTGGGCTTAATAACATCCATATTTTGGGAGCTAGAGCGGCGATTTGGAGAGCTAGAGCTTTGTCACTATAAAGTACTATATAGATAAGGCGTTGTGTGTCAGCTGTCCGGGCCTGTATTGGCTCTATGGGAACACTACAAGTGAGATCTGCTCTCTAGGCGCTGCCTCTACGCGGTGTGTGTTTTTGTTTGGTTTCTCGTTTAATCCTTAAAGCCTTTAACCCAAAGCTTAGTTTAATATATATATAAACTGCATTACCGTATTATTCACTATGTTAAATTAATAAAGTTTTGCCTTTGCTTGGTTTGTTCATTTTTTTTGGTTGAAAAAAATAGAGTAGTATGAATTTGTTATGCAAGTTCTTTTTTCTTTCTTTCAATTATTTGTTGTTACGGTGTTAGTAATTCATTTAGCGCTTAGTTGTGGTTGTAGGTGTGGTATGGTATAATTATATAATTACTTTTATATAATTGTTTGCCCTTAAAAAAAATTTGTGTTCGAAAAAAGAGAGTCTAACGAATGGCATCGTCATGTGTGTCGTGTGTATATATTTTGTGTTTGTAATGTTATTATTATCGCGTGCGCATTATCGTGATCTTGAAGTGTTTTCCGTGTCCAGAGAGTTAGCCAGTTAGTCGTGTCTCGCCTTATCCTTGAATTGTTCTTAGCAAACCTTCACATCCTACTTGTGTCCCGGCTCTATGATCTCCACGGTGACGCTCTCGGCCACCGGATTGGTGGTGATGTTGGTGGTCAGCGCCTGCTGCTCCTGGGGCGACTCCAGCTGCTGATGATGGTGCTGCTGCTGCTGGTGGTGGCCATGTGGATGGTGCTGGCGATGGGCCGAGCCATGGCGCTCATGGTGGGCCGCGGCCACCTTGCCGGGTGCCACCGAGTTGCTGCGATTGGAACGCACTGAGGTGGCGGAGGCGTTGCTGGCACTGCCATGCGATTCGGAATGAGAGCCTGAGAAAGTGGAACCGGAAATGGAAACGGAAGGAGCATTAGTATCCACGAGATCACTGGCAGCAATAGCTACACTCTACGGATAACCGGCTGACAGGGAAGTTATCGTTGGGCATCACAACAGGACAACAGCAATGTGGTCTCAACGGGGGCACTCGCACTCGAGCCCCCTTCTACTTGGTAATATTAGTTAACGAAGCCAGAGTTAAGTAAGGAAACTATATGTAGCCGTGCTAGAAAGGAAGGAAACCAAAGGCGGTAACTCAACTAAAGAGGGGATGCTGCAATGGTTCAAAATAGGTTAAGAAAGAGAGAGGTTTCGATGACGAGTTAGAGTTAGAGTTAGAGTATCTACGATCGTTTATTTTTGTATCTGTATCTTGGTATCTTGTATATCTGTTGGGTGTTTCACTAGGGAGCTTCTAGTTAGCGGTGGCAGGAGTAGTGGAGGTTGGAGTATTTGGTAGTACATACAGGTTCAACCGCAACTCTCGACTACAGCTTACATTCTAGGGTAACAACACTGCGAGCCAAGAACAAGAACAACAACGAGTACAACGAACGACTACGAGTGGTACACTGGGGGAAAAAGGGAGGCCTTAAATCAGTTATAAACTAGGGAGATCTTTGAAACTTAAAGGGAGGTTTAAGGGGAGATATAAGATCTTTACGAAAATGTTTTTACTTTATGAGAAATAGTTTTCTTTTTCTATTTATATACCCTTGAGGGTATTATAATTTCTGTCAGAAGCTTACAAAAGAGTGAAGGAGTCATTTCCGACCCTATAAATCATATATATTCTTGATCAGCATCAACAGGGGAATCTTTCTAGCTTTGTTCCGAAGAAAAAAAATTTTGGGCCATTTTTTCAAAAAAATGATAAGGGGTTACATCATTAAAAATGCCAAAAATTGACCAAAATTTTAATTTCTTAAAAGTTTGAATTTTGAATGCAGATTTGTTAGCTTAGAAAAAACTAGCATAGCAAAGCTTTCCAAATTGAATTTGATGAATTTTTGACTTAGTTATGAAATTTTTAAACATTGATTTTCTTAAAAATTCCCAAGATAACCCTTTTTATAACTGATTTAAGGAGCCCAATTTCCCCCCAGTGTACGCTTACGAATTACGGGTACGATTACAACGATATTTTTGGACACAACAACGTTCGCTAGACGAGGACATCAACGATTACGAGAACACTACGCAGACTGGTGGGTTTTTTGAGTGGGTTCTTCTATATTTTTTGTGGGTTTATAAGCTGCTCGCAGGTCTGCCTACCTCTTGGAGCCCGATATGGAAGCGTTTCTTAGCGTTTTCTTAGCATTTCTATGGTGTGATACGTTTTACAGACAGATACACATGATCTATGATATAGTTTTGTTTGCGATATATTGGCGACTCTAGAACTTGTTCGTTCTGCCGCAGGCTGCTGAAGCCATTGTCCCCGCCATGGACACATCGTAGGTGGTGCTGCTGGTGCTGGGCAGGGGCGTTGGCGTAGGCGTGGGCGTGGGCGAAGGCGTGGCCGAGGTGGCAGCATACGTTGTGGTGGTCGTGACTGTATGGGCCGCGACTGTAACAGTGCTGGGCAACGTTGTTGTTGGCACATAGGGCAAAAAATGGCTGTGGACCAGGTTGTGCTGGCTGGCGGCGCTCGGATGCGAATGCGGATGTGAGTGCGGATGCGGGTGCTCCAGCAGGCGGGAGCAGGTGGACACGTCGCTGACCCGAGAGTCACTGGAGCGCGTGTTGCTCTTCGAGCGGATCATGCGTCCTTTTTCGGGTTTTCGAATCCGAGTTGTTTGGGTTTTCCGTTTTCCGTGGGTTTTATTTGTGTTTTGTTCCGAGTTTGTTCGTGTTTGGTTGTTTGGTTTCGTTTGTGTGTATATTTATTTTTTTGGTGGGCGACGGGGAATATGAGCGGTTGGAATACGTTTAATATTTTCGCTTTCAGCACGCGACATTGAGGGTTCAGAGGGGGGCCAGAAACTCAAATAACAATATAAATAACCCAAAAACAGAAAAAAAATGGAAGGTAATTTCAAACAACTGTCCGCTGGGCTTAGCACAACAACAATTATCGCCGTAATGGCGTTGAGTAAAACGCTTCTTAAACTGTCAGTCAAATTGATTGAGCCCCCAGCCAAAAAAAACAAAAAAAAAAAGGTGGAAAAAAGGCAGAACGGTGGCTAATATGACCACTATGCTGCCCAGTGCATTAGCTGCGAGCCACAATAATAAATTAAAGGATTTTCAGGGCCATAAATCATGGGAATCGGTTATACAAGTTTATAATCACTTAAAGCCTTTTAAGTTTTAAGGAATTTATAGATAATACTGACCAATTATTTATTTTTAAAGTTGGTTTATGGCTGGTGTATTGCTTTAAAATTTTTTAAATGGGTTTAAGTTGTTATACTCTGTTTTTTAGGTACAAACTTTGATTTGTCTAAAAGAAATATATCGATTTTAAAATGTCAAAAATGTTTTTTTATTTCAAATTTAATGTGCAGGCTTATTAACTTTAACTTCAGAGTTAAATATTAAAAATTGCATTAAATTGTACCCCTTTCCAACCATTTACTCTTCATTTAACATTCTAAGTTAACTTAATTCTGTTATAAAGTCACTTGTAAGTTCACCAAGTTCTGGTTTTCATTTATAAACTCTTGACAAGAGTTGTCAATTATTCTCCCCTGAATTATTTATCTATGCAAATGTTTCCACCACTGTATAAACTTAACTTTTCTGTCCAATTTCAAGGGGCTTTCATCATACTACCATCACGTTTTTCGGGTGCAACCATACCCCCCGAGTGTCTTTAGTTTTGGGTTGGTTTTTTGGGTGATTTTGGTTCGTTTCTTGTTTTTTGTGACTGACTGATCAATTGCTGACTGATTGACTGACTGACTGGCTGACTGATTGACTGATTGATTGGGTAAGTATTTAGGGGTATCTCTTTCTCTTTTCGTATAGTTGGGCTGTAATAAAAAGTTTTGACAAGCTGTCGACAAATGAAGGGCTCGGAAAATGACAAATAGAGGGGAAGGAAATCAATTTTGTAATGAAATTAAATAAGGTTTTATTTTTATTTACATTGAGGTTTGTGACACCAATTTTTAGGTTCTTAGAGGTCGCATTTTTAGCAATAAAAATTTGAAATGTCATAAATAAACTAACATTTTAAGGATGTTTATTGAGAAAAAAAGATTAATCCAATTAATATTATATCGAAAATATTGTAAAGTTTTATATATCGAAACTTGAAATACTGAAATTTATCGCACTTAACTTTAAACTAACCGAAAAGTTGTATAAATATTTTATACCAAGTATATCAATCAGAATTGCGATATATCGCACAAATATCGCAACATTAAAATATCGATTTTATCATTTATATATTGATAAAGTTCGATAAATCGTTAAAAACCTACTTTTTGTCCCTTCCCCACTTTAATCATTTTCCAAACCTTCTAGAAAAAAACTCAGATTAAATGATGAAAACATAAATCAGGGAAAAATGGAAAAACCAAAAATGCAATCGCGGCAGACCACAGCGACAGAGAGAGAGAAAGAGCCAGGGCAAGGACAATCGATATCGATTCCAACTCCAACTCCAAAGGAGATGGAACCGGAACAATGGAAACACTAGGAGTGGATACAAACCTGTCTTACCTAGCGACGGATTCGGCGAATGGGGACGCAGCGAGGCCATGCTGGGCTGACGGGATGGCGCCCGCACCGACATCCGGGAACCGCGACGCTCCTGGCCATGGAGCAGCTTGCTGTCCCTCAGCAGAGAGACGTTCATCAGGCGCGGATTCGGCGTATTGAAGATGGTCCGGTTCTCACGCCAGCGAGCCCTGCAAAAAAGGAAAAATTGGTAACATTTCAGGGCAGAAAAGCAGCCAGATGGAGGAGGAGCATGGCAAGCCGATGTGCTGGGGTGTGTGATAGTGATAGGCAGCGCCGCCAATTAATGGAGCTTTCTGTTCAACAGACTAGAAAATTAATTGGTGCTCGAATTATGTATCGCTTTGCCCCAGCAACCAACCACAAATTAATGAAGAAGCCCCATCGAAGCATCGACAGGCCAATTGACCCGGTTTATGGGCGAGCAAAGCGGTTGGGAAGGGTTTGCAGAGGTGATGAGATGAGATGAGATGAGATGAGATATTTGGAACTAAGATCAAAGGTGGCTGGTTAGCATAGTGGATGCAAGGAGCGGGCTTATTGGATTATAAAAGAGAGAGTCTCAATTAAGACACAAGTTAATCTTTTATCAAGGAACTATTTTAAATAAAAAGAAAGTTAAATAAAACAAAATTAATATCAAAGAAGAAGATTAAATTAATAAACAATATTTTAATATATGCTTATAACTTTTATACCAAAAAACCCGTCATAAACTTGAGCTCAAGAACGTTTATTAATCTCTCTAATAAATATATTTTTCCTTTGAAGCCACACTCTTCCGTAAAATTCATAGAAAGTGACTATTGACCTAGATTCTCTGCTTAAATAGTGTGCAAAAGTGCTCGAGTGTGTGTGCTTAGTGTGTGCGGTGCCTGGGGGGCGATGAAGATGTTTGCATTGCAATTTACTCACTGGCTAAACAATCGCAGGACGACACAAATAATAACAAACATCAATGCCATTCCTACCAGCACGCCAATCATGGCCGGATCGATGTAGGTCTCGGGTCCCCGCTTATCCTGGCGCCCTGCAACAACAACACAGCAACAAGACATCAGTCCATTAACCACACACAGTTCCACATCCACTTCCATATCCACTGGACAGTAGCCACCGACCTTTGCACTCCACGGACCCATCCTTGGCCCAAATGGGTGACATCTCAAAGCGGCAGACGCAACGTCCATCCCGGCATTCCGTCTGGAAGTAACGCATTTCACACTGCTCATTGAAGAAGCAGGACTCGTTTACGGCGGCCTCTAAGGAATCCAGAAATCCAGGGTGTACACAAGGGATACAGGAAGAGAATCAGGAAGGCCATCAGGAACGTAGTTTGAATCGGAAAGGAAGAGAAATGGAATCAGTTAAGCTGACAAATGGAAAGGATTTGTACACTGAAGCAGGATAAAAAGGAGGTTAGAACTTATAACCATTAACTAGTATTTCTTATTTTAATTTTGAAATATTTGTACACACTTTTAATTGTATAAAATCTTTTCTTAAAACCTTTAAAACAATACAAAATCTCATAATTTATTTTTCTTGTAAGGCAGCTATAAAGAAAGAGCTGTTTGGAACGTTGTCAAGCATCTGTATTATATCTTAAATATTTTACTAAATATTTTATAAATTTCTACCTATTTTTCCGCAGTGCACTCTACCAGCCCAGGCCAAAGACCAGACCTCCATCCGCCCTGATATCTGGCGGAAAAAATATTTGTTAACTGTCGCTCCTGTTTGCGGATTGATTTAAAGGCTTCGATTGAAGTGCGATTGACTTTCCACTTCTTTCGGCCACTTTGTCCGCCGGTGACAAAATATTATCATGGAACAACCAGGAGATTACGGGTGAGATACAGCGACAGAGTCTACATCTGACTGACTGACTGTCATGGCTGTCAGAAGCAGATGTTTTTGAGTCACACCCATAAAAATAGATCATCGTATGACAGTGGCTCCTCAATCGCTGGCCCGGCCATAAATATGCATTCGGAATGTCCAACGATTTCTTGATTTCTCAATTTGATATTAATTTACAGAAGCGCACGTGTCTATCTCTAGTTTTTAAATTATAATTATGTCAAACTTGCCTTAGTTGGGGGCTTCCGGAACCCAAACCCTAAAAGTCCTAATGCTGCTGCCAAGTTTTCTATTTTAATTTACAGAAAAACAGGATTTGTGGCAGCAAGGTTGTGGGTAGCTGCTGCCGTTGCATCTTTTTTAATGAAAACTTGGCAGAGTGACAGCGGAAAATCGGGGGATGGGGAGGAAAAAGGTTCAACTGTAATGGCCTTACCTTTGCCACATTTATCAATGTGATTGGTGACGGGCAGATCCTCGGTACACTGGCAGGACTTCTTCTTGGGATCGCATATGGAGCCCGGGAAGCCGCACTCCAAGGTATTCTCGCACTTGTCCCCAAACTTCTTCTGGCCGCGGCTTGCATAATCTGTACAAAAGGATAAGGCAAGGATTTTGGTTAGCGCAAAAGAAAACGTGACTAATCCCAGGCGTAAAATTTGTAATGAAAAACAGCCGCACAAAAACTTTCCCATATCAATATACAAAAGCTTGGGGGGGAAAACTTTAGCAAAGTGTTTGTTTTTTTTGTATTTTTAGAAATCCCCCAACGACTTTGGCGGCAGATTAAAATGTAAATTCTTTAGCAGCCTTGGCTAAAGGTGTTTGTGTGTCTGTGTGTGTGGATTTTTTTCTTTCCCCGAGGATATGGGGCTTCCGAGGATTGGAGGATACTCGGGGCTGCACTAGGAATCCTTCATTAAGTTTGAATGGAATAAAAACATGACTCACGACGACGCACACACTCGAGTCGGCGGCGGCGGCGGCCCTTCACATCTTAATTAAGCTCTTGGGAGCAACTCTACTCTCCAATGGGAGGCCCAAGCCGACAATGTGTGAGAAATCTCAGGTTTTCACACGTGAAAAAATTGAGATATAATATGAGTTTCAGAAAGGCTCTAAAACATACCAAAATAAAGCTTACATCTACTAGATGTTTTTATGAATTAACTATATTTCTGTGCTTTAAATAATTTATTATTAAATTTTTGTATCTATAAAGATCCCTATTTTTTTCCAGTGTTTAGCTGTGGCTGCCTTTTCAGTTGCCTCACTAATTTTGTTGATACTCCCGGCCCGTAATTACCGCGACCAAGACCGCGACGTCTGAAAAGGCAGCAGCAACGGATGCGATGCGCCCCGCCATTTAAGCCAGCGGAAGCGGAAGGGCAAAGACAAAAACAAAATGGCTGCTCATGCAGCTAACGGGGGTGCGCCATTTTCCAGCTGCCTGGCCACAGTGTGTGTGTAAGCCCGACCCAAACCCACCTTTATGTGTTTGTTAGCAGGCCCAAGTCTATTTGCTTGCGGTTTATTTTTAAATGCACTCACTAACCGGGCTATGAATAGGGCTTTGCCTTACAAGGGGCTCTAAAAAAAAATACAAAAATGAAAAATGAAATGAAAAAATATACCACATACCAAGGCGAACATAGGCAATGCCTGACTTTTGACTACCTCGTTTTCAGTTTATTTTCTTGCTTTTAATTATAGGTGCTGATTACCTGGTTTTATGATTTATTTTTGTGCGAGGGAAACCCCTTTCAAAGACATTGAACATGAATAAATGGTAATCTAATCAATGGCAGCTACTTTCCAGAAATCAATACGTGGTTTTGGTTTATCAGAAAATAAAACTATGAAATTAAAACAAAAAAAAAAAAAAACAAGGAATGTTAAGACTTTAAGAGGACAAATAAATTAAAGAATAAAAAAAGCTTTTTTAAGGCTTTAAGTTAATGGGGATAAATTTAAAGCTAATGTATGGCAAGTCAAAAAGGCAATTAGGAAATAATTTATGTTATAAATATTTATTTTTACATATAATTGAAAGATAACTATAGTATAAAATCATTTGAAAATACTTATTTGCCTTTAATAAAAAGCATTAAATGTTTAAAATTCTTATAGTCAAAAAATATAATTTTAAATCCTATATTAAAGCACAATTCTAATGTATCTTTTCAATTACTCACTTTAAATAAAAAGTACAGCCCGTTTAAGCCCAAAAAAGTTCTTTTAAAAAGCCGAAGGACTCCCAAGTTTCCAACTTAAGCTAGAAAACCCATGAAAATAAGGCTTAATTTCAGAGGATGAGTGGTTAGACATCAAATTGATTAAATCAATGGTCCCTTAAAGTGGGTCCTTCTGCTCCATTCCGCAATTTTCAAAAGCCAGTAGGCCCAAGAAGAAGGTTATCCCATCAACAACTATTACACATGCATTAAAGCCAAACTCGACCCCTAATGGACCCCTACATACCCTCCATGTAAAACAGGATCAAAAAGGAAGCAAAAAATAAAAAAAAAAGAAGAGAAAACCCAGCTGGCTCTGCCTCGCAGCTAAATTTTATTTGGTTTCCGTGGAAACTCGGTGGGAAAATTCTATGAAAGTGTTGACAAAGTGGTGGCTGCCTGCCGGCAGGCATCCTATGGACCATGTCCGTGACCCGAGGCCAACCTTTGTGATAGCAAGTGGCACCAAAAAGCGATTACCCAATTGCCATGGCCCACAAAATCCCTCTACAAATTGCACATATCAGTGATTAAACAGCCAGCGAGCTGCATTAGCGTACGGCGCCATTTATAATTAACCCAAAACTGGGCCAACTTTGCCTATTTCGGGGCTATCATTAACCCTACTCTACCCTAGTGAGTGTCTGTACAAAAAAGAAATTGCTGGGAGTACTGGGAAAAACTTTGCCACATTTTTCCCATATCAAGTCTATTTAAGTTCGTATGAGAAAACTACTTTAATGCTCGACAAAAGGATGAGTGGCTGAGTGGGAATAAAGAAGCCCAAAAGCACACTGGCTTATGGGCTTACCGGCAGAAGATGCTGTGTGGAAATTATGTAAAGAAATGTGCCTTGAGGCAGGCTTTCCTGCTGCTACCAGAATTGACTTTATTAAAATGGGAAAGGTTTGACACTTTATCAACTGTGGGAAGTATGAGAAAGAAATATAATATTTCATTTTCAAAATAATAAATTTGAGGGCCAGAATCTGTGGTTTAATTTTTGGCATAAAAAGAGTCTAACAACCACTTAATATAAAAATATTAGGCATATTTAAGATAAGTTTGCCAAGTTTTTATTAGCCACAAAAATCGAAAAACCATAAAGAAGAACTCAAATCCCCAATTAAACCATCGATTCTTCATGAAACAGAAGTGACATCTTCTCACAGAATTTATCCTGGCACAAAGTCGCATTGCCACTGAATTATTTAGCAGACCTTTTTCGCCAAAATGTGGGCCACTGTCTCTGTCTCTGGTTGCTGCTTATGCAATTGCAATGGAATTGCCTTGCCTTCGGGCGAAAAGGGGGAACAAAAGAGACTGTCAAGGCAGCCGCATCATACATATATGACACCTCCTTTGCGGTGACGTCAGTGTGCGGTCTATATTTCCCACTCAATAAGGCCAAGCCTATGGGCAGGACTTAATCCTACTGGTGGTGCTGCAGTCTTATCTTGGACTACTTACCAAACTCTGGCGTTGTCGTCTCCGGGCCCGCGCTAAAGGCATTCACGGCAAAGAAATTATCACCGTCATCGGCCAGCGTCAGTGTCGGCAGCAGGGCCATAACGGATATCAGGCATAGGAGCTGGCCTCCACCCTGGCTCCATGCCCATGACCAGGACCTGGCCCATCCCTGCGACGACGACGACGACGACTTCCGACCCACGTTGGGCGCCATGGTCATTAACGATGGCTGGGCACGCGTTTTCAGGGTGGCAACAATGTTGTGTCCTCCTGTTGCTCCTTTTGTTGGTGTTGCTCTGGGCGCTGGTGTAGCTGGTGTCCTTGTGGCTGTTAATGTTGCGACACCCACTTTTTGGTTTAAGTACAAGTGACTTTCGCTGCTGTTGGTCAAACACTCGGCATCTGTGGCCTCGTCGTCTTCATCGACGGACGGCGGCTGTTGCTGGCGACGGTCGGGCGTCTCACATCGTCCGCGGGTCAAGCGCCTCGATGGCAGGCGGCAATTGAACGACGGTTCAGCTCCGTAGCGGGGCCGGGGCTCTAGAGCCCCATCTAATCTCATATTACTCGATCGTCGTCGTGCTCCTCATCCATGCTGCTCCAATGCCCCCGGACTATATCAATTTGCACACACACTATGTTGTTGGTCCCCGTTTCCTTTGGGTTTCCCACGCTTCCGTTTTCACATCAAAAGTCGGCTGTCACTGCATGAAAAGGGAAGAAGAAAAACAAACGGAAAATGGTTTAGTTTTCTTTTTTTTTTTTGGTTAGTTTTGGTTTTGAGAAACAGAGAAAGAAAAGGTGGGAAAATATTTATTTAGGGAAATTGGAATCAATTTAAAATGCTGTCTAAAAGTAGGCAATAAAAAATCTTTGGTTATATTTGGTGAAAGTAATTGGTATTACATATTGTAGTCTACTTTTAAGTGCAATTTAAATTGATTTTAAAACATTTTTAAACTCCTTGAATTTGTTGTAAGAGAAGGTTTGAGTTACGGGATTCATAAGGATACTTAAAAATATAATTAAGAACTAAATTATAATCAAAATTCAAAGTTTAGCTTATATTTTCTACCCCAAAGCTAGTTCTTTACAAACCAATAAACAAACAAATCAAGTATTGATATTTTCTCAGTGCCTTGCCCAGCTTTTGGTTAGATTTGGTTTTACTTTTGGGGTTTCAATCAAGGACATAAACGCTGGGGAGGGCCCCAGGACAAAGCCAGGCTAATCACTTTGCGGCGTGTGAAATTACAAACCGTTGTTGAAACAATTTCCGAAAGTGCCACCAACAGTCGGTAACTGAAACCGAAAATTGACACATACAAGGTGGTGCCGGCGGCTACTGCCTCCCCTTCACTGACCTCTGATCCTGGCCCCTCTTTTGGGGCCTGGTCTAAACTGTCAGTTGTCCGCCCCAAATTGAGTGACGGCAAATTTGTGTGTCTATGACAGTTAATTGGATTAGGCGCGCCCACAGCAGGACGGACGGATATATAACGGATATAGACGTCTATTCAAATCCGTTTTTCAAGCTAAAAATATGGCAGCGTTTAATTAAAGCCCATTTTCAATTATTTCATTCATAATTGCCCGACATTGAGTTGTGTGTGTGTGTGTGCGGTGGTTGTGTTGTGGCCTATGCATAAATCATGGATCCCCGAGCATGCAACGCATGTAGTTGTGGCACCCAAAGTGGCGCCTTGTTTAGTTCAGCGATTATAGCCAGGGCTTAAAATATGTATGCCAGCCACTCTGCATGTCGGCTTGTTTATATATCTGCTTGAATCTGGCCGGAAAACATGCATTGCAGCTGGCTTGTACAATTTATTACTCGACTTCAAAGACCTGAGTCAGGCGTCAGGAGGAAAAGTTTGATTTTAGGTTATTAAAATTATCTTATTTGTATGTTTTTCTTCCTAAAATATTGCCTAGTACACATTTATAAATTCAAAAGACAGCATTTGTGGTTGATTTGAAATTAAATGGAATGCAAACAAACGAACTACAATAAACATTAATAACCTTCAAGCTGCAACGAAGCTTTCTTTGCTTTTAAAGTCTTAAAATGTCCACACGGCTATTTATAAAGCTTCTTCTTTTTTTGTGTGTCTTGACTATAAACAATGAAAACCACAATTATTTTTAGAACTTTTGACACACAGGCAAGTAGACAAGGAGGCCTTGTCAAGCAAATTCCATTGTCTTAGGCCATTTATACGTGTGTGTATATGTTGGATCAGGGTTATGGCTTAAGTGGTCAACGCTGAGATGAAGGCTGGATGCTGGTCTACGCTATGTAGATGATTTATAAACATTTTTCTAGCCTTTGTGGGTATGTTGTGTTATCTTACGTTTTATATTCAAACCATAAAAAGTTATTAGAAAATAAAAAACACCTCAGAAGTCTAGCAACTGCAGATTTACTATGAATTTTAATATATAAAGTTTGTGGCAGAGCTTTCATAAACACGTTCTATTCTCTGCTGTTTTTTTTTTTGTGGCGAATTTATTAACATAGCCTTGCCTTTGGTATTATTCCATGTTATTAACATAATCTTTGCTATAGTTGCCAGATATTTTAGAGAGATTTTAAAACTCAATGATTTAACATTTTGTGTGCTATTTGTACAATTTTTTAATATTTTTAAAATCCCATTAGGACATATTAAAGCTCTCTTCTATTTATAAAGATTTCCTTTTTGTGGGCTAATCAAGATTATTTACTAAAACATAAACCCACACACATGAGAGAGGCAGCAAAAGTCCCAGCCTTGACAGGAAAATAAAGCCTTTGTTTTTTTTTTAGGGGTCCTTGGTTATAAGCCAAATGAGCCGGCTTTGGGTGCCGAGTTGTGAATAAATGGTTTCGTTGCCAGGAGACTTTCAGGACTTTGCAGTTAGGCAGCCAGGCAGACGACACTGGAAATCCGCATTCAGTGGTAATTTATGCATTACTCCTAACGAGAATGTAGCACAAATTCATTGGTTTTAAGTTGGGTTTACGCTTTACGATTACTGTGGGAGACAGGATATGTCCTGGGACATGAAGCGCAGGAGGCACGCACCGAAACATGTTGCATATTTATGCCTTTCGCTCCAAGGACCTCAATTGTTTTTCGCTTCGTCCATAAATACGTTCCGGGCGTTGTCAATTGGCTGAAGAGTATTCATTACATGGCGTATACGCAATATATTCCATGTGACTGCACTCGGAGAGGTCCTGCGAAGCGGATGCCTGACACATGAAAGGCAACAGCATCAGCCAGGACAAGGAAAAAGGAAATTACAAGCATAATATCTCTGGCAAACGACGTCCCCGAAACTTTGTCGCTTTTCGGTTGGTACAGTGAAAGTTCGTCCCGTGTAATCCAAGCCGAGCTCCTCGCTTCAATTTCCTCACTAATTACTAATTACGGCGAGTAATGAAATCAAATTGGAGTTCATTCCACGCCGGCACTTCTTTGTTCTCGCCGAGCCTTTGTTCGCCGCCGGTCGCTGAACTGGATGACTATGCTTAAGTCTCAGAAGAAAAAAGGGCAAGGTGAATTAACTTTCTGAGAAAGTAAATTAAATACTTATTTGCTGACTTCCCTGACCATTGCGAAAGTTCGACAAGAAGTATCCAGGTGTAAGGGAAATTTCTAGAACCTTTTAAGAAGGATTTTCAAGCTGGGAAATGTTTATTTTCTTCTACATAAAACTTTAAAAGCTTCTTAAATAAATACAACAAATCTTTAACCATTTTCCCTAATTTCAGTAAAAATATAATTCCAAATTGTTTCCAAGTTTAATCCGTAAATTAACAGCAGTATTTACTGTGTGTGCTTTAACGTACATGCCTCTCATATTAGATTAGCCTGTGGCAGGAAATTTTCTCTTTTCGGCTTTTGTTTTTGTGGCGAATAATTTAGGCCTGCGACAACGTGTCGTATGCGCAACGCGGGCAACCCTAATCAGGCCGGAGATCGTGCTAATTAACATGACACAAGCATAAATCATAAAGCAGCCACCTGGCTGCCCTTCCCTGACAGGATACAAGGATGCCCGAGAAACCGAGGATGTGTGATGTTTTGTGGCCGCCTCAATAAATACTTGGACAGGACAGGAATAGCCATTGTTTTTAGCATAAGCCTCAAGGACACGCGCCTCTGTCCACACACGCTTTTATGTGGGTATAAAAAATACACAAAAAAAAAATATAATAAAAAAAAATACAAGTAAAATAAAACTACAAACAGTCGCCAAGAGCCAATTCAGAAATTCGTGCAATAAATTCAGCAAACAATGCCAAAGGACACACATGTGTGCGTTGTCGAGTATTTGCAGTAACAACACTGCGCTTGCCATAGGCAAACAATGGTCTCGAAAGGGAGGCAGGGGGCGGCAGGATATGTGTGGGTAGCTAAGGAGGAGGAGCAACCAGAGGAATCGCCAGAGCGAGGGCAAACAAAGCGGCGTCCAAAGTGGGCTCGACAGACGCCGCCAAGCAGCGAACGCACTTTGGCCAAGCGCCATTCGGATATCTATCAGATATTCAAAGGATACAAGAGCCCCAGATAGACAGGATACAGTTTAGCTCATTGAAATTCAACCAAGAAGCAGGAGAATATGATATTTTATTTTTTGAAATTTTCGTTTATTAAATAAAAGGACTCAAGTCTGTGGTAAATCATAGCCTACTTTTGAGTGATAGTACTTTTTCGTTCACTTTACGCACTTTCCACTGTACCCACTGTGCCTGCATGCTAAACTTTATTGATTGCTGGATCATGGGACCAATCTTGGGTGCAGAATCTAAAGACCAAAGCCAAAATGCATATTTTAAGCGGGGCTCTCTCTCTCTCTATCAAAATGGGGCCAGCAGCAGAAATCTTTGCGAATGCGTGCCATTACAGCAATTATTTGCCAGGATTTATGTGTTTGGAACAAATTGCTTGGCATTTTGGCACAGCAAAACACAGGCACACACACACACTCACACACTTAAGACACAACCACAGCACACACTGCAAAGAGCAAGCCAAGACAAAAGGGCCAAAAGGGACGAAGACGGATAACCGCACAATTGGTTCTGGCCAGCCAAGGATGAAGGACGCCCACACACAATGTGAGCCGTTTAATGGGCTCTGAAATTCCAGCCAAACTAATAGAATCTATCTATATTTTGGCTCCAAAGCCTCCACCAGCACTGACACATCATTAACGGCAGCCGTAGATCCAGTTTTGGGGATATAATTCAATGATTAAATCAATCTTTCAGTGTCCGAAATGAAGCTGGAATCGATTACGTCTATAATTGAATTCTTGTTTATTTCTTTGAGCAGATGGAATGCTATTTTTGGGGTTAAGAATAAAGGTGGCAAGATTTATTAAGTTGGAAAGAATTTATAAACATGCTAGTAATTTTGCTTTAAAAATATAGCAAATTTTGCTTATTTAATTCCCCGCTTTCCAGGTTACTTTCTCCATAACCCACAGCAATTATCAGCAAATTGTAAAACGAGATCAAGTCACTCTGGGCTCAGCCTCAATTATTAAATCAAGGCTCTACCTGGCCGCAGCGAGGCCTCAATTTCGGATGGCAGTGATTGAATTGGAATTTCCAGAATCAGAATTAATTAAGACCAAGTCCGAATCCGACTCGCTGGGAGATATGAAAAAGATGACGTTGGCAGGGGAAAACTGCTGAGAGGAATGAAATTTTGCTAATTGAATTTGCCTTCGCAGCTCGTTTACAAATTGAATGCGTCTCTCGGCTCGTTCACCTGTTTCCTTTGGGGATTTCCCTGTGTGGAAACTGTGCGGCGAAAATTAAACTCAAATGAATTGGGCGATTGAGCAATCAATTCGAGTCGATTACAGGTCATAGAATGCCCAGTTCTTACAACACATTTCAGTGCAACGTATGTATATCCTTGAGCTCACGGAAGGTGCAGCCAAAGGAAAATAATAATAATTATAAGTACATTCCCTATGGCCTTATAATTGTTGTGTTGTTTTGCTTGCTTTTTTAGTTGATTTACATTTTAAATTAACTTGAAAGCTTCTTCCTAATAGAATAATAAGAATATTCTAGTTAATTTTCATGACTCATTTTGAGGGAAAATCCAGAAAGCATTTACTGAGTCGCCTTATCGCATTCATGGTCAAATTATATTACATTTTAGTTTCATATTTCAAATGTCCCTTCGCCATATTAAAACCCAATTAAATATCGCATGTTGTCAAATGTTTTCGGAGGGAAACCATCGCCCAAAAGGTATGCAGGCCAAAGAAATGCGAAGGCTCCGCCGCTGCGCCTCATTATGAATTAATTTAGGTTCGCATTTCACGCGGGGGGCGGCGACCCATGCCCGGATTACTAAGTGGTTATATGTAGGACTCCAGGCTCGAATATGAATGAATTATGATCGCCGACGACGAAATTGTTGAGCATACCAAAGGGAGCAGGGGTGCTACCAAGAGGAGCTGGAGGTCGGTCGGTCTTGGAGCTCTCTCGCCTTCGGTTGCCACGTGAAGGGCAATAAATAAAATGGCGAAAAATGCGAAATACAATAAAGTATTGCCAGCGAGGCGAGCAAACAAACAAACAAACAAAATGAGCCGAAAATCCGCCGACAAAAGGTTACCCACGTTCCTAAGCACTGAGAGGAATTGGGGTGAAGATAGATGGCAAATAATTAGAAAAAATATTCAGTTTAAAGATCCTTATGGTAGGTTTACAATCCTTGAAAAATTGGGGTGAATTTGTAGAGTTTTCAGACAGATTTCTAGCCCAAAGTTTTGAAACTTTTAAATCTTGTTTTACATTTTTATACCCTTAAAATCCATTTCTTTTCCAAAAATTGCTTCTATCTTCAATCGTAAGCAATTTCCCCATTTTGTATATAAATTCTTTATGCCACTTTTGATTTGTTTCACTGCACTGTGACGACGATGACGACGACAACAGCAAAGGCGACTGGCAAGCGGAAATGGCGTGAGTTGTACACGTTGTCGGGGGCGTGTTCCGGAGGCTACCCCACCCTTTTCCCTCTCAGCTCAACTCCACCTGCTCCATCTGGTTCCTGCCCCCTCCTCAATGACCCACTACCTCTTCATCCATTCCATCCTTTGGCGTTTTTTTCAGCGTTTTTGGGGGCTGAAAACGCATTGAATCAAAGAAAATCACGAAACATGGCGTGGCAAGCGGCGGTTCAGTTCTCCTGGCCTGCACTATTTGCCTGCTTTGTACACTTTCTGGAAACTTTCAAGCCACCCCACCAATTAGTAATGGCCTGCGAGGGTCGCCATTTGACTACTGGAATACTACAAAAGATTGGATAGAATTTCTTGCCGGAACGGATGCATGTCGTCCCATTGCCCTTTGATAATAAATATATTTTTGCCGCCTTTTGTCGTCGGCGGTGGCGGCCGCTTGCCTTTTGCCTTTTGTGCATTTCCGTTTCCGCTTCCTTGGGGGAGGGAAGGGGGGAGGAGGAAGTGAAGGCGAGTTCAATGTAAACGGATTTCCATCGAGTTGGCATTGCAATTGATTTTACAGAGAGAAGAAATGTGAAGCCTTAAATTTTATAATAATTAAAGTCATACTCAGACTTTCTAAGGTCAAATGGAATATTTTAAAATTTATAAATAATTTCTGGAAGTTATACATAATTTTAAATTTGTATTTAATGCCCAAATTATACTGAAAACTTGATTTTTAAAAGTATACAAAGAATATTAACTTATTTTTTTGCTGTGTGTATAAACAGAGACACCGACATCGTGGAGTTGGCAGTCGATGGGCAACTTTTAACCTTTGCCGCCACCGACTGACACATTATAAATAAATGCTTTGACTCTCTCTGTGCGCCTGCAGCTGTCATATATATTTTCACGCTGCAAATGCCACATGGCGCCACTGTGTGATAGGAGCTGCTGTGCTTTGCCACATCGTCCATACGCCCTGTGTTTGTGCCACATTACCCATACGCCCTGTGTGCACTGAACCGAACGCCAGTTAATGAGACCGCCTAATGCACACGCAAAGGCCGCCCCATTTATTGGTCATGTCAGCATGTCACACTTTTGCGGTGAGATTCCATCAATGGAAGGCCCGCCGGGGGCGAGATGCGGAAATGAGAGCGGATATCGGGGCGTTGATTTTGATTTGCCGTCGCAATTTTAACGCAATTTCCCAGGGAACAAAAGCGAACAAAAATTGAACGAACAAAGCCATTAAATTCGCTTGCCAGGCTAAAAGCCATCAACAATGCATCCGATTTTTGGTATGGAATTCGCAGAGCGATTTTTCCATTTCCCATTTTTGTGCCACGCTGCCATTGCACTTTTGGCCGAGTCAGCTAACGGATACAGTTTTACAGTTGCAGTTGCTGTTGCCGTTATAGCCAAGATAAATAGATAGACAGATGGCCAGAGTCAAGGCTAAGCTTTCAAGTCGGGCTAAACCATAAACTATATGTCAGAGATTGGTTTAAAAGCATTTCCTTAATGTATTTAGTTTTGAAATTTAAGATTGAGGGAAATTAAGAGCTTAAAAGAAGCTAAATTCGTAATTCTTATGACAAAATCCCTTAGCTTCAAGAGCAACATTTGGGTCAAAAGGCAAACTGCAAGGGTAAACAATCTATAAACATCTTCAAGTTTTCTTTCCTTCTTATTTTCATCAAAATTTAAACTTTTTCTGAATGAATTCAAAGGAAAACCTCATCAGAAAACTTTTTCAATTTGTTTTTAGCAAAACATACACCAAGAAAGCAAACAAAACGAGCTACCTAAATTACAGTGGCAATTTTTTTCGCCGCGATTATCACACGGCCCATTAGGCAGCCAAAAGAGGACCATAAATCTGGATATACCCATTAATACCCATCGATTGGCCCATGCCTCACATTCATCCTCGACGCTGCCGGATGTGCCAGCGGATGTGGCTTCCAGGAATCGCATGGAAGTGCTGCAATATTTAAACTCAGTGCCAAAGGGCTCCAAGTGCAATGTGCAATGTGCGCTAGGTGTAGTTGCAAAAGCCTACTTCCTGCCAGGACACGTGCAGGCGTGTGGGCGTCACTAATGCGCTTTTATGCCAGCTTTTCCCGTGGATTTTCCCCTTAGCTCAGGCCATCAGCTTGGGAATCCACTTAGTGGAACTAAGCGTGGCGAAAGTGGCGCTAAGCGAGTGCCAAGAGCGACGGCCATCGGTCATTTTAATTGCTCATGAAATGCCTGGAACGCACACTCAATTGATCATCACGCACGGAAAATATGAATTTTTCGTGTTTGTTCTATAAATAGAACACGGCCGAGTTCGGAGTGGATGCACTCGAAGAAATGTAATTACATTTATGCGTTATCTAATGAGCGTTAATTAAGGATAATTGTGATAATATTAGGAAAATGTGGTGGAAATGTAAGATATAATATAGCGACAAAGATATAGAACTTAATATTATATCAAATATGTTGACAAGTTCGTAATTTTACATATAATATTTATATTCATCGAAAAATACTTGTTTCATTTCCGATTTATAAAAGAATACATCGATATATCATCATGTTTTAAAATCTACTTTTTTCAAACTCACAACTTTGACCTTATTTTAATTAAAGTTTTAAAACACAAAATAAAATCTCTTTCGTTTTAAATTTTGCCTTAAACTTCCCTAAGGCTGCCCAGTGTAGAAATCTTTAATCCTGCCCAAGCCAAAGGGTCGGGGATGATAGACTGGCATATGCACTTGCCATGACATGGTTAATGTGACAACGACTGTTTGCACAGTTTGCTTAATATTCCACACGTGCAGCTCGCACATATATATATTTGATTACACACACAGGATATATGTGCCCACATTTATGTAGCCACGAGTGTACACATAATAATGAGGGGCACTTGGCGGTGTCAGGAGTTTCTACTCCTCCTCCTCGGAGGTCTGTGTCATCATCAGCAGAAAATGAGGGGCGACTTAGACGACCGCTGGCTATTGCAAGTATTATTTAACCCAGATCCTAAAGCTACTTAAGGATAGACAAACTCACCTCGGCCAAAATTAATTAATGCAATTAAGCTAACCGCGCCTAGGGGAGGCGCCTGTCAACTGAGCCTGGGCCTCTGGCACTTCTTCCCCTTAATTATTTAGCTTGGCTTTAGGATAAATGCGGTTACAGCTCATTGGCAATTATGCTGACCCACCGGGAAGTCCGGGAGGAAGTGGAAGCAAGTTTCCAGCACAAAAAGGAAAGGATTCAAATGCCGAAGGAAAACCGATTTTCCAAGCGGCGGCAAACAATTTATCTTTGCAGCGCTGCTGGCCTATAAAAATGGCAATCATTATTATAGTCATGTACCAGGCAATGGGGCGTTACGGCAATCAACGCCAGCCAGAGAGCCAGCGTCTCGAGAAGCCTTCCCTTCCATAAATAAGCGCACAATTTCAATTTTCAACAACGCCCCAAAGGAACACACACGGAGACAGACGCAGGCAGAGAGGCCTCATCAAAGATTATACGTTATATGTATATATGCTATATATGCGGGGTCTCTAGGTCGCTCTCTCTCTCTCTCTCTCCGTGTATTTAAATGCATATTTTAATAGTCATAAAGCGGGCAGCCCAGCTCCTTGGGCTAAGCGGCACAGAGAGAGCCCCGAAATGCCATCGGGGCGTACTTAAAGGCCTCTGCCGCAGGCACAGATACGTTCACAGACATAAAGATACTTGCGATTCAAACAGGCAGAGAGAGAAATTACGGAGAATATTAGGCTATAAATTAGCAGCCCACTTAAAATAAACTTATTTGAATTTAATTGAATTTAAATGTTGTTAAAGCTTTCTGAAGACTTGATAAAATATTATTGCTAAGACAAAAATTCAGCAGAAAATATTGGAAAATATATTAGGGTACAGGAAGATCCTATATGTCAAGAGGAAAGATCCTTTATAATGTATCGTGCTTAATATTATTAACTTTTTATACATAGCAATTTTTAAGAATTAAAAAAGTTACGTTATAATATTAATAATATCGAATAAAAATTCCTTAAAGAACTTTATAATAACTTAAATTAGAATTCGTCTCTTAAATGCCAAAGATTAATTAAAATTAGTTGAAAAACAATAAATAATATTAACCAGGAGGGTTGAGCATCAAAAATCAAGCTCAGAACTGTATAAAAAAAAATTAAATAAAACATAAAAACATAACTCTCTAAACCTCCAGTCTCATCCTTTATCTGGATTATAAAATAATCTTATAAAAAAGTATAAAAATATTTATAGTTTTATTACAAGCCAGACAAACTGGGTTTTCTATGACTTTATAACACCCTCTTAGATCGTAAAACCTTCGTTTTCCTTCCCTTTTTCTCAGTGTAATACTACTTGGGCCAAAGACAAGGCCGAATGCGCAACTAAAACAAGAGAATACACTCGTACATGTTGGATGAATGTAATATAAATTATAAACGCAAACTGTGCGACAAGGATTTCTGGTTTTTCTGCTCTCGGTTTTTGTTCTTTATCCTTTTTTTTTTTTGTCGTATTACTTTTGTTTTATTTTTTTATAGTATTCTTTCTTTTTTGTATTATTTTTGTTGCGGGGCGACATGCGATTTTGGATGGCAAATGATTTTGCAGTTGCATTCGGCGGGCCGGCGGGGTTTTTCTAATGGGGGGAAGGGGGTAAGGGGAAAGCAAAATCGAAGCATAAACGGAGGGCCCAATCGAGCACATGGTGCAAGTCGAAGGTCAAGGGTCATGCCGGCATTCGTCGTCAGTCTTTGTCGAAATTTACTGCAACACTTGCCCCGTCGCCGTCAGGCATTTATTCATCCCTCAAATATTTTTTGTTCGTTTTTTTATAGATAGCAAAAATTGATGACGTCTCCATCGCCCTATTGGCACTCTCCCCACACCCCCCACTATATCGGCTATAGGGTCTATATATTCTATATACATATATGTATGCTAGCCCCTCTCGATGTCATGTCGCATGCAGATTGCCGTGCAAAAGTAAGCACAGTAAGTGAGCGAAACTGCAACGGCTGTCAAAGGCACTGGGAAATATAATTTATATTATAAAATAATTTAAACAAAAAATTATAAGGAAATATGAGCGGAGAAATTGAGCAGTATGTTTATCCTTTTAATTAATTAATTAAATATTTAATTTTATGAAACCTGGCTCACAAATTTATTCATAAATCATATTTTTCAAGGATATTTAAGGATATTTAAGGTTATTTTTGAGACTAGATTTCAAGTCTATTAAGAAAACTATTGGGTGCATGATTGGTTAATGCTTCTTTAAAAAGTACAACAAATACATAGATTTCAAGAAAATAAAGGAATTATTTCAACTCCCTCCAAGTCACCCAACTTTCCGCTCAGTGTGTGTGAGCTCGTGGCAAACTGCCGCAAAGTCTGTGCTAACAGAAATCGATCCAAAGGAGAAAGGAACTCTACGCTCCGTATAACTTCACGCCACACAGTGTGTGCATGTGGAGGCCAGGAGCCTACTAAGCCTACTCTGCCAGCCCGGCCTACTAGTGTGTGCCAGGATATGCCCTTGCTACTGCTCCGGCTCCTTTGGCTCCGCTGCTCCTCGAGCTCCTCTCTAGCCCTCTTTGAGTGCCACGCGATGTGATTGTGAATGCGAAAATGTGGCGACGCCAAAGGAAGTCAGCCCGGGGTTTCAGTTTGGTTCGGTTTGGGTTTGGTTTCGCTTTGGTGTTGGCTGCTGCTGCCTTCCAAGGATGACGTAGTCCTCCGGCCAAGTGTGCCAATGTGTTGGTTGGACTTGGGGTTGCAAACACACACACACACACAGAAGGGGCATTAAATGGTTCGTGTTTTTTCTCTTTTTTTTTACATATACAATATATATATTTTTATTTTTGCCTCATCTCGAGCTTGTCGACTATATTGGGGTCGCCTGACGGCTTGTACTTTAAAAAGCGTCATTTAGTCCGCAGCGCGCTAAATTATTAAAAGCAAATCCAACGCACCCGCCAGCCAAACACACACACAGGGCAGTTCATTAAATTCAATGTATGCAAAATAGCGGCAGCAAATGCGCCAAAAGAGGCAATGGCCATCTTTTGCCCCCAGAAACTCCTCATCCTCTCCACCCGCCAGCTGTTGTCATTTGTCGAGGCTCGAAGCCACGAAAGTACGCCAAGACAGGCTCATCATAATCATATGCTGCCCTCGAACACAGAGAGAAAATGTTACTAAAGAGTAGAATCAACAAAAATAAGAAAGAACATTTATGATTGGGAAAAAATAAGGGAAAAGGTTCTCAACAAAGTCTTACAAAATATTTGTAAGCTTTGCAAGTCGGTAAAATGATTGGAAACTGTGTTTGGGTATGTCTTTCAAGCCTAATTTAGCAAAAAAATATTAGTTTTTTAAATATAGAGATCCTTAAATCTTTGAATTGTTCCTTCTAATAAGAAATTTGTACATATGGGACCAGCAACATATTATTTCACCACAAATTGTGAGATAAAATGTTGTATAAAATAATTGAGAGCCTACTTTTGGGCACCAAATAAAATGTTAATAAAACCACCTACTTTACTGATATCAAATATACCAATACTTGACATGTTAGAGTTTCAAAAACCATATTTCACCATAAATAAACCACATTTTATGGAGATATTTCACAAAAAACAAGACATTGCCTACTTTAAGGCAGCAAAATAAATGTTTTAAAAACCACAAACTTCTGGTAAACAGTCAAAACTTAGCATATGGCCTATATTTAAGATTGAAAATACGAAAATTGTAGGAAATTGATCTAAGAAAATCACAAAACACTATGTTATAACTAATATCAAGGCTTCTTTTTCGCTCTGTGCATTAAGTTTGCTGCGCAAATATGTTTCGCAAACTTCAATTTGTGTCCCAGGTATGAAAGTTCTTAAGAGTGTGCTGGTGTGTGTTTGTGTGTTTTTTTAGTATTTGTGTCTGATTTGGGGTGAGTTGCCGTGGGTTTTTTATGCGTCACGTGTGAATTTCCTTTATTATTATTTGACTTGGGCTGGCGTTTTGGTACATATCACGTATACGCAACGTATAATTCCGCAAAAAGAGGCATTGATTTTTTTGATTTGCCTTCGGAGTGGCTTCGCCTCATGGCTGCCCCACTTCATTTATTACTTTGATTGCTTTTCACTTTTCCGAAGCACGGATAGCCTGCAGTTTGTGCTCGCAAAATATTTACTCGCCTCGAGTTGGGGCCAAGTTGGTTATATATATATATATTTTTTTGTATTTTGTTTGTGTTTGCCACGTTTTTCGCATTTTACTTTTTTTTGTTTGTTTATTTGTTTGCCTGCTTTTTGTTTGTATTTTCTTTACTTTTGTTGCTCTGTTGCACGCTGTTCGCTGTTCATCATCGCTCGCACTCACTCACTCACATTCACTCACTCACACTCGCGCTTTTATTCCTTACTTTACTAGTAAAGTACAAATTGCTCACACAATTTCCTTTGCTCTAGTTAGCCGCTGTTGTTGTTGTTGTTGTTCCCTCTCGATTTCCCTCAGCTTTTTTTCTCGGAAAAGTCCACGACCACGCGCTACAACGTCTGACCACGTTCTGAAGCCGAGTGTCCTGCCTTTGAAACTGCAAAGCTGGGAAAATGGTGAAATAACAACGACACACCAACATTTTTCACCAACAGGCGGCACAGTACCGCTCACAGGACCTGCGCAGTCGCTTGAGCGGCTACCCCACCGCAGGTGACACACTTTTCCGCGCCAAGCGTCGTCGTCGATGAAGTGGATTTTCCGACTTTTCCTACGGCCCTAACGTTCTGGCCCTGCCGAGCGTACTATTTACATGGCACATCGGTTTAAGGCGGCAGCAGGCAGGCCGCCTTTTTCTTCATTCCCAAAACTTTTTTTCCTGAACTTAGTGCCGAGTGAATTTCGCATGCATTGCCCGGAGGATGGGTGCACTGAACGAAAAATATTATACGAAGAAGCGAAAGTGAATAATGTAGTGGGGAGGGAGAGTATCAGCAATGGCTGGGAATCAAAATTCTTTATATAATTCTTTATATAAATAATAAAAGAAAAATCCTCCAAGGAAAGATCCCACACAAATAGCTATACAATATTTTTCTTAAATATTTTATTCATTATTTTTTATCAGTGTTTCAAGTACAACTCCGGGTGATCCTGGCGCAAATGTCATTTTCGATGGCCAAACATTTTCGGGAAGCTGCTTTCTGCCTGGACTACGGCAGTTCAGGGAGTTGAAAGTTCGCATTTGCCGCATCCATAATGAATGAATACGTCCTTGCGCCCTTTCATCCTATCATTCGGTGGGGGTAGCCTCGTCTCCTCTCGGTTAAGTCCCTGGGTTAACTGACCTTTTGCCATGCGGCTGGGCTGACACAATACAAAAATGCAAATAAAGCGCAATACTCAATTGTAAAGTTCAGCGAGTCCCAGAGAATACTGCAATCTAAAATAATATTTATCTTGCTGCTCAGAGGAGTAAACAATTTAATTATGGCTTGCCCGAAAAGTTGCTGATGCTGGGCACTTTCCTTTTACATATTTAAGCTAGCATTTTAAATAATAGAACGGGCTTGAAATTGTGTTTGCCTAGAGCGTGTGCGTGTGCATTTCGGGGTAATGTGTCTGGCAATAAAACTAAAATAATAACAAAATGTGTGGCCAGGAAAGCTTTACTTTGCTGCTTTTTATATTTATTAAATGAACATTTTGTGAGCGGAAAATGTGTATTTTTAAGGGAATTGAAGTTTAACTGCCAAAAATAGGAACAGTAGTTTTTTTTAATTTTATGAATACATTTAAAAAAAATTAGTAAAATGATTAAAAAAAGCTGATTGTTTGCTGATTATATTGTTTTTAGCTAACAAAAGATATTCTTTTAAATTTATTTTCCTTTCAAAAAAAGAGATTGTATTCAGTTTTAATGTTATTTTTTCCAAAATTTTATTTATAATATCTTTTAGTTAGATTATATATTCTTTAAACCTTTTTTTACTCCCCAAATAAAAGTAAAATCTTGTCTCCTTTGATGTATAATTAAGAAACCACTCAATACTCTTAAAATTTCATTAATAATTAATGAAAATAGGGACAAGGTCTTAAATGTCTTTCTCAAAAAATTCAAAACATCTAAAGAGACCCCTTTTTTCTTTTTATTTTTTACTCAACCCACTTCCATTGATTTCTCACACCCCCAAATAATAAATTTAATTAACTATTCGCTAGAAAAGTTTACCAAAGACCAAATTTTCCGCACGAAAATGGCGTTGGCGGTGACCAGAAAAGGAAACCGCGGACTGCAACTGTGCAAAATGCGTAGTACAAAATGCGAAACGCAACAGAATTCAAAGAGGAAAAGGCCAGAAACCGAAATAGAAAATCCAAAAAATCAACGCCAACGTCGTCGGCTGCCTGTCAATTAAAACATTAAAACGCGCTGGAAAAAATGCAACAAAATAAGCTAAAAATCAAACAAAAATTGAACAGACGAAGCCGCGGCACGACGGTAACTATTTCAGCGATTAGAAGCATAGAATTTCGCAATGGAGCACTTAGAGCCGCGCGGAGTCGCACAGCCACGGAACCCAAGTGTGACCCAGTTCGGATCGGTGTGTGTGTGTTTAGCAGGAAAGGAACTGGAACTATGTTTTGGCTATTTGCTCTTTTGATCATTAAAAACTGGTTGTCAGCCGTGGAGGCTGCCACAGCCCAGCTGAGCGCCTACATTTGTGGTCAGATTTATAGCAGCGCGGTTATTATAATATAAAAATGCAATCATAAATCACTGAAGTTAGCTGACCATTAACTATCAGGGGATTGTAGTGGAAATGATTTATTTATAACATAAAAAACTCTCTTTTTTTACAAAGATTAAAAAAAAAAAAGTTTATAACAAAGACCATTAAACAGTAATTAGTTCTGCACTATTAAATGATTTCAAATAATTTTTTTCGAGGGGAACAGAAATGTATGACATAATTTATTATTAAAGTAACAAAGGTAACAAATAAATAAATCAAAATAAATTAAAAATAAATTCTAAACTTGGCAAACAAAATTTTTAAAAAAATATGCATCCTATTTTCTTACCCCCCGTTGTTCCTTAACTTTTCTCACCGCTCCAAGTGGCTTTATAAACGAACGGCCAAGGCGGCCGCGAGCCGAGTTTTGACGTTAGATTAGTCGAGCGTGCGCGCATATTTTTCCCACGATCAGGATACACCCCGAGAAGAACCACACTACCACCATGAAGGATCGCTTCAACAGGATAACCTGGACGGAAGTCCTGCCAAGCATGCTGCTACTCATCGTGCTAATGGCCACCACAACCTTAGCCTTTCCCGACGGAGCACCCGCGGATACGTGTGTGAAAAAGCGGGCTAATCAGCCAAATCACGGCACGGCCAGGAGCCAGCCGGCGGAAACGAATCCCTTTGAGGTGGTGGCCGACTCTCAGACCTATCATCCCGGCCAGCAAATTTCAGTGGTGGTCTACCCGCACTCTGGACATGGTCAGGTCTTTCGGGGATTCTTCCTCCAGGCGCGCGATGCCAACTCGAATGAGTGGATCGGCGAGTGGGTGCAGAGTGAGAACACCAAGACCATTCCAGAGTGCTCGGCCATAACGCATGCAGACAAGAAGGACAAGTTAGGAGCCAAGCTCATCTGGAAGGCGCCGCAAAACAAGCGAGGAAATGTCTACTTTACGTGAGTTTATAATAGCTAAATTATATTAAATTAATTAGGAAACTAGCTAACATTTACTTATTAGTAATAATAAAATAAAGTAGTAGTGTTACATCCGCTTGAAAGTCTCTTCAATTAAATGAAATGCATGACCAATTTTCACGGTGCAGATAAATTCATTAAATGACGTTTAGCACCCCCTAATTCTTGGCTCTTCCAATGTTAACACTTTGTCACACTTCTGGCACAGTACGTGTCTCCTATCGCCCCTTGCCATCATCATCATAATAATCATCATCATCATTATTAGTGGAAAAAGTAGAAGCCGCACAAGCAGCACCATCATCGCATCGCCCATGAAGGGATTCATTAATCATACGCCACGTTGACCCACATAATGTAATGCGCGGCATAATTGTTGTCAGGCCGACAGAAAAAAAACTTGCCGGATAATCGCACAAAAGGCATTATGTAATTGATTTATTATGGAGTCAGAGAGGGAGCCGAAAAGAGTCTCTAACAAAAAAGGCATCAAATGTCTTCGTCAAAGATGCCAAACGCCAAAAAGAAAAGTTGTCAATGCTTTTTGCTGCTACCAACCAGCAACTTTGTCAGCTGTTTACACTGGCCAACAGGGAGTGTTGAAGTGTGTATTAAGTCAAAACGGAAGTTATTCCCTGGTCACTTCCCTGTCATTTATCACTTTGTGCACAGCTGAAGATTAATCAAAAACAAACACGGGAAGACAAGGAAAGTTTCGGGCATAAATTTACATCCCACTTGATGTTCAAAAGTTTAATCAATGATTTACTGAAGGGGAAGCAGAAACTATGTACTTGATATATGCGGAAATTAACGAAATTGGGTAATTCTTTTTAAAGAGATTACCCCCTGAATTTCTATAAATAATGCCAACATTTCCCCTACACCCCATCAACTTTAATAACCAAATTAAAATGTAGGCCAGTGTTGCCTTAGCCCCAATAACTTAATCTCCTGGAAAATTGCCGACTCATCAATTATTACCTATTTATAGACTCTGCCTCTCACATTACATGCAATCTTGTCTTGTATAAATTAAAAACAATCGTGACTTTGCTGGATTGCGGAATCTTCTTTACCATTTTCATTTTCATTTCCCTTAGTTGATTTATACCTCCTCCATTTTCAGGGGCACTGTGCTTCAGCAGTACGGCACCTTCTGGAGCGACATCGTCAACAAGGTGCAGGCGGAGCCGCAGTATTGAAATTATGTACTTTTACTTACTTAGCATAAGGCAGCTGTATCCCGCAACTGATGCCGGGCAATAAATTGTAAAGACCCTAATTAGTCAAGACGAAAAACGAAATTGTTGTTTAAAGATTTTTCAAATACCAAATGGACAGACGGACGATAGGCCCCCCCATTGAGCCGTGCAATCAACATTACGTAGCCAAAATTATTGACTTTTTAGCTTAACGTTTATGAATGACCAGCCGGTGGGAAGGAAAGAGGGAAAGAGCACACACATATAAGAAGGCAAAGACTGTTTCCACTTGGACCCACCTACACGGCCCACTTAACCCCCCCAATTCCGGAGGAGGCCGAGCACGTTTGGGTTTCCAGACACGTTGTGGCCCACAGCTTCTCTTCTCATTGGAAATTCGTTTCGTTTGCGTTTTCGTTTAGGTTTTTCGGTTGCGGGCGTGCAAGTAAATTGGAAACTTTAAGCACCTTTCAGGCCAACTGTGCGATAAAGTAATTAGAACAACGGTCCGGGCCGCCCGCAGACGGTCAACGAATTTGATTTGGCCCAAAGAAACATAAGCCTGCCTTGACATCGACATCCGTTACGTTACGCCTTGGTCCAGGCTTCTAATCGCACAGAGCGAAGGATAAGGAATCAATTGCAAGAAATTAATTACAAGTGTGCCAAGGGGTGCCACAGAAATTTTTTGTGGTGTCGCCAAAGGTCCTTCAAAATATTAGACACTAAAAATTGGGGGATGACTGGGAAACTATGGTTTAGAAATTCTTTAAAAAGGTGTTTTAAAACAAATAAAAATTTCGAGAAAATAATTCACACTACATTTGAGTTCGTAGGATTGTAAATAATTTAGAACCTAACGATTTCTAAGTATTTTTAGCTTTAAAAAGTTTATACTGAAAAAAAAAAATTAAGAAATAGAAAAAAATAAATATATATGCAAATTATTAATACTCTTAATATTCAATACAAAATAATATTATTCTCTAGAAACTAAAAAGGTTTTTAAAATCATAGTAAAGGTTTCAAAAAAAAAGAGAAACCATTTATAAATTCCTGTATTTTGTTTCAATTAAAAACTAAACCAATGGGTGATTAAATCTTTAAAAAGCATAAAAAGTACATACCTCCAATGAACTATCCTGGTATGATTTGCATCATCATTTATAATCATTTTACCAAGTTTTCCCTGCAGAAATTGTCACTCATTTCAAGGCCTCACTGTACTTAAACACAGTACTTACACACACACTTTGTATGGAGCTTGTTTACTCGACTGCGAGTTCTGTTATTCACTTGTTGTTGTTGTTCAATCGAGAAATGTGCATGGCAACCCACGCGAATTCGCGAAAGGGGGAAATGCGGGGGTTGGAAAGGGTATGATGTTTTCGTGCGTTGCATATTTGCCGTGCGGTGGGGCGACTTGTTTTGATCGAATTCGCGAATTCGCCGCATCGTTTGCCTTTGTCTGGCTTCGCCGGCTGATCAGGGGCGCTGTGGATAAAGAAGGGATCGTATATTAGTGAATATATAATTTTTAGATTTAGATTAGATTAAAGATGCAGTTTAAAAAGACTCTTGTAATACAAAATAAATTATTATTTAAAGATCACTTTAAAATGCTTAAGAAAACTCAGAGTACTTTAAAAATATATAAGAAAAAAGTTCAATTTAATGTTTTAATAAAGAAACATATTTCATAAAATATACCTTCACCCCCTTTGACTGCGCCCCTGGTCCAATCAAGTTCGTTGTCCAGTCAGGCGAGTTTTGAGTCTGTTTTTGCCCCACGCTTTTCGCCTTTTTTGCACACAGTGACAATGACTTATTGCTGTTTCTCTGGCTCTCGTTTATCAGCGTTCGGCGAGCACTTGTCTTTTTTAACACTTTTAGTTCATATTTTGCGGCTTTCCGGAGAGGTTCACAGATCGCAGACGTCTTAGTAGACGACATAAACAACATGGTTATCAATTTTGCCGCCGGTCCAGCCAAGTTGCCTGAAGAGGTCAGTATGTTTTTTGACTTTTAACACCCTATGCAAACATGTGATCTAATTTTAAGAAAAGAGAAATTTATTATTTTTTTGTAATATAAGGTTTTTTGCATGCATTTCATCTTAATTGCTAGCAAAGTATATTAATTCCGCTGCAGTCTCAAGTGTCTTTTGTTAAGTATTAGCTTAGCTGCCTTTTCAGTTTGCACTTTTTTACTTTTATTATTAGTTGATATATAACATTTTACATTTCTTATTATTCTACTTAGAAATGCTTCTGGAGAAATCTCAGCGACTTTAAATCCGTTTAAAATACGCTCCAAAAGTATGCTACAAAATGTTAAAGCAATTTTTTGCTATTTTAGATACTTTTTAAATTAATAAAAAAAAAATTTACATTATTATGCTATATTTTTAATACTATTTTTGTTACTATTTAACATGATAATAAATAAACCAATTTCTCACCTTTTCTCTTTATTCCCAATATGATTTTCCACTCCCAGGTCCTCAAAGAGGTCCAGACCAACCTCCTCGACTGCAATGGCAGTGGCATTTCTGTGATGGAGATGTCCCATCGCTCCAGCAACTATGCCAAAATCCAGGAGACAGCCATCAATGATCTGAGAGAGCTCTTGAATGTGCCCAGCAACTACAAGATCCTCCTAATGCAGGGCGGCGGCACTGGACAGTTTGCGGCAGTGGCTTTGAACCTGATAGGAATCACTGGCACCGCGGATTACGTGATCACCGGCTCATGGTCCTCCAAGGCGGCCAAGGAGGCGGCTCAGTATGGCAAAGTCAACGCCGTGCTGCCCAAGGTGGACAGGTATACATCCGTGCCGCGACAGAGCACCTGGAAGCTGGATCCGAAGGCTTCATATGTCTACTACTGTGACAACGAGACTGTGGAGGGCGTAGAGTTTGACTTTGTGCCCGAGATTCCAGCGGGTGTTGCTCTGGTGGCCGACATGTCCTCGAACTTTCTGTCCCGACCCATTGATGTGTCCAAGTTTGGTGTGATCTTTGCCGGAGCACAGAAGAACATTGGACCAGCGGGCACCACAGTGATCATTGTCCGGGAGGATTTGATAGGCAAGCACATGAAGATCACACCCTCCATCCTTAACTTTGAGCTGATGGACAAGAACGCCTCGCTGCTGAACACTCCGCCTACTTTTGGGTGAGTTATATTCCTTGATAAATATATATTTATAATTATTAATCTTATCGTTTGGCCCTTTTCAGCATCTATGTGATGGGCTTGGTCTTCAAATGGATCAAACGCAATGGCGGTGTCGAAGGCATGGCCAAGCTGGCCGCATCCAAGTCCAAGCTCATCTATGAAACCATCGAGCAGTCCAATGGCTTCTACTATTGTCCCTTGGATGCGAATGTCCGCTCGCGCATGAACGTGCCCTTCCGGATCGGCAGTGCCACTGGCAACGATGCTTTGGAGAAGGAGTTCTTAGCCAAGGCCGAGGCGGAGGGCATGATCCAGCTGAAGGGTCATCGCTCAGTGGGCGGAATTCGAGCCTCGCTCTACAATGCCATAACGTTCACAGAGACCCAGAAGCTGGCCAGTCTCATGCTGAACTTTTACAAGAACAATAAAAACTAGAGGAGTATGTTCCCGTGTGTGTAATTGCTGTTGTTTTTGGGGATTTACAACAGGCCTCGTTGACGGAAGATCTCGTCTAGCTTGAGCTCCAGATTGGCATTGGTGCCCCGCAGGTTGTCCACAACCTTTTTGGCCCAAACAAAGTACTGATTGCGGCGTTCCTGAAATGGGTGAAATATTTAGGATAGAATTCCTTTTGCAGACTTTTCTAATATGTCACCTCTGTCCAGCCCGTTGGCGTGTTGACCTGCAGATCCCTTAGGTTATCCAGCTTGTCTGCCAGCTTAATGAGCTTGGCCCTGTGACTTGTTTTAGCTGCCTTTTCGATTTGCAAGCGCTTTCGTTCCTGCTTTTCCAGGGATTTATCATCCGTAACCTCGCGCACCAATCCACAAATATCAGCGCCAAAGAGCTGCTCCACATCCGTAAACGTGGCGTCCGTATCCTCGACCACATCGTGAAGGAGAGCAGCCATTAGGACAGCCTCGTCCGTGATGCAGGCCTCCACGGAGAGGATGGTGCTTACATTTATTACATGATTTACATACGGGGTTTCCTTGGGATCCTTAAATGAAAGAGGGAGGAGCATATGTTATTGTTTATTAAAGGAAAAACCATAGAAAACCATTCTTATTTCGCTTACCTTGCGACGTTGTTCACGATGTTTAAAAGCCGCATATTGCAGGCACTCCATAAACTTGGCCGAGGGATAATTAGCCATGAGAAATTGTTAATTAATTAATATTCTATGTGATATTTATGGCAATTTGTTTTGATGGAAGTTGTTTTGTTGTTTGCGGTACAAAACAGCTGATTGAAACCTGTAACACTGTAAGTGCAGCCCTAAAACAATCGATAATCGATAAGAACGCAAAACGATAATAAAGTAACCCGCAAAGACTGTTCAAATTCAAAATAAAAATAAAAACAAACAATTAAAAACAAACTTTTATTTAATTGTATATTATTCCATAATAATTTGACATATACGTTTTTTTTTTTAATTTTTTAATTTAGTTATTTCCATTATGTCAGTATTTAAATATTTAAAATTGAAGAATAAGCTCTAATTTTATTTTTAGAAATATAACTGTTTATCATTTTATTTTTACAATGCTAAATTAAATTTTTAATATTTAGTTAACCTCAGTTAAAAAATAAGTTAGCTTAGAAAATTATTTAAAACTCACTTCCGCTCTTTAAGAATTTATTAGGCATATGCTTTCTTTACATTTCAAACTCCAAACTAAAGGTCTAGACTCTAGACAATAAGATAATAGTATGTAAAACCCCATCAATCACTTCACGCCGTTGATTTTGAGAATATTAGAAACACCAGGAACACCGGACTTTCTTCTTCCAACTAAAAACCAAAGCGCAGCTCAGATTCTTATCCGAAATCTTTCTCCATAAACCATACTTGGTATGTAAGTAAGCCAAAAACCCACCCAAATTGCTGTTATTCTTACAGCTAAAAGGTTTCCCCCTTCTTTGTTGTAAACATCGCCTTTTCCTGGCTTTTCTTTCCTGCCCAACGAGCAGTGCAACTGGTAAAAGAGTAAAAAAAAACAAATGCCAGGGCACTTTCATTTGTTATCTGGGCTCAGTAATCTGTAAAAATCTGTAACAGCCCACCAAACAACGGTGCATACAATATTTCCTAGCCATTCTTCACACTGTGTGACCACGAAATCGTCAAAGTCAGGCCCACAGTCTCTTTACACCGGCCAACAAAGTCACGGAGCGTAGTCTGGGGATATGTCACAGGGGGGTTGCCTGGGGGGTACAGGGATTATAATTAAAAAACTAAGTTTCTTCAGTTTTTATAAACTTATTTACTAATTTGGTTATGCGGAACTTTAGAAGAATTTATTAACTATCATATTTAAAAGAATTTATTTAATTAATAGTGACTCTTAATAAGCTCAACTAAATTCTGAAGAAATTATTTCTAATAATTAATCAATTCTTATAAATTCGGGGGAACCCCTTTAAAATTTCCACCCATGCCAAACCTATAATGACAATGCAACAGTCGACGCCGACAGAGCGAACGATGTAAAACTCTTTATTTTTTTCTTATTGTTTTTGGTGAAAATTTGTACCTGATTTTATATTTCCCTTTTTTGTTACACTGTTTTTAGGTCTGTTTTGCTGTTGCTTTTGCTGTTGCCTTTTTTCAGTTATTACGTATTGCCATGTTTACCATATTTTACACGCGCTTACAGGCACACATAGGCAATACACTGAGAAGAAAACGGTGTATGAACAAAATAAGTACTCATAAAAAAAGATCCTAAATATATGAAATATATTCTTTGCATATAAAACAAATCTTGAAATGTTAAAAGAAATGTTTAAAAAACAGCTGAATACCTAACCGAATTCGGCTTCATCTTAAGTCCTTATGAAGATCTGTATTTCTATTTTTATTTACTTAAAAATATTTCCTTTTTAAAATTATTGGTAAGACATATAAGACTAAAGTAGTTAATCTATAGTTAGCATTTTAAAAAACAATAATAATAGTAATAACAAATAAATAAACAACTCATTTAAAACCATTTCTCTCAGTGTCCATTTCCCCAACTGTGCGCTTGTGTTGGTGAATGTTCTGCTTCTGCGCAGCGATGCATAATTCCCACTTTTTGAAATTTGTGTGCGGTTGGTGGTTGTTGTTTTTGTTTTTATTTTTGTTATTGTTGCTGCTGCTGTTGCCGGTTGCCGCTGCGCAATTAATAATTCTTTTCGACTGGCGTGAAATTTTCGTAAGGCAAGAAAAGGAGGAAAAGCAGCAACCGCACCAACTTTCCATGAAAATCTCCCGGCCATTAGTAGCAATCGCAGGCGCTTTTCACCGTGGAAAAGCAATGCGAATGGGTGGGGGGAGGGTATGAGGGGCAGGGACAGGGGCACGATGCGATGGCAAACCGCAGAGATTGTGCGACCCCGTAGAAATGGGCTCACGTCATAAATTTTATTCAAATTACAAACTCATTAATAAATGGCGTAGTTTAGTTTTAAAATAAATAAAAAGAGCAAAGATGATTGCTTAATCTTTGCAGCGTTGAAAGAGTCCAAGATGGAAAATCAGCAGGAAGCTTTATTAATCAAAAACGTATTATAATTACTAAAGATTAAGAAAACTAAACAACTTATAAATTGGTTTTTAAAAATAAAAAACTAAGATATAAATAAGGTTCCCAAAAGTATTTCGGATTACAAGAATAAATGATCGATTTTTTCCTATTTTTAAATTAAATGTAAACAGAGATAAAATCATTTAAAATTACCATCAATATCCTCTTATAGTAGTTTTTCCAAGCTCAAAATCGGTTCAACAATATTTTAAACCCAAGCCTTAAGACCTGGCTTTTGTCTATGAGATATGACTTATCAACTGAATAATTATTCGAGAAAAAGATGGTCCTGCAAATAAGAATACAAATACCTGAATATGCTGAGCTAAAAAAAAAAAGTGTGCATAATTTAGCAATAAATGTAAATATTACTGGTCCGCTGCTTCCTTTGGGAGAGGAGCGAGCGCCATGCTGTTGCTGCTGCTGCCTGTTTCCTGTCCTGTGGAATCATCTCCTCCTCCTTGCCGTCGTCTCCAAGGAAAACAATGATGATCACGTTGGCCGCTGGGATCGCAATGATGAGGATGCTGCTGCTGCTGTACGGAGTGGGGGCCTGTGTGCTTGGCCCATGTCCCACTCCTTATCTTGGCAGCACGAAAACCAGAAACAAGAATTATAGACCAAAAGCCAGTTGCAGTTGTGTGTGGGTGTGTGTGTGTGTGTGTGAGTATCTGTGAGTGTGCCTTTGGCTAGAAGTGAATGCTGAGGATGGCTGTGCCGAGCAGATGCAGTTGCTATTGCATCTGCCGCCAAAAGTCCAAAAGGAACACTATAGAGCCCAGCTTGGATCCGGAGTTGGGGGAGCGATTAAGCGAGAAGACTTTAATATCCATCAATTAACCTAAAGATCCAACAAAAATAAATCACATTCAGCCCCATTTAGGATTCGGGAAACTAAAGCAAAACTGACTGTGGTGTATTTATATTATTATTATAAAAAATACAATTATCTTTATAAAAGATTTAGGGCTTGGCTCTTAAAGGTTTTACTTGTATACCAAAATGTTATAAATTTCTGAAAAATACTATAAGCACTAGGAATATCTTAGTAATTCTCTGGAATAAACCCTGTACGGAGCAGCTTCAAAGTAGGCAATGTTTAGGGAACAGCAAGGTTTGGAAGAGGTTTACTTGAAATTTAAATACTTGTATTCACAAATAAAATTTAAAACTATTTGTTTAAGAACTAAAGATCCCTCTAGATCCTCCTCTAGAATAATATACCTACACCCAACATCACTTTATTGGTTATTATAATGTTTTATATTTTAAAAATATATAATAATTATAATAATAATTTATTATATAAAATTCAGAAATTGCATAAACTTAATTATCCTATAACCTTATCATTTCAAAACAAAACTTAACAGCGAAAACGTAAAGAATCTTGAAATCACAATAAAAATCGCATGCGAGAGAGGCTTTTGCGCGCTCAGTTCTGTTCTCATTCTGACTCTCCGGACTCTGGGAATATATAAAGCTATGCTCCCTTATATACAGTATATATACCATATAGACAACAACATCACGATCCGGCCTAAGTATGGGTGAGTCGCTTGCGATTGTGCTTATGTGTAGCATGCGGTTTTGCTGTGGATTTTGTGTAAACTTTTCGCAGTCGTCAGTCAGCGAGCGAGCGAGCGAGCTCCAGGAGAAAGATACAGATACAAGATAGAAATGGAGGTGGAGGTGGAGATGGAGATGTTGTAGAGGAGAAGGGGCTAAAGGAGAAAGGGGACTTCATTATGAGGTTGTAACTGTCTTTTCAATTTCTCGTTCTGCCCGATTCGCTTTGCCAAATGGAGCCTACTAGATACAGATACGGATGCGGATATATGTACATATATATATATATGCGGCGGCCCTTTTCCTTCTTCGCCGAGCTGTTAACTGAAATCCCCGATGTTTCAATGCACTGAGAATAATTTTATGAGCTTAAATGAGACCTAATGATCGTATTTCCTATAGGGTTGAAAATTATATGTTAAAGATATCAAGACTTTAGGGGTGACTTTTGCTGTTAAGCTTCCATCTTAAAGTTTTTTTTAACATTTTAAGATTTTAAATTATTTAATAATTTGTTGCATGATCATATCTGTGATATTACAATTGAAACAATTTAAGTTTGAGATATTTATTTAATTTCAAAATTAGTTCAAAAGTTATTTTTATCTGTGTGGCTCTGGGTCTGCTGGAAGACACTCTTCTCTGGCTGTTCTGATGCTGAAGATGGATCTCTGTCTTCCCGATATTCTCTTCCCCCCTCCGCCCTAAAGACACACGCACACAATGACGACAATTGACGGGTCTTCTGCTGGGTGTGTGTTTGTGTCCGTTGATGTTGATGAGTTTTGTTTTAATTCTGCTTCTTGACTTCAATTTCTTATAAAAATTGTTTATGTGCACGTAATACAGTGTGGCCCAGATAAAGAGGATATTAAGAAAGGGGACTTTTATAAAATTAACAAATGAATTACTATTACTTTCAATTATTAGCAATTTATTTATGATACAAACAATATTTTGGCGCATTAGTGATCATCATAAATCAATATTCTGTTAAAAGAAACATTTTGCAATACGATAAATTCGATAATTTTCGATTTTTAATATTTCAATAATTCAAAGTTTCATTTCATATTTATTTTGTAAATG